TTGTTCTGCACTTAATCTGAGTTAAGAACTAGATTTTGACTTATTCCACACTTATTCCGCACAAAGAACTTGAATTTGACTTGTTCTGCACTTAATCTGAATTAAGAACTAGATTTTGACTTATTCCACACTTATTTCGCACTAAGAACTTGAATTTGACTTGTTCTGTACTTAATCTGAATTTAGAACTAGATTTTGATTTATTTCACACTTATTCCTCATTAAGAACTTGAATTTGACTTGTTCTGCACTTAATCTGAATTAAGAACTAGATTTTGACTTATTCCACACTTATTCCTGACAAAGAACTTGAATTTGACTTGTTCTGCACTTAATCTGAATTAAGAACTAGATTTTGACTTATTCCACACTTATTTCGCACTAAGAACTTGAATTTGACTTGTTCTGTACTTAATCTGAATTAAGAACTAGATTTTGATTTATTTCACACTTATTCCTCACTAAGAACTTGAATTTGACTTGTTCTGCACTTAATCTGAATTAAGAACTAAATTTTGACTTATTCCACACTTATTCCGCACTAAGAACTTGAATTTGACTTGTTCTGCACTTAATCTGAATTAAGAACTAGATTTTGACTTATTCCACACTTATTTCGCACTAAGAACTTGAATTTGACTTGTTCTGTACTTAATCTGAATTTAGAACTAGATTTTGACTTATTCCACACTTATTCCTCACTAAGAACTTGAATTTGACTTGTTCTGTACTTAATCTGAATTTAGAACTAGATTTTGACTTATTTCACACTTATTCCGCACTAAGAACTTGAATTTGACTTGTTCTGCACTTAATCTGAATTAAGAACTAGATTTTGACTTATTCCACACTTATTTCGCACTAAGAACTTGAATTTGACTTGTTCTGTACTTAATCTGAATTAAGAACTAGATTTTGACTTATTCCACACTTATTCCTGACAAAGAACTTGAATTTGACTTGTTCTGCACTTAATCTGAATTTAGAACTAGATTTTGACTTATTCCACACTTATTGCGCACTAAGAACTTGAATTTGACTTGTTCTGCACTTAATCTGAATTAAAAACTAGATTTTGACTTATTCCACACTTATTTCGCACTAAGAACTTGAATTTGACTTGTTCTGTACTTAATCTGAATTAAGAACTAGATTTTGACTTATTCCACACTTATTCCTGACAAAGAACTTGAATTTGACTTGTTCTGCACTTAATCTGAATTAAGAACTAGATTTTGACTTATTCCACACTTATTTCGCACTAAGAACTTGAATTTGACTTGTTCTGCACTTAATCTGAATTAAGAACTAGATTTTGATTTATTTCACACTTATTCCTCATTAAGAACTTGAATTTGACTTGTTCTGCACTTAATCTGAATTAAGAACTAGATTTTGACTTATTCCACACTTATTCCTGACAAAGAACTTGAATTTGACTTGTTCTGCACTTAATCTGAATTAAGAACTAGATTTTGACTTATTCCACACTTATTTCGCACTAAGAACTTGAATTTGACTTGTTCTGTACTTAATCTGAATTTAGAACTAGATTTTGATTTATTTCACACTTATTCCTCATTAAGAACTTGAATTTGACTTGTTCTGCACTTAATCTGAGTTAAGAACTAGATTTTGACTTATTCCACACTTATTCCGCACAAAGAACTTGAATTTGACTTGTTCTGCACTTAATCTGAATTAAGAACTAGATTTTGACTTATTCCACACTTATTTCGCACTAAGAACTTGAATTTGACTTGTTCTGTTCTTAATCTGAATTTAGAACTAGATTTTGATTTATTCCACACTTATTTCGCACTAAGAACTTGAATTTGACTTATTCCGCACTTAATCTGAATTAGGAACTAGATTTTGACTTATTCCACACTTATTCCTCACAAAGAACTTGAATTTGACTTGTTTTGCACTTAATCTGAATTAAGAACTAGATTTTGACTTATTCCACACTTATTCCGCACTAAGAACTTGAATTTGACTTGTTTTGCACTTAATCTGAATTAAGAACTAGATTTTGACTTATTTCACACTTATTCCTCATTAAGAACTTGAATTTGACTTGTTCTGCACTTAATCTGAATTAAGAACTAGATTTTGACTTATTCCACACTTATTACGCACTAAGAACTTGAATTTGACTTGTTCTGTACTTAATCTGAATTTAGAACTAGATTTTGACTTATTCCACACTTATTCCGCACTAAGAACTTGAATTTGACTTGTTCTGCACTTAATCTGAATTAAGAACTAGATTTTGATTTATTCCACTCTTATTTCGCACTAAGAACTTGAATTTGACTTGTTCTGCACTTAATCTGAATTTAGAACTAGATTTTGACTTATTCCACACTTATTTCGCACTAAGAACTTGAATTTGACTTGTTCTGTACTTAATCTGAATTAAGCTAATGTCTGTAAACAGAATAAATATCAGTTGGCTTTCGAAAATTTTGAAAAAATTCGTAAATGATCAATTTTAAAAAACAAATATACGTTAGTAATTTTGTCATATTTGAAAATTAAAAATACGTTAGTAATTTTGGAAATCATTAAAATATTTATTAACTTTAAAATTTAACTATTTTTTGAGGCAAATTCATTTCTTTTATGCATAAAGCGACCCTAATACTGTAACTTCTTCTTGAATTCAACAAATGCTTTAATAAGCTTATCGATAGTTTCCTTGAAATAACATTTTTTGTATATACTTACAAGAGATGGAAATGCATCCGCATTTAATCGCCCTCTCTTTGCATTCCTATTTACCATAGAGTGACAAAAATGAAGAACGCACAAAAAATACTTTTTTGACTGAATATATTGAATTTCATGATATTTTAAATAGTCGATCCATTTTCCTCGATGTATCGAACTCTCTGGAAGTTCAAATATGGGGATGTTGCTATTTCCTCTTCCTTTACAGCTTCGAATTGCACAAATTTTAACCATTTTAAAAAATTTCGAATTTTTGAATTGAAAATGTAAACAAATTTTCATAACGAACATTTTGAATTCAAATTTTTTTCCCGCGTTCGAAAAATAAGATCCTTCGAAATCGAAAAATAAGATCTTGTTTACAGACATTGGGAATTAAGAACTAGATTTTGATTTATTCCACACTTATTCCTCACTAAGAACTTGAATTTGACTTGTTCTGCACTTAATCTGAATTAAGAACTAGATTTTGACTTATTCCACACTTATTTTGCACTAAGAACTTGAATTTGACTTGTTCTGCACTTAATCTGAATTAAGAACTAGATTTTGACTTATTCCACACTTATTTCGCACTAAGAACTTGAATTTGACTTGTTCTGCACTTAATCTGAATTAAGAACTAGATTTTGACTTATTCCACACTTATTTCGCACTAAGAACTTGAATTTGACTTGTTCTGCACTTAATTTGAATTAAGAACTAGATTTTGATTTATTCCACACTTATTACGCACTAAGAACTTGAATTTGACTTGTTCTGCACTCAATCTGAATTGAGAACTAGATTTTGACTTATTCCACACTTATTTCGCACTTAGAACTTGAATTTAACTTGTTTTGCACTTAATCTGAATTTAGAACTAGATTTTGACTTATTCCACACTTATTTCGCACTAAGAACTTGAATTTGGCTTGTTCTGTACTTAATCTGAATTTAGAACTAGATTTTGACTTATTCCACACTTATTCCTCACTAAGAACTTGAATTTGACTTGTTTTGCACTTAATCTGAATTAAGAACTAGATTTTGACTTATTCCACACTTATTCCGCACTAAGAATTTGAATTTGACTTATTCCGCACTTAATCTGAATTAAGAACTAGATTTTGATTTATTTCACACTTATTCCTCACTAAGAACTTGAATTTGACTTGTTTTGCACTTAATCTGAATTAAGAACTAGATTTTGACTTATTCCACACTTATTTCGCACTTAGAACTTGAATTTAACTTGTTTTGCACTTAATCTGAATTTAGAACTAGATTTTGACTTATTCCACACTTATTTCGCACTAAGAACTTGAATTTGGCTTGTTCTGTACTTAATCTGAATTTAGAACTAGATTTTGACTTATTCCACACTTATTCCTCACTAAGAACTTGAATTTGACTTGTTTTGCACTTAATCTGAATTAAGAACTAGATTTTGACTTATTCCACACTTATTCCGCACTAAGAATTTGAATTTGACTTATTCCGCACTTAATCTGAATTAAGAACTAGATTTTTACTTATTTCATTCCACGCTTGAAACTAACTTAGATGTGTTATTTCATGCACCTACTTTTCATCTTTGGACATGTACTTGAAATTAAGTTTTTTATTTCAAATAGAAAAATATTATATCGTGGAATCAGGCGATGAGTTAAGTCAATTTCGTTCCCTATTTGGTGGGGTCAATGTAAGCGAGTTCCAATATACGAATTGTTTGCTCCCGTTGTTTTGTAGCAAAATTGATAGCAAGTTTTTTCATCGTAGTATTTTTATTCCTAAGTTAAGCATTTTCCTCTAATAGCTTCTCTTTATTGCTTTCTAATTGTTTCATTTTTTTAGAGCTATTAATAAAGAAGTCAAATTATTAATGAGAAAGAAAAATAAAAAAATCTTTACTTTCACTGCCTTAAGTGCTTAACCCCTTAACGATTTTATTTTTTTGGACTTTCTCATGAAGTCCTGTCAGTTGTGAATACTCTTGATCGAATTAATACTTTTCTTTTCGATTGAATTTTTGAGTTATTTTCTGAATTTAATGAATGAACTTTGATTAGTTTTTGATTAAAAAAACTAATTTTCTGCATAATAATAGGGAACAGGAGGTTAGGAAAAAAAGTAATGTGTAAGAAAGTTTGTGCCTAGGTTGACCGTAGGTCTAGTTATTTATTAGACATAAACTTCAAATGTCCTTTTGCAATTAAAATTAAGTTGAATCACCTTTTTTGTCTTCTCTAGGCTTCAAATATAAAATTTAATAAAATGTAAAACTCTTTGATTGAAGCACTTGATCTTTATTATTATTTATTATTTAATTTAATTTTATTATTCTCATTCTACTTCAAAGGAAAAGCCATTCTGAACAGTATTAACTTAATTACTGTTAAGATCGGCATAAAAACCTTTACACAATTAAGAATAATAGACATGACTGTTCAACTGATTTTTCCTTTTTGATTGCATTTTGCTCTTTTACTGTTTTGTATTCACTTTATGTTAAATTTAGAAATAGAATTGGCAAGAATGCCGTCAATTTTCAGTTTTAAAAGGAACAACATGTTTAAATTTACTTTTTTAATCTTTTTAAAATTTATTTTCTTTTTCTTATTTGGCACATATTTTTTGTCATTTCATAATAAAACAATTTATATAATTTTTTAAAATAGGGTAAATGACTTTGAAATTTGCGCAACCTTGAAATTTGCGCACTCGTATGAAAACGAAAATTTAAAAATTATATCTCAAAATTGCACTTCTGTTCAGACGATCAATGGGAAATGTCTGCAGAACACAAGCAAAGATTTTTTTTCATAATTTTTAGTGGTCTTAAGGCACTAGAAAGCTTAATAATTTATTACCAAAAACTCCCATACAAAACTTAAAATTCTTTACATTTTGATTTTAAGATGCATGCATTGGTATAGATTAAATTTTGATATCGGAAAATGTAGATCTGACATTGCTTAAAATTTTTCAAATGGTTCCAATTCAAAATGATACCTGGAACTGCTTTAAAATTCATTTTTAAAATGGCTTGTTTTTGAACCTTGAAATTTGCGCAAATTTTATGAAAAATTTTAAAATTTGCGCAGTGAAATATCATAGATACCGGCCAAAAAAGGCAATAAAATGAACATAGCTTTAAGACTTTATACTACTTTATGTGCTTAAATCAGAGTATTTTTAGATTGAATAAAAAATTTAAAATTGAATTACTATGGATACATCATTTTGCTTGTCCCTTTTTAAATTTATTATGTGCTTTTGAACTATTTTGAAACCATTTATCTTGTGTTTTTTTTCCACGCTGGATTTACTCCTAATACATCTAAGATCGTCATGTTGAACATTGAAGCTTTCACGGATTTTCACCAAACTAAATCTAATCATATAATCTCTAATATATAAAAGCCCAACTCACTGATTCACTGACTCTGGAACGGAAGCTATGTGATGACGTTTGTGAAGCCGTGTGAAGATAAAAATTTAAGGATTGTTGACAAGGTGGTTATCAGGTGGGTGTAGGTGTCAGGTGTTGGGTGAGTGTCAGGTGGGGGATGGTGGCAAGGGGGACTCAGGTATATTTTGTGAAGCCGTGTGAAGCCAATGATTTGAGGAGTACTGACAAGGTGGGTGTCAGATTGGGGGGGTGTTGACAAGGTAAGGGGGGGGGGGGGGGGGGCAATGTGGGTGTCAGGTGGGTCCGAATTTGAGGGGGTTTGTGACGCCGTGTAGTGCTGAAAAGTTTAGTGTCAGGAATATTTTGTGAAGCCATATAAAATTTTGTGAAGCCATTTATAAAATTTTTGTGGAATTAAGGGGGTCCGAGTTTGAAGGGGTTTGTGAAGCCATGTGAAGTTTTGTGAAGCCATTTATAAAGTTTTTGTGGGATTAAGGGGGTCCGAGTTTGAAGGGGTTGTGAAGCCATGTGAAGTTTTGTGAAGCCATTTATAAAGTTTTTGTGGGATTAAGGGGGTCCGAGTTTGAAGGGGTTGTGAAGCCATGTGAAGTTTTGTGAAGCCATTTATAAAGTTTTTGTGGGATTAAGGGGGTCCGAGTTTGAAGGGGTTGTGAAGCCATGTGAAGTTTTGTGAAGCCATTTATAAAGTTTTTGTGGGATTAAGGAAGTCCGAGTTCGAGGGGGGTTGTGAGGCCATGTGAAGTTTTGTGGTAGGATTGACCTTAAAAACATTATGGTTATTTGCGTCTTACAGTTATTTACATAATAGTAATCAAATTTTAACCCTGATAAGAGGCGCCACGGGCGCCTCCGGATAGCCTAGTTTGGTAATAAACATCATCATTTCCCTTATATTTTGATTAATGTATATTAAAATTGGATATGTTTTCAACAATATTATTTCCAAGATTCAATGATTGCTGTCAAAAAAGTGCGCAAATTTCAAGGTTTTTTTGCGCAAATTTCAAAGTTTTCTGCGCAAATTTCAAAGTTCAAACTTGAAAGTCAAATTTCTTGGCATTGACACAGCAGAGCTTTCTATATCCATAGAAAAACAAAAATATCAATGATTCCCTGCATTTCAAGATCGTTAGTAGGGCTCAATTTCAATCCTCAGAAGAGCTTGAAGCAAATGAAAATTTCATGTGTGACTTTGCGCAAATTTCAAGGTCATTTACCCTAATATCTAACAATGCATTCTTGAAAAATAAAATTGTTAAATAAAAAATAAACAAATTCAAATTTATCATTTATACAATAGTGACTGGTCTCTTTCCAACCCAATTCTTAATACTTTCAATCGCTAATACTTTGTCTCTTAAATTCTTTAAATTTTTATGTTTGTCAACAAAATTTCCATCAAGTTTAATCTCAGCCCAGTCGAATAATCCTTGAAAGTAGTCAGCAACTGATGTAAAGTATAAATCAACCCAAGATAGTTTGCCATTTATAAAATATCCATTATTTTTTGCTACAATGTCATCGAATCGCTCCAAACTTGCAGGTATAGTTTCACTAATGAGCTTGTTAAGTTCTTTCTGATAATTTTCTTCGCCGAAGGAATCTTTATAGCCATATGAGACATCTTCAGTTACTGTCAAAATAAAAATAAATTAATCGATTTTGAAAAATCATTTAAAAATGTGACAGAATAAACTTATACAATAATGAGGCTAGAAACGCTTCATGATCATTTACGGTTTCTTATCAGCATTAAAAAAGTTAATAAAAAAAGAGAGAGAAAAGATTTTTGAAATGCTGACTCATGCATTTGCAATTAAGAAACAGTTATCTCTCGTTGATAAACTGTTGTTTAATTTTTTGAATAAAAAATAACCCTTCCGCCCTAAATTTTTTTTTTTTTGGTTTTTGTTTCAGGACATGACTAGATCAATGTAACTTGAATATGAATTTACTGATCTACGCGACGAAAATGTTCTTAGTTTATCCGTTCCATATTTCAGCATTTTAACTTACTGCTGTAGATAACTGTGGAAAATTTTCAATACTTTGGCTCCTCGATTTAAGTAGATTCGATTTGAGTAACAAAAATTAATGAAAAGAAAATTTAAAAATTTTTTTGTAACGGACATTTTTCATACAACAAGTAAATAATTCGATTTGAGTAGATTCAATTTAAATAGGATTTTACTGGAACAAAACACCTCCTCAAAAAGAGGCAATTTTTTTAATAATCGCAGATTTTCGAACCCTTAAAAATACACAAGTCAACTTGAAAACAACATTCAACGTGAATTTCTTTTTTAACTTTAATCAAAGCGTAAAAACTCAGGATTAATCCTGAAAAATCCAAAAAATTCTTAAAAAACCCTGAGCCAAAAAACGTGGAAATATCTAATCCATTTTAAATCCCGAAATTATTCATCAAATGCACCAGGGATTTAAAATTTTATTTTACATTTCCACGCTTATTGGCTCAGGGATTTTTTTAAGGATTTTGGGGATTCTTCAGGATAAATCCTTAGTTTCCACGCCTTGTCTTTAACTGAACTTTAATCAGGTTTTCAAAAGTTCTTATGTTTTCCATTAGATTAAAAAACTTTTTGGCATATTTTTTTTTAAAAAATACTATACCAAGTTACATAATACTTACTTCCAATTAAGTCATAAATGAATAATGCGGCAGTTTGGATTTGCATTTTCTCAATTTCATTAGATCCAGCGAGATTGAATTTTTCTCCCAAGAAGTTGCAAATGGCAATTGTATGTGAATACTTTTCTCCATCAACTTCGAGGACTGGAACTTTGCCGAATGGCATTGCTGTAAAAATTATCAGTTGATTACAATTAATTCCAGAACATTCAAATTTACCTTACTTGGCTTAATTTTCGGCCAAACATCTTCCTCAAATCGGATATCATCAAAATTAACTCCACCATAGCTCAATAAAAACCGAATTACTTCAGCACGAGCTCGGTAATTGAAGTAGTGAACTTTATAGCTGCTCATATTTTTGATGATTTTAATCGAATGACTGAGGAATACTGATAGAGCATAAATATAAATGTCTTGTTTTTATATCAACTATTTTATCTGATTTAATCCGGCTAAAACTGTGTGAATGAAACACACTTATCAATATTATCGTGCTTGTATTTAATTTAAAATACTAGCAAATATTATACAAAATGTGTAGTTATTACTGACAAGCATGTCTATATTCACTAAGACAAGCATTGCTTTATGTATATTTATATTTTTTGATTATGTGTAAGAAAATAAATAAAATGTACATTTGTAATTCTAATTCGAAAGTTAACAACATTAAGATTTAATTAAAAAAATTAAAATTTTTTTTTAGCCAAACTCTTTTATTGCTGACTGCAAAGCCGAACTCAAGAAAACAACAAAAATGATTAAACTTTTTTTGGGCGCTTTTCAACCCATTCTTTGATTCCAGGTGTAGCAATAGTATTTTCAACAACTTTCTTCAAGTTCTGATAATTGGCAGTGATGTCTTGTTGTGCCATTAAGCTCAAATAATTCGACATTCCTGTAAAGTACACATCAGCCAAAGTAAACTTCTTAAGTGCAAAATGTCCATCATTTTCAGCTGCAATAGCATCGAGTTTTTCGAGGAAATATGGAATTGTTTCAGCTTTCAACAACTTGAATTTTTCCTCCTTTGCGACTGCATTTTGTTCGTATTGAGCGCCAGCAAGTTCTGAATCGAGAAAAATATGTTTTATGTTAGGCTTATCTGAAGATAACGAATGATTTATAAATCATGTTTCCTGTCTAATAATGAACTTTCAAAATATACAAAATTGCAGCTTTTTAAATGTAAATTCAAAGTTAAATTAGATGAATAGACAAACAAAAATCTCAAAAATTGGATTTTATTTGTTTAAATCTAGCGCATAAACATGTTGAGTGGAAATAATGAATGTTAATTGAATAAAAGCTGTCAAGTGGTTCTATTATCTCTGGTCTCCTATGAACCATGAAATATATTAAAATGATACACATTCGTTGAATTAAACAAATAAATTTAAATGTGCAAAAAATTTTAAATACAAAATTAAAATGGATACTAATCGGACTGGTACATTAAGGTACTCAAAGTAATCTATTTTACATCTATGTATACTTACTGGCACGGAAATCATTAATATTGTCAACAGCATTATCAATTTCGTAATCTTCCAATGGATTTTCTCCGTAGAGTCCAACTAAACGCGCAAGATAACGGCTAATAGCCAAAGATTGATACATAACTTTGCCATCAGCTTCAAGAATTGGAACTTGACCCATTGGCATTGCTATAATTTAAAAAAAAACCGTTAAGTGTTGATTAATTAATTGCAAGTTTTGATGTCTATTTAAGATTCATAATTGATTCAATTGATTTTTTCGATGCATGAATGAGTTAAAATGCTGATTATAGAACTTATTTAAACTTGGGGCATGATTTGACAATTGAGATTTTTGAGATAGTAGCGATAAAAAAAATTTGTCATCATCATGCTGAGTATGTACAAAATAATAAGGCATGAACAAGTGTTTTACCTCAGAACATTCCAGCAACTCATATTTTTTTATCGCTCATATCAGTCATACCACTTTTTAAAGATAAAGAAAAAAAAAGTTTTTTACTCACCTGTCTTAAACTTAGCCCAGTCCTTCTCATAATCAATGCGATTGTCAGTGAAGTCAAGATTTCCATAGCTCAACAACATACGGATTGGCTCGCCTAGAGCTTCAACATCAAAATATGTAAGAGTATACTTAGTCATTTTGAGAAATATTAATGAAAATTTGCTTCTCCTGGTAACTGCTTGATTAACACACAACGACTGAATTTTTGTGACGACTTGCTTGCTTTTTAAATGTGAAGCTTTGTTGATAAACGCTTGTGAATGTATTCATTGGGAATATAAATGTATTGTTTCAGAACCGGCGACTTTTTGTTTATCAATAACATTTTCAATTCACATGTTGAATTATGTTTCTGTATTGAGTCATTTGAGATTTCATAGATTCGCACCGTTTTTAATTTATCGCCTTTTTCAATGAGTTCTTTATTATACATGCATACAGTCAGATATAAAAACTATGTTTAATGAATCTTTCAAATTTTTATTTTTCTGGCTCCAAAACTTCATTTTAGATACTTCCTTTATACTTACTTCGCTGGCTGTACAGATCAGTTGTGATCCATACCCTCCCTTAGTCGTAGCCTAAAACTAGCTCTATCGCTGGCTACCGTCTGGAATTGCCGATTCCAAATGCATCTCGGATCTCGGGTTGTCTCTATCAACAGCCTCTTTCCATGAATTATTTGGCTTTCCACGTGATCTCTTTCCATCTACAAAATCGGATTTGAAAACCTTATTTAATGGAGCTTCAACAGAACTCCTAATAATATGTCCAGCCCATCGAAGCCTGAAGATATCTAAATTCCTAGATATTTTAATCTTAATGTCTCAAAATAGTAATTTTACTTTAATTCTATATAATTTGTCTATTTACTTGATTTATCATAAAATCAGCTTTTTCACGATACGATAAGACGAAGCTTTAAAAGTAAATATTTTTTTAAAAAACTTATCAGTCCCGGTTCAACAATGTTCAAAATAGCAGCTTTAGTTAGTTTATTTGTGACCTTTACTCTTGCAGCTCGTAAATATTAAATATAAGAATTAATAGCTCAAAAGTTTTAACACTTTCACATCCTTTCAGCAAATTCAGATGGAAGAATAGTTGGTGGACGTGATGCTGTACGTCGTCAAGCACCATTTTCAGTATCAGTCAGAAATACAGGTACAGATTTTCATGTTGGAGGTGGTGCAATGATAAGTGATCGATGGATTGTGACATGTGCGAGTATTTTACAAGGACGCGCAGACACTTCCTTTGATGTTGCTTTAGGAATCGTTCAACTTAGTCAGTCATCTGTATCTGGATCAGTTATTAGAAGAAGGTAAATACATTTATTGAGTTGGTGTCAAGTGACGTATGCGATTTATTATAGGGTTTTTCTAGTATATTAAGATTATTTTTAAAAATTTTATTTATCAAAACAGTGCTGAAATTGTTCCTCACCCTGGTTTTATACTTTCATCAATGATCAATGATATCGGATTGATAAGATTAGGCGGAGTTGGATCTGTTTCATTTTCCACATTCATAATGCCAATTTTCTTTGAAGCTACACGATGGGATTCACCAGCAACATCAGTTGTGAGTTTAAGATATAAATTCAAGAGTTTTATAAAATTAAATTAAAAATTTATTTTAGTTGTCAGGATGGGGTTCTCAATCATCATTAGGTCCAGTGGGTGACACCATGCAAATTCTGTTAACTGAAACAATGACGAATGAGGAATGTGAACAAATTTTGGGAAGGACGTTGACAAGAGATGTGGTTTGCACAAGAAATAATGATGGTTCTGGTCTATGCGCAAATGATAGAGGATCACCGTTGGTTGCTGGTCTGCAATTAATTGGAATTGCATCATCGAGTGAAGCATGTGGAACAACAAGACCTGTCAGTTTATTTTTAAAATAATTGAAGAATTAGGGTTAATTTTATTTTTATTCCAGAATATTTACACGAGACTCTCATCATACAGGACTTGGATCGGAAGCATAACTGGAATATAAATTGTTCGTCGCTTTGTCTATCATTGCGGACATTTACGAGTGTTTTCAATGGACAGTCTTATATTTTTGAAATAATTTTTTTAAATCTGAATTTTTTTTTGATTTTCTTAAGAAAAAGCATATGAAAAGGTTTGATTTCATCGGATTTGAAAGAAAATAAAATTTAAAATTCTAAATCAATATGGGCAAGATCGAAAATGAATTGTTCGTGACGCTAAGCAATAATTTACAATTTTTGAATTAATAATGCAAAAGATGTATTTAAGACTTGTGTTTTTCTTAAAGTCCTTGCCAAGACCTATATTTTGGTGTATAACAAGTATCTCTTAGACATTGTATTATAATTAAAAATTAATTTAAAGTGCTTAGCGTCACGAACAATTTTGAAGAAATTCGATTTTACACCATATTGCTAATTCAATATCTCTGCAACTGATTCACAAATCTTAGAAATTCTTTCACTGAGTAATTAAATGATCAGAATAGTGAATTATTTGCATAAAATTATTAAAATGGTGGTATTTTAAGTTAGCTTAATTAATGTTTTAAATGTTTAGGTTGAAATTTCTATATGAAAGAAACATCTTAATAACTTGCTTTCATTACAAAAAAATACTTTATAAAAAAAACTTTTTAAAAAAACTACGTTTTTCGCGTAGACTAAAAAGTAGAAAATAACTTTTATTCTTGGTTGTAAAGAATTTGGTTTTAAATTTTCAGATTATATTTAATAAATTTTTATATCCTAGTCAATATTGTTCACAAAGTTTCGAATAAGTGCACTTTGATCTTATCGTATAACTCAACAACTTAAAAACGTGGGCGCATTAATTTAAGTTTATCATAAAGTTTATGTGAAAACTTATTTCTCCTCTTATAATGCGCCCACGTTTTTAAGTTGTTGAGTTATACGATAAGATCAAAGTGCACTTATTCGAAACTTTGTGAACAATATTGACTAGGATATAAAAATTTATTAAATATAATCTGAAAATTTAAAACCAAATTCTTTACAACCAAGAATAAAAGTTATTTTCTACTTTTTAGTCTACGCGAAAAACGTAGTTTTTTTAAAAAGTTTTTTTTATAAAGTATTTTATTTTCTACTTTTTAGTCTTATTCTAATGCAATAGAGAAATAAAAATTATAGGGGGTTTATGTGTGTTGAACTCCACTTCGTTGCACTTCGTTACGTTCAACTGTTTATAGATTACAGTAGGTTTATAGGTTACAGGTGTGTTGAACTCCACTTCGTTGCACTTCGTTACGTTCAACTGTTTATAGATTACAGTAGGTTCATAGGTTACAGGTGTGTTGAACTCAACTTCGTTTCACTTCGTTACGTTCAACTGTTTATAGATTACAGTAGGTTCATAGGTTACAGGTGTGTTGAACTCCACTTCGTTGCACTTCGTTACGTTCAACTGTTTATAGATTACAGTAGGTTTATAGGTTACAGGTGTGTTTAACTCCACTTCGTTGCACTTCGTTTCGTTCAACTGTTTATAGATTACAGTAGGTTTATAGGTTACAGGTGTGTTGAACTCCACTTCGTTGCACTTCGTTACGTTCAACTGTTTATAGATTACAGTAGGTTCATAAGTTACAGGTGTGTTGAACTCCACTTCGTTGCACTTCGTTACGTTCAACTGTTTATAGATTACAGTAGGTTCATAGGTTACAGGTGTGTTGAACTCCACTTCGTTGCACTTCGTTACGTTCAACTGTTTATAGATTACAGTAGGTTCATAGGTTACAGGTGTGTTGAACTTCACTTCGTTGCACTTCGTTACGTTCAACTGTTTATAGATTACAGTAGGTTCATAGGTTACAGGTGTGTTAAACTCCACTTCGTTGCACTTCGTTTCGTTTAACTGTTTATAGATTACAGTAGGTTCATAGGTTACAGGTGTGTTGAACTCCACTTCGTTTCATTTCGTTACGTTCAACTGTTTAAAGATTACAGTGGGTTTATAGGTTACAGGTGTGTTGAACTCCACTTCGTTGCACTTCGTTACGTTCAACTGTTTATAGATTACAGTAGGTTCATAGGTTACTGGTGTGTTGAACTTCACTTCGTTGCACTTCGTTACGTTCAACTGTTTATAGATTACAGTAGGTTCATAGGTTACAGGTGTGTTAAACTCCACTTCGTTGCACTTCGTTTCGTTTAACTGTTTATAGATTACAGTAGGTTCATAGGTTACAGGTGTGTTGAACTCCACTTCGTTTCACTTCGTTACGTTCAACTGTTTATAGATTACAGTAGGTTTATAGGTTACAGGTGTGTTTAACTCCACTTCGTTGCACTTCGTTACGTTCAACTGTTTATAGATTACAGTAGGTTCATAGGTTACAGGTGTGTTGAACTTCACTTCGTTGCACTTCGTTACGTTCAACTGTTTATAGATTACAGTAGGTTCACAGGTTACAGGTGTGTTGAACTCCACTTCGTTGCACTTCGTTACGTTCAACTGTTTATAGATTACAGTAGGTTAATAGGTTACAGGTGTGTTGAACTCCACTTCGTTGCACTTCGTTACGTTCAACTGTTTATAGATTACAGTAGGTTCATAGGTTACAGGTGTGTTGAACTTCACTTCGTTGCACTTCGTTACGTTCAACTGTTTATAGATTACAGTAGGTTCATAGGTTACAGGTGTGTTAAACTCCACTTCGTTGCACTTCGTTTCGTTTAACTGTTTATAGATTACAGTAGGTTCATAGGTTACAGGTGTGTTGAACTCCACTTCGTTTCATTTCGTTACGTTCAACTGTTTAAAGATTACAGTGGGTTTATAGGTTACAGGTGTGTTGAACTCCACTTCGTTGCACTTCGTTACGTTCAACTGTTTATAGATTACAGTAGGTTTATAGGTTACTGGTGTGTTGAACTCCACTTCGTTACGTTCAACTGTTTATAGATTACAGTAGGTTCATAGGTTACTGGTGTTTTGAACTCCACTTCGTTTCACTCCGTTACGTTCAACTGTTTATAAATTACCAGTTTTCAATGGGAAATTAGTAACGACTTTCAAAATTTTTCATTCGTTTTATAAAATTTAATTTTTTTAAAGCATTCATTAGTAAAGTACATTAAAAATCACTCGTAAAGATTTTGTGTTTATCTGTACCATTTCTACTTCATAACGTGTGGATTCTTAACATAAAGATGCAACTCACATCTATATGTAACGTATTTATAACGGATTTTCAAATTTAAATTCAATGAATATCATTTATATGTTATGCAAAAATACGTCAAACCGTTAATAAAAAGAAAAGTCAATTTAATTAAGTTGGTGAAGTGTTAAAAATAATGCAATACATTTAAAACAGCATAAATTTATGCTCAAACTTTGTGTGCTAAATGCACATCGCATATTAATAGTTATTTTGCATTAATTCGTAACGGACCTGTGCTTAACGGTTTTTTTGAAAATTCAAATATTCACTTACGAATATTCATGAAAAAATTACTTGTCAATTTTTTTGTCTTACCAGAATATCTTTAGCTGCTCAAATTTATGGTATAATTAATAATGAGTAATATTAATTAAACTATAATGAATCATATAAATGACTTTAGAGCATCAAAAGTATAATATTTAATACAAATCAAAATTTTATATCATTGACATTGGATTTTTTCCCATATAAAAAAGTTTTACATAAATTGTACTATAATTAAGCATTTTTGTGTTTCCAAAGTGTTAAAATATTGTATTGTCACCGGGAATACGTGTGCATTAAAAATTTAAGCTCGTTTGGAGCAGTAGAAGTGGTCGAAAAATCGATTACAAAAGTACGAAATTTTGCGGACAATCAATCAATCAATCAATCAATCAAACAGATAAGAAAGCAAGTTAAGAAAAACGTAGTAAAAAGCTAGCAAATATGACTGTCTTTAAGTTTATAAAAGAAAATTTTAAGTTTTACTTTAATTAAGAAAGTTACAGTGAGTTTAAGAAAACTTCTATTTAACCATTACTCTTTTATTATTTTAATGATCTCTCAACTTGAAACTGTAAAAATACATTAGATGCATCTTTTTGCAAAAGAAAAACTTAAAAATCTTTATGGAAAGTCAAGAAAATCATAAAAGTTTAAATAATTTAACCAAAATATTTGTAACGGCTTTGAAAAATTCAAATATTGTGTGAAATCATGAGCAACACAGAGCAAAACATGTTGCTCAATTGAAATTACAATGTTTTTAAGTTAATTTAACTCAATTTTAAGCATTTTCAACAAACATTTACAATACACAATGACTTTTTAATTACTTAAAAATTGTTTTCGGTCGACTAGAGTTAGTATTTTTGCTGAAAAAGGAATTTTTTCAACAAGTTGATTTTTTGTTAAAATAACTAAATCTATTGATTTTTATTAAGCTTTAGTCTGATGTTATGATAGAAAATATCCTAATCTACAACTTTTGTCAAGGACTTGAACATTTAGCTTGCTTTTTCATGAAGAAAAATCAAGCTCAAATGTGAATTTGTTAATTAAGATAACTTATTAAACCGCCATTTTGAAAAATGAAATTAAAAGTTGAACTTTCTGAAATTTGCTATCGACCTGTGAAAAAATCATACAAATTGGATGTTCGGAAGCAGAGAAATCAGCATTTGAAGATTTTTTCACTTTTTTTCTGATCTTGCCCATATGAAATGTGTTAAAGCTTTAAATTTCTTTTCTGAATAAAAAATATTTGAAGATACAACAAATAGTGTGAGGAATATTAATGGAATCTAAATCGATGAAGACTTTATGGTAAGATTTATGATTTCTTGAGATTCAAAAATTATGAATGAAATTTAAATTTCTGAACGTACTCATAACGTGTTTTTCATATGAAATAAAAAAATATTAAGTCTAAATGTTTAGTCGGCCAATAACTTGATTAAACTAAGCAAACAAAACAAATCCGAGCTTTATTTGATGTCTGATTAAGAAGTTTTGATTCGCCCGAGCAGCCGAGTAAACTTCCAAAATAAATTTTTAAACTACATTTAAAAACAAGTTTTCTACAATTATACAACCTGTAGATTCAAATTTCCTTTCAGCACAAGTATAAACAATAAACACATGTGAAAATGTAAAACTGCTTTGTTGTCAAACAAAAAGCACGTGTTATGTGGATAAAGCACGTGCATCACCAATACGATTGCAATTGTCTCGCCACATTTTACACTTGCGCATTAATGCAAAATGAAAATTTTTTCTCTTTTCTATCTAAATTGAAAATTTCAATTATTTTCTGTATTTTAAAACAGTTTTGAGATATTATGTGATTTAAATACATGTAAGTGGTAAAATAATTTGGATTATTCCTAAAAATCGTAAAGTTCAGCTGAAATTTATTGAAAAATATAAGAAAGTTTAAAAAACGGGTTTGAATGTGAAAAAAATCTGTGAAAATTTCTATTTGGTGGATCTTTTAAGCTTAATTGGTGATTAGATGTAAAATGAATTCAATTTAAAATCAAAACTTGTCACCACATAAGGAAAAAAGTGAATTTAGTTTTTACTTCTAGTTCTCTTAATTTGTATGAAATTTTTCAAATTGATTATGTTTTGTATATTTCCTTTTCAACCATCTGCAATTTTATTTGCAATTTAAAATTATTTTAAGATTTAGTAAATTATTTAAATAAATCTATTCATATTTTTCAATAATTTTTCCTGCATGAGTCAAGGAAAATTTTACTATGAGAAACTTAAAAACAACATTCATACGTCGATAAATGACCTTGAGTTCAGACTGTCTTCCTCATTTTCTTTTCATCATTGCATTTCATGCGATTATACGTAAACTAGGGCATTGGCTTGTTCAATGAACTTCCTGATTTTTGCTGGGATTTCAAAATTTTTTTTTGATTCTAAAATGATAATTTAATTAAACTTTATTTTTCTTAAAATTAAAATTAAATGTTTAAGCTGCAATGGGCTAGTGCATATTACGCAAAAGAAAAGAGTGAGGCCTATAGCATAGTAAGTAAATGAATAAAATCAGAAGTTAAAATTTAGATGAGCAAATGCAAGCTGAACCTTTATTTTTTAAACAGTTTTAAACATTTGAGATAAATTAAGTGCATTAAGTTCTTTCAGGATGAGAAAAAAAATTATAATAATATCAAAAGCAAAGCGATAAGAAATTAAATTTCACAAAATATCAATTTATAACTATAACTTTATTTATACAATTTATAACTAATTTGTATTACCATAACTTTTGATACACGAATGTCAAGCTAATTATACTCCAACAAGTTGCTTTATTCCATTCATCAAGTAAAATCCAAACAGTATGCTTCACAAAAGAAATGTTTCCAATTAATAAACATGACTGAATAAAAGCTATTTTATGTTATGGTCAGATAATTTTACTCATTTGATTGGATTTTCAAGTTTTCAACAAATTCGATGCAATTTAAAGTAGTAAAAAGCTGTAAATTGAATTAATATTAGTTTTATAATGTGAACAATAATTAATCAATTTTCTTATTTATTTTCCCAGAAACAAACGATGAGTAAAGTTTTGGAATTGAAAAGTATTCAAAAAAGATTGTAGAAGTTTTATTGATCTATGAAAACTTAAAAAATAGTAAAATCATCAATAATTTGTAAAAAAATCATCGAAATTTCAACAAAACATCAAAAACAAAATGTCGAAAATGTTTACAAAAATTGCACAAAAGACAGTTAAAGAACTCGAATGTTCAGCAACACTAACAAGTGAGGAACTACAAAAAACAACATTCGAAGTACTGAAAATCAAAAACTGTCCATCAGTTGATGAATTTCTTCTTTACATTACATCTTCGAAATTTCATAGTCACTTCCATCATGCAAAATGTGCATTTGTAATTATCGCAGAATGTGAAGACGACACAGATGTAAGACAATTGAGAGGCGACGAATTAAAAGAAATTTCTGAGTGTTATCGAGCTAAGAAGTTGATGGTCGTGTCCATCGAAGGTAGAACAAATGAGATTAAATCATATATTTATTATAAGCAACTGCATGAGAGTGAATTCAAGACATTAGGAGATCATGGACAATCAACTGAAAATCTTGATGAAATTCAGATCCAAACTACCTCAGATTCATCGCCAAAATCTTTCGAACAAAACTTCAACTTTTCATCATTTTTGCTCAATTTGAATGCTCAAAATTTTGGAATTTTTGATGGAAAATTGCTAGATACAAAAATCGACACATCTACATGCTACAATGGAAAGAGACTTATTGACTATGCAGTCGAAAGTAACAAAATTCTTAGCGTTCGATTCTTACAACTCTTCAATTTTGACTTAAAACGCACGAATGAAAATGGCGAACGTCCACTGGAAATAGCCGCAAAACTGCCAACAATGGATGCATTTGTAGCACTGTTAAAATTTAAATTTGAATTTTGGAATGATGAACTGTGCAAATGTGATTACAATTTGCTTCATTTAAGAAACAAAAATGGGCTGACTTTGTTGATGCTTGCCGCATTGAGTGGAAACAATGGAGTAGTCAGCTTGCTAGTAAAAATTGGTGTTGATAAAAATCACGAAGTTCATGGTGAGACAGCAGCAAGTTTGGCATGGAAAAATAAAAAATTTGAAGCATTTTTAACACTTTTAAAATTTGACGCTCGTTATCCAAAACCATTTAAAAATGAACTTGAAGAACGATGGGAATCTGTGCCAAAAGAATTGAAAAAGTTTGTCAGCACAATTGAGGCTTTCCACTTAATGGTCAGCAAGAATGAAACTCAGGAATATGAGAAAATATTGCAGACTTATCCAAATGTATTTCACTTTTACAACACTCAGAATCAATCAGCCGCAATGACTGCTTTAAAAAGTTCTGAATCTAATTCATGGACCTATGAGGATCTTATCAAGAAAGGAATTTATGTTGGCTTTCATGAAAAGCTTGAAGGAATTATTGATGAGCCTCAGCAGACTCAGAACTCAAAACATTTAAGTGGAAGGAATTTAATTACTTTAATGTCTAAGTCTTATGTAGGCTGTAGCACCTCCTATGACGAGAAGAAGAAAAAAGTTCATCACATACTTAGATGTTATAATTTGTTGCACCAAATTGAACTTATTCGACCAATTTTAAATATTGTTGTGGCATATCCTATTAAAATGATTTTTGACTTTAGTAGGCTATCTGTTCAACATTTGCATCCTGAAGCTAGTGATTATAATTCAGGTGAGTGTGGTGCTGTAAGAGATTTACCATGTAGAGTTTCAATCTTGTCCTAAATTTTATTCTTAGGTTCACTGTATCGCAACAAAGGATATCTATTCATCGGTGCCAAAAACCTTCTCGACTCCAAAAAAGAATGTGAAGTTCTAGCCACTTTAGCACATAAAGCTCTTCACTATGCTTTACAAATTATCTATGACAACGACTCAAAGCCGTATTTTGTGAATGACGAGGATAGAAAAAATGAGTTTGCAGAAGTATCAAAAGCATGTGTACTTCAAAGAATGTGCGAATTTGTGATTGAAAATGTCTACGAATATAATGAAAATGAGCAGCATGCAGAACTTATTGCAAGAATTCCTCATATTTTGGCTCTTTATTTCCAAAATGAAGAGAAAAGGAAATTTTGTCATGAAAAATTTAAACAACTTTTTACGTTTTATGAGCGTCGAATTGTCCATGACTTGAAGATCCCACATATTGAAGATTTACCAATGAAGAATGAAATTTACAAGTTAAATGCAAAGCTTGAAGCTGTTCAAACTTTAAGAGAATCAAAATATAAATTAAAAATGGAATCCCTTAAAGTCAATGCCAATATTAAAGACAAAAGTATCATTTACATTTCTGGTTGTCCATTAATGACATTCCAAGCAATTTTTCAGCGTCATAAAATTGAATCATTTCACATTGGATCTTCGTCATCTCTCCAGTCACAAAAATCAGATCAGCTTTTCCACAATCAACGACTTTTTGTGTACATGACACATGATAAGATTGATGATAAACTATTACAGCATCTAAAGACTCTTATGAAGACCCTAGAAGGATATGATGGACGTCTCATTTTGACTGTTATTATAAACTGTGAAGGCAGAAGCATGAAAGTCCTTAAAAATATTGCAAAAAAGTTTATTCCATTTAAAGTTGCATTCATTATTGATGTTAATTCAAACACAATAAATCGTGAAGTATTGGCAAAGACTTTTGAATTACGTGACTCCAAATATACATGGAATGACTTGACAAATCCATCACAGCAACTTTTAAGTGGAATGAAAGTTAATTTTCAAGGAATAGAAATGAAATTTAACGAATTCTTGTCAGAAAATTCGCAGTCATTAAAAGAATTGCCATTAAACATTTTAATCACTAAGAATTATCTCACAATATCTAATAAGATTGAAAATGATACAAAATATTACGTCAGAAGGAAGTTTATTGATAGTACAGCACGTTGCAATCGCTGGGATCAAGAAAGGAATGAATATGTTGATGAATATGACAAACCTATTAAAACTTTTGATGAAATTGCAGAAACTGAAAGCATTAAAGTGATTTTGCTAGCTGATGAGCCGAAAGCTGGAAAGACTTCAACGTTTAAAAGCATCGCGACACGATTAAAAGCAAAATTTGTTGATAAATGGATTGTCTTCATTGATCACAAACATCATGCTGATGTTTATCGAACTTGCAAATCAGTTGAATGGAACCAGCAAAAGCTCTCATCATTTATAAGTCAGGATGTCCTCCAACTGCTAGACTTTGAACAGAAAATATTTGAAGAATTTTTCATTGAAGGTCGCGTGATTGTTTTATTGGAAATGAATGTCTTTTACCAAGAAATTCTTGATTTTGCTGTGAGACTTAAGGAACTATCACAAAATCAACTATGGATTGCTACATGGCCACAGCATGCAAACAAACTTGAGCTAGCATTTCATACAAAATCATTTAAACTTGTTCCATTTGATGACGAAAATCGGCGAGAATTTTTTGAAAAATTCTTAAATTCCAAAGGAATTATTGAAAAAGAAGAAGTAGGGAACAAAATTAAAGAGCTCGAGAGCTTCTTACAGTTGCATAATAAGGAAGACAATTTTCCATGTGATATACCATTGATGGTGAGGATGATTGCCGAGGTTTATGAAAATTCACTTACAGGTTAGTTATATCGATCCTCTTCCTTTTCTCTATGGCTCAATGTCTTCCTTTGTGCCAACTCTATGTAATAAAATACTATCAAAAATTTGACTTAATTTCTTATCTTTTCCAACTTCCAGAAAACGGTCCATCATTTCTGTCCAACAATCTCTTCTCGATTTATCAGTCATTTGTGTCTCGAATTCTCGGACCACTTGTATCCAACTCAAGGCTCAATATAATGGAACTCCATCAAAAGTATGCATTAAAAGAAGTATTTTGTCGCAAGAAAAAGAACGAATGTGAAGAAACCGTAAAAGCTTTACACATAATGTTGCCAAGGGTTGGAAATACTCACAAGAAGATCTTTACATGCGGAATAATGTACAAGCTGGAAAGAGGAAAATTAAAATTTGTGCATAAAACATTTGCAGACTTTTTTGTCGCTCAGTACATCATTGATAATGTGCTTAATGCTAATATGAATGGGAACAGTGAGGAAGCTGAATTGAGATCGAAAATATTTTTGAATATATTGCGAGACTCAAATCGCTGTTATAAGACAATTCATCGATTTTTAGACAATTACATTGAAATGAATGAATCAGAATTGGAAGAGAGATTTGACGAAAGTTGCTATACATATCTGAGCTCATTTAAACCACCACAATACTTTAGAAGTCTATTGTGGAGACTAGCACGACATCGATGTTTCTTTTTGATCAAATTCCTCACAGAACTTTACAGTGATGACAACAAAATTCTTCGTGAAATGTGGGGTGTGATTAGTCTTGATGGATATAGTTTCCTGTTCAAAACTATCGACAAAGAGGACGGTGAAATTGATTTCACATTCACAGAACGTGTTTGGCATTTAGCAAAGGAAGTCTTCCATGATCGTCACGACTTGATCTCAATCCTTAAGACAACACTTGTTCGGTCATCATGCTCAGTCTTTAAAAATGTATTTCCAAATTTTTGGCATTTTGCTGATGAATTCTTAACAATGGACGAAAAAGTTGATATTTTAACTAAAAGTGCATTGGAACTTTTTGCGAGGAACAAGACAAAGAAATTTTTTGTTGAAGTTTGTGAAATTGCTGAGAAAAACTTGAATGCTGATCAAATTAAGCTATTTTTGACTAATTGTGATGACGATGGGAAGAACTTTTTGTACCATTTTTCTAGGACGACTGATGATGAGGCTTTACAAGTAAGTTTATTTAAATAAAAATATTTTCATTTAGAAATTTAATCTAATTTGTAACGTTTTTTACAGGAATACCTCAAGAAACTCAAACAGTACCTCACAATAGATGAACAAAAAGTCTTGCTTATCAAACGACTTCGTGGAATGCTTGAAGAAGACAAAAAGACACCACCGAAAAGTTTTCGAACACTTTGGGAATTTGCTGAGCAGCAACTTGAAAAAGAAGAACTAAAATCACTTTTGATGACCACAAATACTTCTCATTTTACAATATTCCATGAGACAATTATTGAAGGAGATGAAAAAACATTTAATTTCATGATTGAAGTTCATGAAAGAATTCTTGAAAAGGAAGAAATTAAAGAACTTATCATGCAGACATTCCAAAGTAACAAGACACTTCTTTATAAATCTATGGGTATTTCAATAGAATCAATTCTTATGGTCTGGGACTACCTGCAAGATCTTCTTGATGATGATGAAGAAACTCTCAAAAAATTTCTTGCACATCGTGACGATTTTGGTGACACAGCATTCAGCAGTATGAAATGGTACGATGCATTTCCAAATGAGCTTTTTATGCCATTCATTTCTGAGAATTTTACAAAACCAGAAATTGAGAAACTTTTTGAAAAAGCTTCAGATGAGATTTTATCAACAGAATTGCCGACACCAGAAAACAATGAACAAGTAACTATTGAGGCTAATGAGACACCAAAGCAGAATAAACATTTTTCACTAAACTGCTTTTGTTGTAGTAAAGCTGTTTAGATTTTATATGTAAGTGCACATGCTGGTCTGAGTTTATTTTAAAACTATTAATTGTATATGAGTATCCTTTATGTTTAGCGGTATTACTGCTATTTAAAGTAGCTAGCCCTGAAAGTAAAGGTGACAAATGAAAAGTTTAATTTGTATTTTCACATTATAAAATTTAAATTAATTTAATTTTAAAAAGTATTAAATTTTGATTGGCCTAAATGTTTTGGTGCAAAATAGAAAAAAAGTACAGGGTTTATAAAATTGATTTTAAAATTCTAGTAAAATATTTTGAATACACGATATAAAAATTTATGTCAATTAATTGTTTTCTCTTATTTAAAAGCACATTTTTGTATTAAATAAACTGCCTGTAAATGAGATTTTATTCATCTCTAATTTGACACTTTTGCCACTTTTAAAAATGAATCAAATTCATGCCAAAATTTCATTTTCATAATATAACACAATACTGAAAACTGCACAATATGAATTAGCTGATTCAAAATTGAAAAAAAATGATATAGAATTCAACTTTCTTGTACGGAATTCAATTTAATGTTTGAGAGATTTTAAAATTAATTCGTAAAATTTGAAACAAAAAAATAAAAACATTAAACAAAATTACAGTATTATAAATAAAAAAAATAAAGTCTTTCAGTATTAAACCATGCCAAGAGATTAGATATAATTTTAAAATAAATTAAAAAAAATCAATTCAATTTTATTTAAAATCAAGCTAAATGAGTTAAGTTCCAATATGTGTTACATCTAGTTAAGAACTTAGATCAGAAAAATGTTAATTTTACAGGAATCTAAAAATGAGTTTTAATTATATTTTTAATAATAAAGAGTTTTTAATGTTGGTCGAAAATTAAACTTAATTTTTTGACAGTTTATTGTAATTTATTCATTCTAGATATTTTTTAGGACAAACAAAATGGGGAATCAAAACACTCCAATCAGCTCCGGCACCCTAAATCACGATTGAATGAATGTGTCAATAATTGATGCTATTCTCAATTTAGGTTATATTTTCTTCTTCAAATTTAAGAATTTTATCAATAATTTTGTGTTCATCTTTTAGCGGAACAGTTGCGTGCAGGGGTGTCAAAAATTTGGGGTGTCAGGAATGGTACAAATCGCAAATAACTAAACCTTAAAAAACAAAGAACTTGTACAAATCCCAGATTTAATAAAATGCGTCAAATTCAGTTTTAACTTTTTTTTCTCAAATTCCACTTTTTTTGTGAGTTTCAAATTTTTGTAACGAACCTCATCATTTTTAAATTTGACTTGTGAATCAATTTTGGTCAGCAAAAAAAAAATGAAAATTAATCAAAGATGTACTAAAAACTTAAAATAACTAGAAATGAATGGCCAGTAATATTTTTCTGGGATTGCATTATGTAATGCATAATGCATTATGTTACGATTGCGACAAGGACTTGGGTTACCTAAAATCCTTTTAAAAAAGCTATAAACATCCAAGTACTAGGGATTTGTACTTAACACCAAAGTTAAGTGACTCATATCAAAAACTTTATCGCAAATCACTTGCACTACGAGGAGCAAAGTTTGAGAAATACGATCGGGAAACACAATTACATTGAAGTCCTTGAGGACGGTTTATTTGATAATAATCCTGAATTATAGCCAGTCTGAATAGGGGACAGTCGAATCAGTTATATCAGTTCAAATGTAATTAAAAATATTAATGCTTTGAAAAATTGGGAAGTTATTAGTCTTTTAAATGTATAGTCTCAAGTCTCAGACAAAACTTATATCATGTCAATTCAGTTTAATGTTTTATCCAGAACCAAACGTTAGCTGAACTTTTGAATTTACAACAGTCAAGTTTTGGTCAATAATATTATTTTAAAATTCACTTAATTTATTCATGGGCACATCTCGTAAGTTAGTCAAACTGTAGGACCTGCCTTCGTTTACCAAACAACATTCAACATTTAAATAACATATTTACATTCTAAATACACCATGACGAGTCGGTTCTATTGGAGCATTTAATGCAGCTGCTAAAGACATTCCAAGTACTTTTCTTGAATCAACAGGATCAATAATTCCATCATCCCATAACCTTGCAGTACTATAGTAAGCTGAACTCTCGTCATCAAACTGTTTTATTAATGGAGCTTTTATCTTGTCTGCAATTTCTTGTGTCCATTCTTTTCCAGCTCTTTTAAATTGATCTTCAGTAATCTGTGCTAGTACTCCAGCCGCTTGTGCTCCTCCCATGACAGCAATTTTAGAATTTGGCCACATATAAAGGAATCTTGGACTATAAGCACGTCCACACATTCCATAATTTCCAGCACCATAAGAGCCACCTATAATGAGTGTTAATTTCGGTACACGAGCTGTAGCCACAGCGTTAACCATTTTTGCGCCATTTTTTGCAATTCCTTGCGATTCGGCTTCTTTACCGACCATGAATCCAGTAATATTTTGAAGGAACAACAAAGGAATTCCACGTTGTGAACAAAGTTGAATAAAATGGGAACCTTTAAGTGCTGATTCACTAAAAAGTACACCATTGTTTCCAACTATGCCAATTGTATTTCCGTATAACTTTGCAAATCCACAAACTAAAGTTTCTCCGTAGAATTTCTTAAACTCTTGGAATTTTGATCCGTCAACAATTCTTGCTATGACCTCACGAACATCAAAATTTTTGGTCAATTGTGAATTAATAATTCCATAAAGTTCTGATGGATCATACAGTGGTTCTTCAATGTCAGTCTGAATATCATTATCTTGCCTTGAAATTTCATAATCTAACCTCAAATTGTCATTGTACTTGTTTGTTGTTCTCAAATTCAAATTTTCCATAACCTTTCTAGCTAAAAACAGCGCATGTTCATCATCAAGTGCATAATGATCAGAACATCCACTAACTTTACAATGTAAATCAGCACCTCCGAGCTCTTCAGCTGTTACAATTTCACCAAGTGCTGCTTTTACCAATGGTGGACCACCGAGAAATAAAGTTCCTTGATTTTTCACAATTATATTCTCATCAGACATTGTTGGAACATAAGCACCACCAGCAGTGCAGCTACCCATTACCACAGCAACTTGTGGTATTCCCATAGAAGACATGACTGCTTGATTATAAAAGACTCGTCCTCCATCAACAAAAAATTCTGCTTGTCGTGGGAGATTTGCACCACCTAAGTTAAGTAATAAGAAATATATTGAAAGTTATAGAAAAAACGAGAGCAAATTAGGAACCAAACGTGTTGGAAAACCTAATTTGAGTTATTGCGTATCAAAACTCACCAGAATCTACAAGATAAATACAAGGCAATCTATTTTCTTGAGCAATTTCTTGAGCTCTGAGGTGTTTTTTAACAGTTACTGGATACATTGAGCCACCTTTTACTGTAGCATCATTTGCCGTGATTAAAGTCATTTGACCGCAAACTTTTCCTATACCAGTCACCATTCCTCCACTTTTTATATCTTCTTTACCATAAAGATTATAAGCTGCAAGCTGTGAAAGTTCAAGAAAAGCAGTACCAGGATCTAAAAGACGATTAACTCTTTCACGAGCTAATAATTTATTTCGAGATAAATCACGTTTTGCTGCAACTGGGTCTGGTGTTAAAACATTTCGAGTTATTTCTTTTAATTCATTTACAAGGATTTGTAATGATGCAAAATTTTCCTAAAATTAAGATTTTTATTTAAATTTCTTGCTAACTTCAGACTAATATTTATGAGATTAAGAATTACAGGCTTCAAAGTACACAAATTCAAATCTTACCTGATATTCTGTCGAATTTTGATCAACTTTAGTTTGAATCACTGATGCTTTATTTAGATGCAATCCTCTGTGTATGATTGCATTAGTTGCAAATGGAATTTTAATATTTATTCGACTTAACATAATTCCAAATATAATCTTTCGGTGCCGAAGGTCTCTCACTCTTTGAAGTATCATTTTGGTTTTAAATGAATATATTTTGTTGATATTTGTACGTACATGTGCGATTGATAAGAGAGAAAATGTCAATGTGGTTGTGAGAGCAAAATTAAAATTGAGAAGTAAAAGTTTTTTTTATTTTTTCAGTGATTTTACTGATATTAAAGTGGACATTCTTTGTTTGAAGGAGTCCGAAAACCCAAAAAGATATTAAATTTTTTAATATTCAGACTTTTAGCTTATTGTTCAATTTCCAATTCAATAGCACACTCATAAAAAAAAATTGATAAATTTTATTAAAAATGTATGAAAAAGTTTAATAAAAGTTTATAAAAATACATCTTGATAACTTTTACTAAAATTTGATAAGGGTTATTAAAAGTTTTGGTTTTACAAAATTTCATTCAAATTTTACAAAACTGTTAAAATTTTAATAATTTTCTTACTAAACATTAGTAAAAAGTTATTAAGATGCATTTTTATAATTTTTATTAAATTTGTTCATGGATTTTAGTAAAAAGTCATTAAAATTTCTTGGATTACTTTTTTTTACAAAAACAGCTTTATAGTATAATTAATTTATAGTATGGAGCTTTTTCAAGTCTTAGCTAAAATGCTTTCTCAAAGCTTAAGACTTTGCATGATTTTTGGCACTTAATGTGCCTCATAAGAAATTTATAATTTTATATAACTTTGTATGAGAACTAAGACATTCTTTTGTATAAGTCATTTCTTGGAGCGTTTGTGAAGTATATAAAATATATGAAAACCTTACAATTTTGGAAACCTACAACAGTTTTACAACGCTGTAGAATTTTAAAAACTTTTATTAAAATTTGATAAGTTTTATTAAAAGTTTGATAAGGTTTACTAAAATTTTAATAATTCTCATTAAAAACTTTTTAATAAGATTTTAGTAACAAATTATTAAAAATATTTTTATGAGTGCAACTAACATCATAGAATAGAATATTATGTAATGTGGGATTTGGCTTGAAATAAAAAACGGCACTGCGATTGACGATCAGTTGTACCATTGCAAGTCACCTTTGATGTAATTCTTATGTCCTTAATGAACCTAATAATATCCAGCTTCACTAATGAGCATCATAAATTATCGAAAAAAGTTCTTAAAATTTTGATCTCAAATATTTACGTTAAATCCTTTGACTTTACATTGCTGATCAATTTTATCCAGTAAATTTTCAACAGAAAGCTGACATGATTTACATCCTTTCAGATCAATGCATTCATTTGATGTCAGGTCCAAAATTTCCAACTTTGACAGTCTTTTAAAATTAAAGTCAATTCTTTTAATTTTACCAGAATGCATTAAAGCTTCAACAAGAAGTTTGTTGTTTGTAAAAAATGATTCTGGAATCGCTTGAATCGGGTTGTAAAATGACCAAAATTTCTTCAAATTAACTAAATTTAAAGAAGTTGTGGCTGTAAAACTTTGATATGATTGTGAATAAAAGCAAGAAATTCCAAATTTTTAAGATCATCAAAAACATGTTCGTCAAAGTTTTCAATCTTATTTCCATAAAAGTTTAAATATTTTAGCTGTGGGAGTTTTGTAAGTTTTGGACGTTCAACATATTTCAGATCACTCACAACAATCAAAAGTTGTGTAAAGTTTGGGAAAATTTGTTTTGTAACTGCTAGATCTGGAATGTATGAAATATTTGCTTGTCTAATCAAGATTGTATCAACATCTGTGTACGTTTTTCCATCTGTGAACGATCCAACAATAGAGGTTATGGTAACATTTGGGAGAGTTGATTTCAGAGATAAGATAGTTCATGCAAGCACTCGTACCGGCTAGAGTTGACATGAAAAAGTAAACCTTTGTTAAAAAATGATTTAGATTTGGATGATTTAATGAATGATTTAGATTTTATTAAATCAATCACTTACTCATCTTCCTTACTATATTGAAAAACGCATCTTAAAGGTTCACTTTTTGGTCCACAATGTTGAAAAAACCTTTTCTTGTAAATATTGAATTGATAAATTACATGAATTACATCCTTGATCGTCAACACATTCATTTTTTCTTAAATCAACAAACTCTTAGCTTGGAAGATCATTAAAATTTATATAAATTTTCTTAATTTTACTTGACTTCATCAAAATTTTTTCAAGTTTTTTGTTATTTTTGAAAAAGTTTGCAGGAATCGCTTCGATTGGATTGTAAAATGATAAAATTTCTTTCAGATTGTTCAAGTTCCATAATACTTTCGAAGGCAATACTTTGATTTTGCTATGCACAAAAGCTAGCATCTCCAAATTTCTCAAATCATTGAAGACATCTTCATTAAAATGTTCAATGTGATTTCCATAAAAATTCAAAACTTTCAATTGTGGCATTTTAGCAAGTTTTGTTCTTTCAATGTATTTTAATCCACTTACAACAATCAAAAGTTGAACAAAATTCGGCATCATATGATTGACAATAGTTAAATCTGGGATGTATGAAATATTTGCTCCTCTTATAATAAATGTGTCTACATCATTGTATGTCCCTCCATCTGCGGAAATTTCGGAACATTCGTGAACAGAACAAATTCATTTTCATGACATTCACGAAAAACTGCTGATGATATAATTCCAACAACATAGTAAGATTGACCTAATTTCACATGAAATCCTCCATCGGAATCACCTTGAAAATGAAATTTCAATAAAATCTCATCGTATAGCGTATGTTTTGGTGAAGTAAAGGACAGACGGATAGAGAGAAGGAACTAGACTTATATTGTCATATCAAAAATAAAAAGATTCATTTTTCTTATAAATAAATAAAATATATCATTTAAAAACATTAAAAACTTAAGATCTAGACATTAATATATACATAAAGCTCATTAAAACTCAATTAAAGTCGAGTTTCAATACATATTTAAGTATTTAGTGATAAAAATAGTATTTTGAACCACCTCACACGTGGTCGCTTAGAACAGCAAGAGTTTATGATTGATCTATCAGCATCAAGCATTTTCTGGCGAGAGTTGCAGCTCATAGAGCTTGATTGTGGCCGAAAGCAAGGCTGGAATCCAATATTCTCGAACGCTATAACAATTTATAGAGCATTCGATAATTCTATAGGACAATTTCGTCCTTACACAGTGCCTGTAACACAAATAATCGACCCATTTAATGAAGTTTCATTCCATAGCTATCAATCGCAGACAAATCAAGGAGTTTTCGAACCTAAACTGCTACAATCGTTAGCTGATTAAAATACTAAACTCTGCATGGGTTCTTCCATTTACTTCCAGCACGAAACATTCTATTACTGGAAATTCTTGCAATCACATCTCGTCCAATCAAACAATCTTCTTGTGTAACTGAACTTATTTTAACAAATTTTGGTGTCATCTCGTGATCACCAAAAGTTTCGTCAGAAAGTCCGTATCCAACAACAGTTCCATCAATCTCGAATGCATTCATATTTGATGGAGGTAAGCAAGCAGGTTGAATATAATTTGTAAAAGTGATCTTATTTGTGAGCCTTAAAATTGCAATATCTGCGTCGTATGTTTCTATTTGTGTATTCCAATCAGAATGGATTTTAATGGAGCTAACTTGAGCTTTAATCACTGCAGACTCTTTTGTTGATTCACCCTTGTTTTTGAAACAGTGAGATGCTGAAAGATTATTTGAACTCAAATTTATACTTTTAATTGCTCCCTATGCTTTAGTCTCTTTAATCGTTTTTTTACTATCATGAACGATTTTACTGTATCATCTATTTATGTATAGACTTTTACTCACCACTCAGTAAGTGATGCTCACTGATAATCGTTGATCCACAAAAAAACTCGTCATCTTTCATATGAAAAAGTGGTGCAAGCCATGGAAATTGCCCTTTACTTGCATATTTACTTGCAACTGTAAAATATGTTCCGACCTTTACGCGGCCACAATTTTGAGAATTTATAAAATCAATTGAAATTATTAAAATCAAAAATTGCAATTTATTCATTTTTTAAATATTGCAAACAACTGCTTTTAAGTCTGACAATCTGTGAGTATATGAAGAGTTTATTGAGCTTAACTGAGAGAATTTGTTCAGTTATGATTGAAGAAAAAGAGCAGAACATTGAGTATTGAGTAAACTGGCAATGCATTTGGTTAGTAAACAAAGTGATAATTTTTGAGATCATATGTTGGCTAAATAATAATAAGAGAGCATTGAGAGTCAAAATTGTGACTTTTACTCTTAAATATTTTTAAAAAAAACTAGATTCGGTTGGTTTATTAAAAGGTGATTACTAAAACTAATGAGTTGATTGTCTTATATCCAAATGGACAGCTGTATCATAATTCTTATCAACATAACATTGTTTATCAATTTTATCCTGCATATCTTCAATTGACAAGCTGCATGTGCTACAACCCTGTTCATTTATGCATTCATTCTGTCTTAAATCCAACAAGTTTAAATTTGGCAGAGCTTTAAAGTTGACATCAATTCTATTGATTTTGCTATATCCCATCCAAGCTTTAATCAACTTTTTGTTATTTTTGAAAAATCTGATTGGAATTGCTTCAATTGGGTTTTCATAGGACCAAATTTCTTTTAAATTTATTAAATTCCAGAGCAATTTTTGTGGTAAAATTTTAATTTTGTTCTTGACAAATGCAATTGTTTCTAAATTTCTCAAATCATTAAAGACGTCTTCATCCAAATGCTCAATTTCATTTCCATAGAAATTTAAAACTCTCAATTGTGGCATTTTGGCAAGTTTTGTTCGTTCAATGTATTTTAGTTCACTTAATACGATATAAAGTTTCCTGAAATTAGGAAATTTACGATTTGCAGCTGTAAAATCTGGAACATATGTGGTCTTTCCTTGTATTATATTGATAGTGTCAACATCACTGTAGGTATTTCCATCTGTAAATGAGCCTTCGATTGATGAAATTTTCACATTCGGGACAAGTGATTTGAAACTTTTCTCACTGAGACATTCGTAGCGACTAGAAAAAACATAAATCATGAATAAAATGCATAAAAAATTTATTTAGGTTTTCTGTTGTTTACTTACTCATCATTCGAATTGTAATAGAATTTACATTTAAGGGATTCAAGTACTAAGTCAATGGTCTCTCCAGTATTGTCGATATCAGTTTCCCTGGTTATCCAGCTGACAAATTTTGGCACATTTGTGAATAACACAAATTCATTCAATTTACATTCTCCATGAATTGCTGCTGATATGATTCCAACAACATAGTAAGATTGACCTAATTTTACATGAAAACCTCCACCAGAGTCACCTTTACATACATAATTTTAAAATTTATTAATTTGTCAAATATGAGTTGCATTTCACTTACCCTTGCATGGGTTTTTTCCAACGGTCCCAGCACAAAACATTCTTTTACTAGAAATTCTTGCAATCACATCTCGTCCAATCAAACAATCTTCTTGCGTAATTGAACTGATTTCAACAAATTTCGGTCTCATTTCGTGATCACCAAAAGTTTCGTCAGAAAGTCCATATCCAACAACAGTTCCATCAATCTCGAATGCATTCATATTTGATGGAGGTAAGCAAGCAGGTTGAATATAATTTGTAAAAGTGATCTCATTCGTTAGCCTTAAAATTGCAATATCTGCGTCGTATGTTTCTATTTGTGTATTCCAATCAGAATGGATTTTAATGGAACTAACTTGAGCTCTGATTACTCCAGACTCATCTATTCTACTTAGATCGTAGATACCAAGGAGACTATAAACATTGTCTGGTTTCATAGCTACTCGATCACCTTTATTTTTGAAGCAATGTGAAGCTATGTTGGAAATGAAAAATTAATTTAACCTTTATTTATTTGAAAAGAAGATTCGAGACTTACTAGCTGACTTAATGGCTTGTTTAATAGTAAGCAAATAATTTGACACAAAGACATTTAAGTCCAAAGCTTGTGAAGCTGCATTGTACACATTATATTTTATAGTTTACTCACCACTCAGTAAATATTGTTTGCTGATAATAGTTGATCCACAAAAGAATTTGTCATTTTTCTTAAAAAATAAAGGTGCAAGCCATGGAAATTGCCCTTTTGTTGTATATTCACCTCCAACTGCAAATGAAGTTCCAACTTTTACACGACCACAATTTTGAGAATTTGACAAACTTATCAAAATTGCATTAGTCATTAAAATTAATAGTTTCATTTTTAAAAAAAAATAATTAAAAACTAGCTTCCTTTTAGATGTCTGATCGTCGATGAGAGTAAAGTAAGAACTATCTTGTGTAAAATAAAAAATGGAAATTCGAAAAATGTAGATTAAGAATGAGTATTGATAATAATATCGAAGATGTGAGTAAAAGCAAATAACAAAGAGCATAATTGTAATTCAAGGAGCAGTTAAGAGAGATTCTATTTATTTATGAGTAAATTCTGATTTACAGAACCGTTATTTTCAGTAAAAACAAGAGAAATTAATCTGTAAAAAGAATGAGAAATAATTTAATAATTTAAAAATTTATTTCTTTTTTATTTTTATTTATTTTTTAAATAAATGATTTTGTCTAAAGATTATTATCAAATCAAAAATAAATGATGACATATATCTAAGGTAAACTATTCTGTTTACTTCTTTTCTTTATTTCTAGTTCTTGCAGAAACTTCTATTATTTAATTTTGATTTTGATTTTGTTTTGCGACTCCTTGAACTTTTTGATTCATTATTTTTCAATCTTTCAGGCTTCTTTTTGACATTTTCAAATCTTGTTATTTTTGTCTTTTTATCTGCAGCATTTGCATCGATGTCTTTTACCTCAGCAGGTTTATCAAAAGTTTCCTCATTCTTTTCATTTGCATGGTGGGATTTAACATGGAATATTAATCCAGCTTTTGACATGTAGTTTTTACCACAATATTTACAGTTAAGTTTGAAACTTGTATGAAAAATTTTGTAATGTTCTTTGTACGTTTGGTTGTAAGTGAAAGCTTTGTTGCACAGCTTGCATCTGTAATAATACAAGAATTTAAAATTATAATTTTTCAAAATTTTACAATTTTTTAATTGAATAAAGAAATGAATCCAAACTTATAAACTTGTATAAGCTCTACTGTAATTGACTTACTTATGAGGTTTTTCTCCTGTATGAATTCTCCTATGGTAAGTTAACTTATTCCTAGCCACAAATGAAGCTGAACACAAATCACATTTGTAAGGTTTTTCTTTCTTATGTTTAAAGACATGAAATCGCATATTGAATGTATAAATCAGTTCGCTACATATTGGACACTTGACACGTTCTCTTTCTGTAATTATGGAATTAAATTATTTTTATTTGGTGTATTTATAAATTAAATAATTCTTATATTTGGTTCGCTCTTAGAGTCTATGCTAAAAATTGATAAATTTGTTCCAAATAATATACTCACCAATATGTGTAACAACATGTCTTGATATATACTTCTTGCTTTTGAAAGCTTTTGAGCAAATGTCACATTGGTATGTCATAATTGTCCTATGCATTGCCATGTGTCTTACAAGTTTTAATCTTGACAATTTATTTTTCCCACAAATATCACATTCGAATATATTTTTAGCTTTGTGAGTTCTCAAATGACTCAACAGAAAATTATTTTGTGGAAATGTTCGAGGACATAAATTGCATTGAAAAACTGGTTTTGGCTTATTTGAATGAAATGCATTGTTATGATAATTAAACGATTGTTTCGATGACAAAGTTACATTGCAAATTTTACAAGTCATTTTTGTTGGCATCCAGTTCTGTTTTTTGTATGGTCCATACTTCTTCTTCTTCTTCTTCTTGGATTCAGATTCTGGGTTTGTTTGAGATTCATCGTCACTTTGACTTTGGGATTCATCTTGACTTGAATCATCAATTTCCTCTGGACTATTAGAATCATCAGGAAGTTCTGATTTGATGTGAAATTCTGGCTCTTGTTTGATGCACTGAGGTATCTCTGTGTAGATTTCTAAACATTTCTCATCAAGTTTTTCTAATTTTATTACTAATTGTGATGTGAAGACAAAGTCGGAGCTGTTCATGCTTTGCAGTTAATTAGGAGCTTGATAGATTAGGTTTTTTCGATTTTCAATATTATATTTGTTTATAAAATTCAAAAAAACTTCGAAACTAATTCAATCTTTATCGATTTGTTTCTAAAGTTTGCTCAGTTCCCAACTTTGTTCTTGATTTCAAATTTGTATTGTGTTAAAAACTCACAAATAATTTTTTTCAACTCTTTAATCCACAAACTTTATGAGATAAAATAGCCAACTAGTAGTTTCTCATTTCAATTAAATGAATCTGTAAACAAACCCCAAGCAGACCAAACTGTCCTTAAAAATTTCTTTCTCATCTGATCAAGTTTTTCTCTGTTATTGTTAAATTCTCTCTTATTTCATTCCCGCTCAAAAACCAACACATCCTCTCAGACAGTTTTGTTTATCAAACAGTAAAAGAATTGTTTCACAACAAAAAAATAAAATAAAAAATATTAAATAAAATTACAAAAATGACAAATTTAGAAGATCTTTGTAGAATATGTCTTAGTGCAGAGTTTGAGGATTTACATCAAATATTTGAAGAATCTCTCAGTAATAAAATTATTATAATTACAGGCATGGATGTGAGTTTCAAAATTTAATATTTAAAATTGTTAAAAAAATGGAAAGAACTCAATAATTCTATAATTTTAGCTCCTTCAAACCGATGCATTACCAAAAAAAATTTGTAGGAATTGCCGATTGCAATTGGAAAAATCATATTACTTTCGAATGACGGCAAAGCAGAGTGAAATCAGATTAAAGAAGTTTATGAGGCTGAAAAATCAAAATAAGGAAGCAAATCATGTCCTGCAGAAAGACTACATTGATGATGATATTGAAGAATATGAAGAACAATTATCGGAAACTTATGTGAGTTGTTAGATTTTAATATATAAAATATTAAATATCGTGGGGAAATTCGAAGCTGGATCATGAACATTTTGAGATTTATGAGCAAAAAGTTTACAAAAAGTATTCAAATTTCTTCTTTAAGTCTAAGTATGAGACACATGAGACACTCATATTTAAAATGTTTTCTAATCAAACAATCAAAAAGTTGAAATCTGGAACTTAGTTCTACTTTGACGACACTAAACAAACTTCGTTGGAAATATTTATTGAATCTGCATAACCTATTTGTAAAAGTGTCAATCCTTAATTTTTAATTTATCAAAATTTGATATGATAGTTAATAAGAAAACTTCAAATTTAAAAAAAAAATAAAAAAAGTCCTCGTTTCATTGATCGAGGGACTTAAGCGCATTTTTGACGCAGAGATCAGTATTTGATTGGCAAGTCAATGCAAATAATTTAACAAAATTTCGCATTTAAGAAGATTCAATACATGTATGCTGAGTCCGTAATTTACAACCAATGTATTATGTACATTAATTAATATAATTACCAAATTGCTTTGTAGTAAAGAGAACAAGTATTTCATTGATTTTGTGAATTTTAAAAAATGTTGATAGTAAACGGTTTTTAAAAATTCAAATTTTAACAGTTTTAAAAAATTTGGAATTCTAGAGGAAGTCGAAAATTTTTAACAGGTTACACTCTATGAAAATTTTTTTCGACATTTTGCACTGTATTAAAATCAAAAAATCATTAATTATAGTATAAAGCTATTGTTTTAAACTCGTCGTTAAACTGTCTGATACCCGAATAAGACGACGAAACTGAAAAAAATGCGCTAAAAAGAACTGCTATCCTTGCAATATCAAAAGTACTCTAATTATAGGAATCGAATTTACGTCCTCACAAAACAGGGTTAAAGGTTTAGCGGTAGGGTGACCATCTGCGTAGTTTTACAACGGACAGTCCTGTATTTCAAAACCCTGTCCTGTATAAATTTGAAAATTTTGTTCCAGGTCCTGTTTTTTTTTCACGAAAATTTCCGTTAATTTTCAAATTTTCCTTTGTGTCCTGTATATTTTAGGAAATTTATCAAATGTCCTGTATTTTCATAAAAATTAGATGGTCACCCTATTTAGCGGTTAATTGCTTATGGGCAATTCTTTGGATGAGTGGAATTTGAAAAAAATGAGCTTTCATAATCCAATGTCAATGAGTTTTGTGTCAATAAAATGTTTTCTTTAATTTCATATTACTGTGAAGGAATAATAAGCCAGAACTTTCGTAGATCAGTAAGCATAATTAATTCTTTACAAGTGATCTATTGAAATGTTACAACTCACCCAAATTAAGTGAAAAATTGAAAAAATATGTTTGAAAATTTTGTATTTTTTCACGGATTAAGACAAAAAAAAAGCTTCTTTATAACTCGATGACACAAGGAAATTTTTCAACGAATTGAAATATTTCATTAATTACTAACTTAATGCACACAAAAAAGCCACCTAATTAAAGATTTTTGTCTGTTCTATAACTCAGTAAAAGTTATTCAATGTTAATTTCAATAGTTTTCTCTAATTTTCGATTCTTTGGATGATGAAAATTGAAAATTCCGATTTCTGTCATCGAGTTATTGACAAAAGAATCCAAATAACTCAATTAATACAGCGATTAGAAGTATATGGTATCAAAAGGAGTGTACATTTTATATTTTTACATCGATAAGAATCATAAAATCAGTGCCTCTGATGGGAAAAATCAATAAAATTTCGATTTTTTGCTGAAAATTTTCCGAAAATCATCCAAAGAATTGCCCTTATGCAAAGAGACCTTACTTTTTTACTGATGGATTCGGCTACCAATGATTTAAAAATTAATACAAATCAACAGTTTCTGTCTCGTAAATGCGATTTAATTAAAGTCGTTCTATAAATACTATGAAAGAATCCTTTCTTTACCCTTTTATCATAAAGTGCTATTTTAATGACATCTCGCAACAAATCGAAGATGAAAAGCGCAAAGTCATCCACGAGGAGCTCATAAAATTGAAATCAAAATTTGAATTACCCGAAACTCCAGAAAAAGCTTTGTTTATTCCAAAAAGGCCAGCTGGCAAACCCGTAGTTTTACTCAATAAATGTCCACAAAATGCATCATCTTCAAATTTAGTTCCAACGCTTCGTCGAAAACGGAAAACTGATGAAATTGAATCTGAACTTCCAATAGAAATCAGTGAAGTTCAAATGGTTGATAATGGAGAATATGAAATAAGAATTTTACAGACGGACGCTGAAGGAAATGAGGAACTTCAGCTTGTAGAAATAGAAAAGTTTGAAAAACACCCACAAATTGAGATCATACCTGAAAATGCGATTGTGGAGTTTCATGAAGTTATTGAAGATGTTCTTGAAACAGTTGAAAAGAAAAAGTCACCAGCAAAAAAGAAAGCAAAGAAAATTTCAAAACCTGTTTCAGAACCGGAAAATCCAGAACCAGCAAAATCACCACAAGTAGTTCAAGACCCAGCAACTGAGTACTATTTTAAAATCATTGATGAATCTGACGAGCCAGAAGTTGACGAAAATAATGAAAAGAAAATTTTTCAATGTGCTTACAAAGATTGTAAGGAAGCATTTTCAAGAAGGCAGCAATGCAAGACTCATTACTACAATCACTTAGCTGTAGATTCAAACTACAGCTGCAAACACTGTTCGAAGAAGTTTAAGGTTCAATCAGCTTTAGAAAGACATGAGAGGGTTCATAATAATTCTAAGGTGAGTCTATTGGATCGATTTTGGCCTAGTAGTGCTGTATGTTGTATTTTTGAAGCATTGATTTGTGATTTCTAAGCTCAAAATTCAATTCTTGATTATCTATAGAATAAGTTTTATTTTATTTGGATAAAAGTCATTTAGATTCCTTCTATATTCAAATGATGCCGTCTTAAAATACCCACACAAAGTTTTCCATATTTAGGAAATACACTGTTTTCAAAACCCCCACATTCATTTATTTGTGGTATTTCTAGAATCCCTTGGTATTCAGTTTCGGTGGTTATGGAAAACTTTGTGTAGGCGTTTTGTTCTGTGTGTGCTTTAAGACGGCATCTATTCAAACTATTCTTTTTTACAGCCATTTATTTGTGAAACTTGTAACAAAGGGTTCTCACAGAAGGAAATGCTTAAACGTCACCTTATGATTCACTTGCCAATTGAAGAAGCAAAGTTTGTTTGTCACATATGTAATAAACGATTTAGGCAAAAAGATCCCATGAGACAGCATATACTGAAGGTTCATTCAAATACTGATGTTATGAAAAAACGATGTCATCTGTGCGAAAAGGAATTTGCACATTCATCTGGATTGAGCAGACATTTGTTGAATCATACTGGTAAAAAATTCACATGCGAGTAAGTAAATTAAGATAAAAAATTAATTTCAGTTTGAAAAAATATTTTTAATTTATATTTTACAGAATTTGTCAACGTATATTTACTGATAAATCAGCTTTCAAGAGGCATGGTTCAGTTCATTCTAAATCCTAAATACGAACATCAACGAATTTAAACTGTACTTTTTTAATTTTGCAAATTGCATGATTTTTTTTTATGAATTTAGGTACTTACTGAAACAGGTCTTTAGTTGCTTATTTTTTATCTTAAAATTTTTAAAATGAGCTGACATTTTTTACATAATTTGTAAAATATGATTATTATTATTACTGCATTACTTTGAATCTAAAAAAACAATAAATTTCATAACGACAAAAAATAATTTAAAATTTTGATTTACGCCACAACCCGCGGCTTAGTCTGCAGCATCATAAAAATCTTAATGTAAACAACACAATAACTCCAAAAACATAAATTAATATTATAACAACTTTTGAACCTGCAAGAAATGAATCCTAAGTGCATTCAATGTGAGAAAACCGAGTCGGTTTTATGGCGGAAGAATTTGGAGAGCGCAGAGATTTGCAATGACTGTTTCGAGACAAACTTAGGAAAGACAGAAGATTTAAAGGAAAGGGAAACACAATCAGTTAGTGACAAGACTGAAAAGGAAGCATCACCGAAGGATATTGAAATTTTCTCAGCACCAATAGAGTCTTCAAAAACTAGGAAAAGTACGAGATCAACTAGATTTAAGAGCAAAGCGATAACAAGACAGAAATCAACAAAATCTGTATCAAGAAGATCGTGCATTTTTAAGTCAGCGAAGCCATTTAAAACACCAAATAATATTTGTGCTGAAACGAGGACCAAGACTCATTTATTTTACAACGGTTTCTATTATCAAGTCGGAGATATCGTGTCAGTTATATCCAAAGGTAGTTTTGGTACTTAAAATATCACAAAATATGTTATATTATCATTCAATATTTTTAGGCAAAAAATACTACGCACAAATTCGTTCTTTAATGGTTGATACATTTTGTGAAAAGTCAGTCGTTCTCACATGGCTCATACCAACAACCTCAAGTCCAGATCCAAATGAAGAATTCGATCCATCAACATATTTAATTGGATTAGAAGAGGATCTTCCGAGAAGAATTGCAAACACAATAGAATTTGTTATGCACGCACCAAGTAATTATTATTATACTCCAACAGAGCCGTATCCGAAACCAGAGATATTAGAAGATGGACTTTACAGTGAAAAAAATAAAAAAGGATTTGTGTGGACTAATATGATATAAGGGTGAATTAATGGTGTAAATAGGATTTATTGGGATGGGTTAGGATTACATTAGGAACTATGGCATTAGTGCTTCAACCTTTTATAGTGCCTAATGTAGTCAACCCTAAAGCTATACGGAAATAGAATTTAAATTTTATAAGACATTAATTGGCCATCATTAGAATCTGGCTAGTTTAAAAACCCAATTCAAAAACAAATACTAAATTAAAATAATGCAAAAACATTACGAGGTAAACTTTAAACACCGATTAGTTTTAATAAATCCATTACAAATAGTTAATAAGTTAAATTAATTCAATAGTTTGATCATCATTTAAAAAAAAAAAATAATCTTTTCATACAAATTTATTTTATCAATAGATCTAAGTTAGAGTTGAAAGACTTTGATTACTCAAATAATTAATTTAATGTACAAAAATAAAACGATTTAAATAAAAATTAATTTAATAATTTTTCAAAAAGATTCTATGATTTTTGTTTATTTTTAGTAGCTTAGTAAAGTCAGAATTTACACAGAAATATACAAATTTTGACGATTAAATACAAAATTAATAACATTTATCTCCAGAACAGTTTACAAATCCTTTATGTGTATCCACATCGAACAACATTTATCACATAATCTTTGATAACATCTCATTACAATAAATAACAGTTAGACACTTAACATGATTGTTAGTACTTTAAAGTAAATTTGTTTAAAAACTATCAACTTATGACTCCACTGATGAAATTTTCAATCACAGCTTGTGCCAAATGTGCCTTGTTTTCAATTGCCAAATGATAGGCACTCTTCCCATCACCATTTGTTTGCAGCACATTGGCATGTCCACTTTGTAATATTTCATTTGTTGAATGTGGAAAATTTCCAAAAGCTGCAAAATGAAGTGGTGAGTTCCCATCAATATCCAATTGATTGACTTTAGCATTATGAGTTATTAAAAGTCTAACGACATCATGATGACCACCAGCTGCTGCTAGATGCAATGGAGAAATGAAATTTTTGGCAAGGATATTTGGATTTGCACCATGTTTAATCAACTTTTCTGCTGTCTTGTGTTGTCCATAGTGACAAGCCCAATGGAGTGGTGTGAAGTGATTATCTTCATCTGGTTGATTTACAACCTCTGCTAGCTTTAAATCTTCATCCTCAATTTCTCCTGTGAATTTAAATTATTTAACAAAAAATTGCAAATAAAAACGTTTGATTTTTTTCAACCTTGACCACACTTTTCATGGAATGACAAGGTGATTGATGTTGAAATTTTAGCTTCAATGTTTCCTCTTTGAAGGTTTGTGAGGACGGTTGTGGCCTTTAAGTCCATTTCAATATTAATTGCACAAAATGTTTATGGAATGAATAAAAGTCTTGTAAATTTATCAACTTGAGAAAATTTAATGTTTGCATTTGTTTTGAGTCTGACTGTCAAAAAATTGAATTTTAAAAAATTCGTTTGGAAATGTTTTTACAAAATTATTCTTTTAAGATATAGTTTTTAAATTTTTAAGTCTGCAAGCTTCAAATAAAGCCATAAAAAATACTCGTTGAATGTTAATTTAATGAAAGTAAGTCATTCATTTTTGTTTCTAGTAAGAATATTATCTTCTTACTGCTATCAAAAGAAATTAAATACCTATTTAAAAAAAACTTTAAAAACCACGTTTTTTCCCGTGGACTAAAATTTAAAAAATAACTTTATATCCTTAGTTTCAAAAGATATTGGTTTGAAAATTTCAGACTGTTTTGAAAGTTTCGTTATAGGGCCATGGTCGTCCATTAATTGCATATTCGTTCTCTTCGACTAAAATTCAATATCTTATAGTTGAACATCTTCTTAGTTCCAGCATGACTTAAATGTTACTGGATGTTGATTTTTGGATCATTTTTACTGATCTATGCCAGGAAAATGCGCTTAATTCGTTTGTCACATCTATAATGGTGACTTCTAGTTATGACAAATTTTCACTCCAAATTGCTTAATTCACTCCACAATCAATATTTAAATACAGTAAAAAAGAAGGATTAAAAATTTAACAAGAAGACATTTTAAATTAATTTTGGATTTTATTTATTATACTGCAAATTTTGAAGATTTTAAGTTTTCCATTACTTCAGGCACTAAATACTCGAAATAAGATTTTTGAACTTTCACAATCATTTATCATTTGCATGCAAATGTCCACAATTGATCTGCTCTTTTGCCGTGAACGTAGCTGATACTCATCATTAATGAGTTTATCCCTTTCTTCAACTTTTCCTTTCAATTCATTACGTTCGTTCTGTTAATCATCCTCAGGGCTTGCAGTATGTTGAGGACTACAATAAAAATCAATTAATCAAAAATTATCACAAAAGAAATTAAAAATGACTTACTTTCTTTGTTGCATTTCAGATCGTGGATTTACGATCTATGTTTCCACATATTCTCTCCTATCTTTATTATTCTCTTCATCCATTTTACTACTTCGAATTGTCGATCGATTGCAATTTTTTTTTGGTTGGTTCTTTTGTAAAGGCACTGGAAAATAAAAAAAAAAGATTTTTTCAATCCTAAACTAAGGCTCATGAAGCATAAATTCTGATACAGCTTAGCGACATTATTTTAGTGAAGCAGTGAACCTTTCGAGAAATAGTTTCGAATTGTTTAATTTTGAGATTTCTTAACTTTTAATCACATTTTATTCTAAGTGATTCTTGATCAATTAAGCAAAAATTTTTAATATTTATGATTCTTACACGTTTCTAAAGAGGATCCAAGTGGTTAATACCTTGCAGCCTTATCTACTTCCAAAAAAGTATTAATTTTTTTTTATTATTTCACTAATTTACAGGAAGGTGATGTTGAAGATTTTTGATGAGCTAATGTGCACGCTATCGTGATATCATGAATATTTACACTTAACAAGTCCCTAGTACAGACACCAGAAATTTTCTTTTAGAGAACATTATTTCGTGATAATAAATTCCACATAATTTTTTTTTTTGAGAAGGATGAAAGACTGTCTCGCTTTTGAGTTGTGTGGAAATTTTTTTGTATATTTCGTATTTTTGTAAAAAAATCGATAACGTCAAGGTGTTCTGAATGACATTAAAAACCTAAAGAATTCACTAAATAGATAGAAAAGTGGAATGAACATCTGCAAAATCCTGGTCTTTTGCTTTTAAAAGACCAGCAGAGGAAATACATCTCTCCCATAAAAAATACTAGATTGAGTAGCTAGTTAACTATCAGAAAATTTGAAAATTTCAGTCTCTTTTGTTGAATTATGCGCAGACTCAAGTTATTCCCACTATTAATTTGAAAATGTTCATATATTTTTCCATCCTTTCTCCTTTTCTCTTATTTTGATATAAAATAATAGGATTTGGTTCTTTTCGAAAACGTTTCTAGCATGAGTTTGGACCTTAGACAATAAGCTTAGCTTGATAGTTGATTAATATTATATTAAACAAGTTCGATACAAAAAAATAATTTCTAAATTTAATTTTATTATTGAATATTAATAGCATTTCAGGTGCACTTAAAATTTAAGTTCAACTTGTTTTAATAATTTCCATAATCATTAGAAATCAAACAAATACATAGTTGCCAAAGAAATTCCAAAAGTACAAAACCAAAAAGAAAAATGCACCCTTTCAGCTATTGAGAAAAATTACTCATCATCACAATATTCTTTTGAATGTCTTGAAAAAATTTAATATAATTTATGTAATTTCCGTGCGAAAAGTCCTGGGTTCAATCCCAGGCCATGTCTAATTTTCGAAGCTTTTTTTCCATTTCACCGTTCTAGTTACGATGCTCGGTTCGTGTGTTGGGTGGAGTAATGATGTCTTCGGCATAGAATATGTCTCCTGTGCTATGTATACAAGGATAAACTAGCATCTGGATGATTTCATTAAGCATCTTGCGCACACGAATTGTGACTAGGTACATTGCAAGGTACATCGATCTTATGACGTACTCGTATTTTTTGAATGTGCAGAGCTTGCACAAGGGTATGGTACAATAGATTCTGTTCTAATTTGAATTGCAGTGTCTCCAGCTGAACGGCTGGGTCCTTCACACATTATTACTATTATTATTATTTTTATTACGTAAAATTTCATCTTAATGCATGAAAATATGTTTAAAGAGATTTTTTTGCGAAGCCAGTTTTTCATAAAAGAATAAAAATGGGAAGCCGCAGGTTATCGGAGTTCATCATCATAACAATCATCATTATGGTCAATTGATGAAGGTCTAGTTTGTGATTTTTTTGTGGGATAAGTTTAAATTTCAGTTTAAATGTTAGTTTCGGATCTTTAACCACATTGTTGGCATCAATTGTTTAAAGTGCACAAATTTAAATCTTACAGAATGATCTATGATAAATCTTAGCAATATATTTCAATTTCACTATGTTCAAGAAGACCTTTTGTTTAAATTTTATTTATCATTAAAATAAAATTACAGACATAAACATTTATAAGGACATTCCACTTAGCAAAGATTCTTTCTTGAGCTCATTGTTACGCGATTTTTATTGTTGACTGAACTTTTGTTTTGATGTTCATCAGTGCACCAGACAGAGCCAAAGGAACAAACAGCAGCGAAGAGAGAATGAAATGAAATATAATTTTATGAAAACAACCTTTTCTTAGCCTTAAGTGACTGTATTTTTTTTTTGTAGTTATTATGTTGCTGCTCCTGCTGTTTCTTTGAATTGAATCGGATGGAAAATTATGTTCAAATCTAATTTAATTTTGCTCTTTGAGAACGTTAAAATGAGTTCCAAAATTCTAAGACTTGAGACCCCTAAAGAACCCCCATTTGGCTACGCTCCTAAACCAGAGTCAATAAACTAAGCAATAACAATAGATAACAACTATGAATGCTTCATAGTGCTTACTTCAGCTTATTTAATTTTTACGTCAATCACGAAATATTTTCTTATGGTAAAGTTGCTTTTAATTAGTGAAAAACAACAAATTCAGACATATTATCTGCTAAAATGTTACAACTTGAATCATCCAAGTACTGAATAGTGCTATTGTTGTCACATCCATACGAAACTAGATGAATAAAAATACACACAAAAAGGACAGAGAAAATGAGATGCAGAAAAGCAAGACAATAACTACAAATGTAAATGGTTTCCAGTTTAATTAAAATGTTTTCAGGACATTCTGCTATATCATCCATGTTGCAGTTTAGAAATGAATTGTGATTGTTTAATGCAATGAATAAAGTCCTAAAATCTCAATAGACTTATTTTACTTTAGTTTTCATTTTTTCAATAAAACTACAAAAATCTCAATCAGTTCACTTTTTACATCATTTAACCCTCAACCAACACAACTCAATTACCATTGATTTCCTACCTCACTTAATCTCTCATTGAGTCTAATCTAATTTTTTGCATCCGTTTCCATTTTATATGCTGCTGTGTTTTGTCCACATAATGTTCCACACAAATCTACAGCCAGGAATAACAAAAAAAGCAGCATGAGAAACTACAATGTTTATCTATCTCCAAAAAAACAGACATAATAAACTGCTTAATGCCATACAGAACAAAAAAAAATAACAAAGTTTTTTCTTTCATTTTTTATCAAAAAAAAAAAGTTGACAACATGTTGCTTAAATTATGGCAAGCTGCATGATACAAATAAGCACATACAGAGTGAGAGAAAAGGGATAAGTAGACATGGTTGTAGAGTATGGCAAGGGTAAGTGGCAATTAATCGCATGAAAATGAAATTAAATTCATGAAACAAAAGAAGAGAAAATCGTGCGACAGAGAGCAGTGGATAAAAATGACTAAGGAACAGTAACGTAGATGGAAATAAATGAAAAGTAAGTAAGACAGCATGAATGAAAAAATAATTTTGTATGATAATTATGCAATAATTAGGCGACTCTCGATTATACTTTATCATTTTTGTATTGTTGCTGTGCTGGAATGTAGACAGCAGGAAGAACTTCCACGATTCCTGAAATTATTTTTGATTTGTAAAATTGTTTTATTTGAGGCAATCTTCTTGATTCTTGATTCTACCAAATTTGTTTAGATGCTGAACTTGATAAACATTGTTTCAGTCAAAATGAGACAAAATCTAGGCTTAGACTGAAGATTTATGTCCAAAACAATGTTCAAGTCCATCCTAAAGTTGCGGAAAAATGATTAAATCTAATTTATCAGCTCAACATCCTTGGTCCACGCAGAAGTTTATAATAATGCATCATCAAAAATTCAAAATGTAGAACGAAGGAAAAAAAATTGTAAGCAAGCTGGATTTTTAGCATGCTGCCATCCAAAATGATTCTAGTTCAACAAAATATTTTCATGTCTGCACAAACAATATCTCTACACTTTTGTATGCATGACAAAGGAATGGAAATAGATGAGAACATGCTGTTGCACATTGTGTATGAGAAAGTTTTGTCATGACTAATTGAATGAATGAAATTAGAGATTGTATGAAAATAGTTTTGGTGTAGAGAAATGAAAATGTTTTTAAAGATAAACAATTTAAGTTTTTTTTTGAAAATGAAGAAATTTAAATTGCAAACTTTCGAAATTATACTAAAATCTTCTGAATATGTTGAAATTATTTAAATGAGTTTTCAGAATAGAATTTACCACAAGTAACTCATTCAACAACCGATATTACCTATTTCAATCCATCTCTGTCACCAATTTGATCACTTTCCACAAAGATTTTCCTAAATTATTATTATCATTTTTTAAACTACATTCTAGTCTATAATAAACAATAAAAGCTCTCATGCATGTAAAAATTATTCAATTATTTCCGTCACATTAAGATCTTTGCTTATTCTACAATTTTTATTCTTCTTGCTCACTTCATTTTCCATAAATGAGTCCCAAGAAAACCATTTTTCAAGTTCATCACCTTTTCTACTCTCTTTGTGCTCTTAAAGTCATGTCTGTAAAACTTTCTTCCCATTCCACTTTTTGTCCCCTTGTTGTTTATCTCAAAAAATAATTAAAACCAAGAAATTTTCTCTTCGGATGTTCTTTACAATTAATGAAGAAGTTAAAATGATGGAAAATTAAGCTCTTAAAATGGTCAGTGGAATCGCCTTCAGGTCATTTATTAAGAATCACATTGATTGAAAGGTTTAAGTTGGAGGTTGATAGTAAATGAGACGCAAGAAATATCTTTTTGTGCAAGAAATTGAAAGAGAAAATTGAAAAGCTTTAACATTTTGAAGGCATATTCTGACATTAAGTGTTTCACTTGTTCAGAATCAGTTTGAGATTTAATTCTTTGTTGGTTTTTATGGGGGCATATTTCATATCACAGAGTCAAATATTGATAGAATAGACTTTGAAATTAAGAAGTTAAGTGTATGCAGATGTCGATATATTGGCTGGTTAATTTACGAGATCATGCTATGATTTGACGTCTGAGCAACGTTGAAATTAAGAATGAGTCAGGAACTTGAAGTGTAGCGGAAACAATTGGAATGATAGCTACAAGATTAGATTATTGAATAAAACATTTTGAGTATAAACCTGAAAAGTTTAACTTAATTCAAAACCTTTATTTCTCGTTTCAATTTTCAGTAAGTCACAACGTTTCCAGGTCCGTTCCAGTAAAAGCCCTTCATGGTGAATTTACAGCTCTTGTATTTTTCTCATTCTGTCTACATAATACTTGACCCATTGTTCCCACATCTCACATCACCTAGTTCTTACTTTTACGTCTTAAACTGCTGCACCTAAAAAGCGAAAGTATCTAAACTTCTGGAAAATCACCAGCCTGGTGATGTGATTCGAACCCGAGAGTCCAAATCCAACTTTAGTGACCTGTACCTTGCCAACTGAGCTATCAAGGCACTTTTGCTTCAAGCTGACTTTGTCTTAAAGATCAACCATTTCCAAAATATAACATCGCAAAAGTCAGGAAGTAACAGATTTGTAACAGATTTGTATTACAATTCTGCATTGAAATAAAAATAAATAAATAAATCTTTTTGGAAACCACGTTTTTTCGCGAATTAAAATGTAGAAAATAACTTTATAGTCTCGGCAGATTAATTTGAAAGTTGAATTTCATACATGCATTGCATGATTTGTCCTCGACAGATAAAACGTGGTTAAATTCGTGGTAATAATAATAAAAATGAAAAGATTATTGATCCCTTTTCTCTTACGAAAAAAATAATTGAAATCTAATGTATGATGAGAAGGGTTAGATTTACAAAGAAAGAAAAAGTTATAAAAGTCAAAAATAATGAAAAGGTTTTACGATCGTTATCTCCAGTCGAATATGTGCTGCAATCTGAAACTTTTTTGTGCTCTACAAATTTTCTCTTTATTGATTTATTTAAACGAAAAGAATTGAAAAGTAGTTGAAAAGTTTTGGCTCTTTTAAGAAATAAAGAAGAAGAAGGAGTAAAAAAAGGTAAATTAAAGAGATAAGAAAAAACTTGATGATGAACACAAATAGTCTGGAAGGGAAAGTTTTGATGAATTTCAAAACTAAATAAAATTTAAGTTTAAAAGTTGTTTTATTGGGGAATATTTGATTAAAACTGATAGGGTCAATGGGAATCAAATTGATTGGTATGATATAAATGTTCCTGACTTTTGAATATTAAATTTAGATTTGCATTAAAATTCATGTTTTAAAACTTTTATTGAAATAACTTTTTTGAATTGTTAAACTAAATCATCTTCTACAATCCATTTTGTCTCATAATTCTGTACTCATATGGATCATAAATATCAAATCCACTAACAGTCCATGACCTTAATGCCGTCTCATTCATATATCCAAATTTCCATTTCTGTGACAATGAACTTTCATCGCATTTCGTTAAAAAAATTGCACCAGCTTCAGTCTTTTCAATGTCCATATCCAGACATTCATCATTCATATCACCACCAAAACGAATTTGTTGTGTATTCATGTCATAACGAAAATATTGATTACCCTGATGATGATGACAAATGTTTGTTAAAAGCATCCCTTTTTCGTTTCTATCGAAGCAAAACATTGTATTTTTTATTTCAATATCACGGAAGTGTCGAAGAGTGAAAAATTGTGTATCTTGTGGATCCTCTAGATCCGGTGCACATGGATATAATCCTAATTCATTTCCAGTATCCTTTGCATATGTATCTATACAAATTTCTGGCTCATACATACTTTGAATCGCTCCGTACGCAAATGCTGGATAGTCAATGAATGGAAAGTATTCAAGCATATCTGGCGCTACTTTATTGATGAAATATGAGAATGGTTTGCATTGTAGTTTCTTTCTTATAGATTGTTGATATGATATGTCACCAGGATTAACATTCTTATAACGTTCAGGATTTCGCATATAGACGTACTCTTTGTACTCATCCATCCAAACTTCAGCAACTCGCTTATAGTTTCTGAAATCAAAGTTTTAAATTTTTTTAATGTTTGTGAATTTTAGATTAAGTTTTAATGTTTATAATCACAAACACGAACTACTTTGACAGTGTCATGGTTGCCACATGCATGAAAATATGGATGTCAGGGGGTCGACCAAATCAATTTGAACATTTTTGTTGCTGGGATTTAAACTATTCAAATCATATTTCTTGTTCAATCTTGATCAATTTACAATTTAGCAAACTAATTTCTAGTCCATACAATAATAATAATAATAATAATATGTGAAGGGCCCAGCCTTTCAGCTGGAGGCACTGCGACTCAAATTAGAACAGAATCTATTGTACCACACCCTTTAGACCTACAGTTTATAGTGGGATCCGAACCACTTGCTAGCTCTGCATATTCCATACAATACCAATACTTACATTGACAAAAAATCAGTTCCTTTTCTATCATCCTCAAATGGCATCGATCCTCTATATACATGTCCAACTCTTGAGCAAGGCACGTCGTAGATTCCACCATCACCACCATTACAGAGCCATATTTTAAAACTTAATTCATACTGTTCACCTCCCCATATATCCAATTTGTTATCATAACCACCAAGTTCCCAGAAGAATTTTGCTGAAATAGCAAAAAGTCCTCCGGCCATGACAGGAGATGGAAATAGATCTGTTGGACGTTTTTGAAAGCCTGGCTGAAGCTCCAATTTTCGATAGTTTAAATGCCAATCAAAAACCCCACGAGATCCTTCATCCTGAATCACATACTCAAATGTCTTAAATTCTATCACATCGATAAATGGACACGTGCAGACTCTATAGTTTACGGCTATGGGCTCGAGCAATGGAGGTAGCCAATTTACATTTGGTTCTGTATGAGAATCTAAAAAGACTAGAACATCACCAATTGCTGCACGTGCTCCAGTTAATCTTGCAGCAATTAAGCCTGACCTTGCTGGAAGTTCAAAAAGTTTGACGAGATTTTTTGGAAAATTTTGTGATAGATAAGATTTGAGTTCATCGTATAAAAATTCTTTGGTTGATCGATCATTGACTAAAACTACTTCCTTAAGTAGCTCTGGTGGACTTCTATTAATAACTGAATGGATTGTCCTCAATAAAGTACTCAAATGTTCATTATAAAATGGAATAACGACACTGACTGTTGGTAAATCTTTCAGATATCTAATCTTCCAACAATCCTTATGTCTTAAATCCACAACACTCCTGTTGACTGAAATCTTATCAGATATTAGTCCATAATATCCATTTTCATCAAACAATCGTTGATTCAGTTCCTCTTCATCTTCAGGGACACTATCAATTCCCATTCCATTCTCACCAGGTCCAGTACGTGACTTTTCTAGATTGATGGCAATATAGTCATGCCAATCAACTTTTATATTCCCTTTATTATGTTCGGATCGAAAAAATGATGACAATGGTTCAAAATATATAAAGTTTTGGTCAACGCGTAGCGGTTCGTTGTTGTATTCGATAACCTTCATCATTACCATAAGAGTGAAGAAGAATATTAGGAAAAATACAATTGATGTCTCGATGACAAAGCGAGGAGACTAAATAATATAAGAAATTAAAAAGATTTATTAAACGATGTACAAATAGGTTTAAATTTGAGGATAGTGAAAAAAAATTTCAGATTGTAATAATAAGTCCGTAACGCCAGACTGAAAAGATATATAAACCCCGAAAATTCTAGGCGGGTTCATTTTTCTAAATTGATCCTTTTATTTTAATCCGATTTAATTTTTTAAATAAATAAATATTTACGATTCATTGGAAAATGCGGCACCGAGGTTCAAAAATTGTTTAATTAAATAAATTGAGTTCAAAATGGATCAAAATAATTCAAGAATCAAAAAACAGTTGGAAATGATATTTAAAATACAGGATCTAATCTGTGACAGATTAATATTAACTGCAACTTCGTTCATCATCAAGATAGATATTTTTTAAAAGTGTCAAAAGGTTATCGATATATATATATTAATAAAAGTGTTGTTAGATAACATGATTTTTATTATTTGCACACGTTTTTTAATCAAACGCTTGTTAATAATAAAGTATAATAAATTTAAGTAAGATCTTCCATAAATCAATTAAATCAAACTCGATAGAAAATTTGCCATGCTTTTCTAGTTTTTGAGGAACAATTTACAAATCTAACCCATTTTCTCTGAATTCTAAAATGAAATATTCTTTGCAATAACCTAACCTTAAAATAATAATGTGCTAATTTATCAAAGAAAACCGAAGATATAGAAAAGATTTCAATTCCAATATTAAATCAATGTCGCAATAGAGTCAGTTTAAAAAGAATCTCAGCCTCTAGAATTGTATACAAATCACAACTCACCTTAAGTAAATTAATTTTCCGAAGTTTAATTAAAAATTGTCTTTTTGTCCACATTCTTCTTGGTCTGCATAGATGCAGCATAACAAAATTAGATATGCAAAGTAATTTATTTAAATGCAAATTTTTTATTGTGCACAGTAGCTTGATAGTATCAGGTTTTCGTTATATGTGATTGACTGTGATTTTTGAGGTGATTCACAAATTTATTGATTTTTAATTTTAATTGCAGCGCAGTAAATTTATCAGCATTTTTTAACTTTGATAAAAAATTTTAATCTTTAATATTTTCTATATTTTATTAAGCTTGACTATCCTTTTCTCAACTTGTCATAAAACTAAATAAACAACTAGTATCAAAAATAGTTTCTTTAACTTTAAACTTAACTATTTCACCATAATCGCTCAAAATCTTGCTATTGTTAAAGCAGGATTCAAATTTACGTCAAAAAAAATTAAAGTTGTTTGACTTATTTTTATAGTACGAGAACCGCTTTTTGTTAACATTTTGACATTTTAGTCTATAGACGACCTTGGAATAGATTTGTTGTGCTTATTTTTTGTTGAGCTTTAACCAAGAAGATGATATGTTTATGAACAGCTGACTAGGATTAGACGAATTTTTTTTTGATTTTTTCAAGTTTTTTTTTTTGATTTAAAATAAATTTGAAACTTTCTGTGATTTTTTGAAGTTTTGTTCTTGTATCATGAATGCAGCTTTACATTTTTTGCATTCTGCTTCTATTACTTCTCAATATGCAACTTTAAGACTTAAATTTCGAATTTTCAAATTCCTATTTCAAACTAATCAAATCGGCAAGCTTAACAGTAACTCAAATTCAATAAAATTATCTAACGTTTACTGTCTCCAAAGCTAAACTTTATTAAATATCACACTCGAATACAAAACGAGTCACATCTTAATGACTGAAAGGCCGAACGATATCTGAAAATAGAAATAAATTATCATATTTGATATTCACTCTCAGTTTCATTGGGTCAATTGGTGTTACAAAGCTGAAGATGGAAAAAAAGTTGAATGGACAATAAAAATGCTTCTTTTTTTACTTTTGATGTCTCTCTCTCTCTCTTTATTTCTCTCTTACTTCATAAGATTGTTTATAATGATCATTTGTGCAATATTTGAAATTTTGCGACGGTTCAAACAAAAGAAATTTTTCATCATATACATTTTGTGACGAGGCAGGAGAGAGACGGTTTAAAAATGTCATTTTTTATGGACGTAATTTATGAACAGCTTTATAAATAGCTAAAATGTTGATGTCAAACTTTCAACATTAATAATCATTTAAATATTTTAACAGATCCTTTCTTCAATATTTAGAGATTCTTCTAAAAGTTTTGTATATAGAATTGAATTTTTGTAATAAATCTTTTGGGAATTGTGCAGCGCATAATCTTCCCTAAGCAGTTGTGTGTCCAGTAGCCAATTAAAAACTCTTAGGATCTTAGAACCAGTGTTCATGTTGGCTCTCATTCCAATTTTCAGTAGGTCACAATGTCTCCAGGTTCGTTCCAGTAAAGCCCTTCACGATGAATTTACGGCTCTCGTATCTTTCTCATTAAGTTTACATAATTTTTGGCCTGTTCCTAAATCTCACATCGCCTAAATCATAGTTTTACGTCTTTAACTGCTGCAACTTAGAAGCCGAAGTATCTAAACTTCTGAAAAATTACAAGGCTGGTGGTGAGATTCAAACCCGGGAGTCCCTATTCAACAACAAGTTTTGTGATCTGTACCTTGCCAACTGTGCTATCAAAGAATTTTTGCTTCTTAAGTGCATTATCTTAATTAAGTGTTTGTTCCATTTAGTTACAAAGCCGTTAAAGGTATTTAAAATGATATTTATAAACCAAAAATACTTCTCTGTTATAAAATCAATCTTTTTTCCTAAAATTATTAAAAAATTTCAATAAGTTTTTGTTTTTTTTTTTTTAAAAAAAAAATTGTGTAAATTTAAACGTTGGAGCCTTAATTTACTCTCCATAATATCCTACTCATTTGATATTATTATTATAAAATTAAAACAGCACATAAAATAAATATCTACAGATAAATATGCCGTATCGTACAACACGTAAAGTAATTGAAATTCCATCCAACATATACAAATCTAATTACATTACAATTTGCCATCCGAAAAAAAATCTCATGAAATTTGAACGCGTACAAAAATAAGCATGGAATGAAAATTATTTATTTTAATTTAGGAAATTCCTAAACGTTATCTGCAACAGCAAATCTGAAATAACGATAAAAATTATTAATTTGAAGACTTCTTGGTGATGCTTATTAAATTTTTCTACATTGAAAGATTTTCAGAACTCAATAAAATATCAGGAATGTCAAAGCAAAGACAAGCAAAGCAAACTTGGTCGTAGTGAAAATGTTGACTTAATGGTTACTGAAATAATCAAACTTATCAAATCCCACGACAAAACAATCAATTTTCAGTTCCACTACCAACTTGTTTAATATACGTCGTAAATGTCACATTCCAGGACTAGAACAAACTATAGAAGATATTACTCGAAAGGTCCACGTAAACAATCTGAGAAAATGACAGAAATTTCAATGTAAATGAGGAACAAAACCAACACAACTCATCATCATAAATCATTAACAATGCCGTGCTGCAAGACAACTAAACTTTTAGAATCTGAGAACTCAAACTGTTAAAAATGTTTTAATGTCAATGGAAGTAGTTTGATCAAATAATAAAGTTTTAACATTATGTCTTAAAGATCTGTAGCTTAAACCAAACGACAATGGGATTACTCAAATAAATAAGATTGTTGACTATTGAGTGTAAATAAAAATAAAGTTTAGAAATGATAGCGATTTATTGTTTCACAAAATATAAAAATTATGATTTAAGCATATCATATTCACGTTTTCATGTTTTTTATTTGAGTTTTCAGATTAATAAGCTACTCGACCAGTATTTTTGGAATTAGAATTCTAAAAGAAGCTAGTGAAGAAGAAGTGATTAAAATACCCTTGAGAACAAATTTTCTATATTCTAACAAGACTTAATTTAACTATGAAAAATATCTAGAGATTCTTTCTTATTTCCATGCAATTAATTTCACATTAGACATCCTTAATTTCCTCTACTTTCTTTTATTCATGCCTTTTTCACTTCCTCATCTTGAAATTTTTCCCCTTTTTTTCATTTCTCATTTAAATCTTCTTCGTCGTCATTTTTCATTTCTACAAACCAATTTTATTTTTTTTTTTTCATAAGAATTCTTACTTTATTTTTGTTGTGTGGACCAAATGAATGTTAAATGTGAGTTTTTCTACACAGATGAATTAAAATTGAGAAGGCAATGGCACAAAGAGACGAAAAAAAAACTAAAATACAAATGGAATCACAACATAAATCAACAATTTTTTCTTCTCCGGTCGCCACAAATTGCGTCGGGTTTCGGTTGGTTTGACATGAAAAGCGACAGCGGTAAGAAGGAAAAATTGTTGTTTGTCGGTGAGACGATGATGAATGTTCTTGTACTTATTTAGAGGCATTCTAGAGGCTTTTTTGACTTTACTTGCCTTCCCGTCATGCTTTTTCGTATATGAGTGATTTACCTTATTACTTGGCTGTTGCTTTAAAGGAATATAGAGATGAATCCTAACAGTATCCAATAGTCGACTTCGGAAATTCACAAAATAATGTCAGTAGGTCAGTCAGGTCCCTACTGGCTCCGTACTTTTTCTATCTCCAATCTAGTGTCATTGTTCTTTTATATGCTTTTTGCCACTCGTGGAAGTATACTTTTATGTATTAATTAATAATTTGATTGAATTTTTAATACCGTAGTTCATAATATTCACGATATTTTCTATATCTTATCCGTAATTTGAAAAAATCTTAGAAATCTTTTATACGTTTTGATTCTAATGTTGAGGCTTCACTAAGTCTTTCTGTTATCACTTGTCTTCTGGTCAATTTACTTTGACAGGTTTGTATAATATTCTCACCGATTTATCTGTGAAGTCATTTTAGGAATATTTTTTACAATGTAGTAAAATAAATAAAAAATTAGAGCAATAAGCTCCTTTTGAAGATAAATGGACGAGAATAAATTACTTTAATAAGTTTGGAAAATTAAGTTACAAATTGGAGGAAAAATTTTGAATATTTTAACCCTATACTATTTAGCATCAATTTACAGCTGTAATTAAATTAGCTGTAATTTACAGACACACCATACAGCTGTAAATACAGACACCATAATATTATTAAAAACAATTTTTTTCAACAAACGTATCTGTAAATACAGACCAAATATACAGCTTTATTTACAGATAAAAATTTATAGATTTGTTAATTTCATGAAATATGAGCTTAAACGAATAGGAGAAAAACTTTATTTTTTATTCAACTTTTTCCTGTTTGATGATGGTTCAAGATTTTTTGATACAATAGAATCTGAAATGACAATTAATTTTATATATTAAATATTTTGATTGCTAATTAAAATACATACCTAATTCTTTAATTGAGCGTTCAGGATTAAACATGATACTAGAAGAAACATCTGACTTGTTTTTCCAGTTTTCTTGAGAAGATAATAATGCTGTTTCAACACCAACTTTTTTGGACTTTCTATTGAGCTGCTTATCTGGGAGTTGAATCCTGATTTTTTTTGCATCAACATCTATTTTTTGCCTTATATATCGCACATACCGACCAACTTTTATATGTCCAAATTTGCCAATTGATTTTTTCATCTTTTTTGTTTGATTTTAGCTGACTAAAATAGCCTTCTACCATGCCATTGTTAGGTCTCACATAGTCTTCATTTAAAGCAGTATTTAATGACGGTAAAACTGCTGACCAAAAAGATAGATAGGCTATAGTTTTTTTTAAAAAATCTTCAACAAATTCTGGACTGTAATACTCATTATCCCAATCACTATTTCTTTGATTTGTTGATTTGTTAATAGACTTGTAAAAACTATTGAAAAACTTGTAGAAAGGCGAATTTTCATAAATAGTTTTCGGATTGATTGAATCTTCAGTTTCATCTATATTTACAGCTGTATTTGCAGATGGCGAATCACTCTCCAGTGAGTCGTCAATATTAATCAGTTTTTCCTGTTGATTCGATATAGAGGCTTTTAACTGATTACTAATGATATAGAATTGATATAGAACCAGCACCAGTCATTGATGAACTTTCAGAACCAAATCAGAGCAATTATCAACAACAAAATCCGTCAATCATTGAAGATTCTGAAAATCATCAGAACATCCAGCAATTTCAGGACTCTATTGCCAATAACAGCTCTGAAATAGTTCAGAACATTCAACAACAACCAGAACTAGTTTATTCTTCAGGTTCTGAAAAACCGTCCAAGCAGCTTAAGTCCAAAAAATTGAAATTAGATAAAAAAAATGTAACATCAGTTGTTGTTAAAGAAAATTTGCAACCTTACAAGAGCAAGCTCCCTAAGAATATTAAGAAGAAAACATATTATTTACCTTACTTTTACATATCACATTTTTTTTTAAGCCTAACAATGAAACAAGATTTTGTAGTCAAATATTTTTTTGTGATTAAAGAAAAAGTAAACTCAACACATAATTAGTAAAATTTGTCTTTAATAGCTTCATGAAATTAACAAATCTATAAATTTTTATCTGTAAATATAGCTATATATTTGGTCTGTATTTACGTTTGTTGAAAAAAATTGTTTTTAATAATATTATGGTGTCTGTATTTACAGCTGTATGGTGTGTCTGTAAATTACAGCTGTACTTTAATTTTACAAAATACGTAAAGCTTGACTTACGTCATCTGTAATTTACAGCTGTAATTTAATTACAGCTGTAAATTGATGCTAAATAGTATAGGGTATATTTTATTATAAATTACTTGTATTTTGGATTTAATTTTCAGTTATGCCCCTGATTGTAGTCACATTTAGCAATCATGCATTCCATCAATAAACTAGACACATAGTAAAACATAAAATAAATCACACTATTTTTTACCTATCGCAGATCCAAAAAAAGCAAACATAAAATCATATCAAAAACACAAAAAGATCCATTACATTGCGAATCTCAACAAATTTGCGTCATTTCTCTTCCTATAATCTCCATCATTATATTCTCTTGTATATCAAATAACATTGAATGCCCACTTAATGGCAATTGATGGCCTAAGATTTGTTTTAGAAGTAAAAACAATATTATTTCCATCATCGAATAGCAATTTGTTATATTAATAATGGTGAGAAATTCTATGGCATGAGTGAGGAAGACTTGCGTATCGAATTGATCGATTGGGGATGTAAAGAAACAAAAATTAAGTTTTAAATATGAATTTTGAAATTTTTCTGTATTTTAATGACATTTTTTCATTTTTTAAATAATGTAACCTGATATTAATGTTTATAAAACCTAAACTTTACTAGCTAAGATATAAATATCTTCTAATCATAAAATCCTAAATAACCTCAAAAATTACCAATAAGCATCAAAATCTCAACTCAAATCCATCCATTCATCTTCCAACAATCACAAGGAAATTAGGTCAATTTACTCATCACCATTCATTAAACTTCTTATCATAATAAACTCACCTAGCACTGATAAACAGCATTTCCTCTCCGTTAGCTTTTCACACATTTTTATTTCATTCAAAAAAAAAGAAGGAACATTATTCTGAGGTATCGTCTCAAAATGATGGTAATTCATCTTCATGTAAATTGTTGTTTATGCTGAACATGTCTGGTTGTTTAAAATGAAAGTGAAGAGCTCATCGATAAATGAAAATGGATCGACCATCATTTGAATAAAATGAAAATGAATGGCAGGTAATGATGGTGATTGATTATGAATGGAAATGATCTCGCTTTGGGGTTAACTTCCCGTTAGATTGTGGAAAAGAATGGACTGAATGAAGAATGTTTTGGGAGTTATTTATGTTGGTATGGATGGAACAAAAGTTGAAGTATAGTTTTATAAGACAATTTTGATTAATAATTTCGTAATAAAGACTGGTTCTTTTTGCTAGGCTTAAAAAGGTCTAATAATGAAATAATTATTAATTAATGAACCACAAAGTGTCCACACTTATAGAACTACAGGAAGTTTTAAATTTTTTTGCATTTTAATGGACAGGACATGATGGAATAATGTGGTTGAAGTGTAGTTTTGGATAGTTACATGATAAGTTTTGATTAATTTTACTAATTTGAAGTTTTTAAAGGAATTTAAATGTTTTCTTACATTGGGAAGCTTCGGGAAGTTTGGAAATTTTCAGAAATCGGAGCCGATTTTTTTGGCTTAACTCAATTTTTGATTTTTTTGATAGAAAAAAGCCATTTGACACCCATTTCAAGTATTTAAATTGAACTTTACATGCTTTACTATGATTCTGTGTAATATTTTGTCAGCATGTAGCTATAGTGAGCTCAGAATTTCAATTTAGCCGATTTTAAGCCGATCGGCTTAAATTTCGGCTTAAAATCGGCTAAATTGAAATTCTGAGCTCACTATAGCTACATGCTGACGAAATATTACACAGAATCATAGTAAAGCATGTAAAGTTCAATTTAAATACTTGAAATGGGTGTCAAATGGCTCTTTTCTATCAAAAAAATCAAAAATTGAGTTAAGCCGAAAAAATCGGCTTCGATCTCTGGAAATTTTCTTCAAAAAAGTCTTTTTGACTATGGACGCCTTGATGAAATATCATTGAACATCTTGGTTAGGAAGCATATTCGATTGTAAATGAGTTTTTTTGTGATCATCACAAGACATTGAAATACTCAGAAAACACAAAAAATAGGAAAATTCTCTTAAAAATTCCTCGTCCTTACAATAACAATAATCTCCAAAACAGCAATCCACAAGCTATTAAAACCCTCTTTCATTCCAGTTGAAATGTTTAAAACTTTACAGAAAAATTTATCGCTTCCTCGTTTGCATGTTGGTCTGAAAATTATTCCGGATGTCAAGCATATTTCTCTATCCAGAAATGACTACAAACTATAAATAGATACCATAGAATGTCATGACGACGATGATGAAAAGAGCTGCTTTATGGTATGTCTCGTTCTATAATAACACTCGACCTAATCTGTGTGAAAAAATATTTTTATGTAAAAATGCGAGAAGGAAGGACGATAAGAAGTAGAAAACGAGTTGAAAATGCTTTTTATTTGTGACATGCGGAAGTTATAATGAAAAACTGAAAGCAGGAAGTATGAAATGCTCAAGAGAAAGTTTTCTTGAAGTCTCGCTATAAACTAAGTTTTGATTTCAACGTTCGTAATTTTCTTAAATATGGTTACAGTTTATGATATAATATTTTATCACCGTAGACATTGTTACCGATTTGACCAGCATTTAACTGTTTATCGGCTTTTCTTTAATTCATACCAACAAATTTAACTCAAACATCCACATCATCCTGCACAAAAAAATTAAAATCCAAATACTTTAAATGACAACAGTTTTTTAAAATCCAGTACATTAAAAATTAAATTTCATTTCGCGTTTTTAACCTTAAAATATTCCAATTGGCTTTCACTCGTGTTAAAAAAAACTGAAAATGAATTGACCGAAAAAAATGGAAATTCAGTTTCATGTGGAAATGGCTTCATTATTATTATTATGAAAAAATTATATTAATTTTTAAATAAATACGCGAACGAGCCGTCAGTTTCAATAATTTTTGTGCACATGTGAGTAAATAATTTTTTGGCACCGCATTTTTACGGTCTCGTGAGCTTTCACATGTACGTGAATGTGATGGAAAATATAATTTAATATTCGAATGAGTTTAATTTAATTATGATTATTTTGTTAATTTTTTGTTTCAATTTTTACCTGTTTGAATTTTTAACATATACAAGAGGTAAAGTTGTAGCAGCGCTGGTTTGAAAACTACTTGGTTTATATGCAATTGATATTTATCAAAAGGACGAAACTTTCCTATAGAACCGTCAAATGAATTCCTTTAACCTTATTCTATTCAATATCTTATGTTCCTGATTCATAATAAGACCTTACTTCTTTCAAGTTTTGATATGACAAAATAACAGCTGTTTTTTCATTCTGTCTGTCTGTCCTCTATTTCACCAATACTTACGCTGTAAAAGTTAAAGTTGGTGATCACAAAGCCTTTTTAAACTGCAAATACTTTTATTGCAAAATCTTTTTATTTTATAATGAATCTCTAGTCACACTTATAAAAATTGGTTCATAAAAATTTTTGAATGTATTTATTGAGTCCACAATCTTATCAAAAAATTATAAAACTCCTCGTTTTATTAACTGAGGGACTTCTGCGCATTTTTAACACAGCGATCAGGATTAGATTATCAAATTAATTCACGTACAGATTGAGAGATTATTAATTACATCGAAGAATCTAGAAAGCGTTTGTACTTTAATAGGTTTTTTTTAAATTTAAATTTTAAAACGGTTTTAAAAAATTCAAATTTTAGAACACACTCATTTATGTAACAGTTTTTTGGAATTCAAATTTTTGAACCCCACTTTTATTGCATTTATTGACAACATACTCTACGGTAATAATTCACATTTTACACTTTTGTGTTATGTACATATTAATTAATTATTTTATAGGATCAAACTTCCAATCTTCAAATATAGGATTCAAATAAATTAAGGTTCTCGTTTCGTTCTTCTGTGGGCGTGACTTGATAGTTTTCAGGTCCGTTCTAACAATATATAATCTTGTAGCTCTCGGTCCTATTTCTCCCGCTACACTTCAAGTTCCTGACTCGTTCCTTAATCCAACGTTGCCCAAATGCCCAATTATGGCTTGATCCCGTTCATTAAGCAGACGAAGTATAAAAACTTCCGAAAAAGAACAAATTTCAAAATTTTGAAAAAAGAACAAAGTTTTAAGAATTTAAACTTTTTGGAAGGCCAATAACTCGATGGAACTGAACAATTAAAATAAACCCTATTTCTCTAAAATATTTGGTTAAAGAGAATTCAGATTCCCCAGCCGAACGATCGAACAAACGAACAAAGTGAATTATCAAGCTTCCTTTTCGAAAACAAGATTTTAAAAATGCGGTAAAAACTTGATAGACCAAATTTTATTTGTATTATTTCCTCTCTTAGATAACCATGATTAGCTTTCCATTAGTGCATTTACAATTCAGTAATCTCTACTTCGTTTTCACAGGTGTCAACGTTTACAATTTCTATAAAAATGAAAAGTTTTTTATTATTTTTACTCACAATTTTTGTTATAATTTCAATTATTGAATGCAAAAATGACAAAGACGATCATAGAAAATCCAGTGATTTTAGAAAATCTCGCGAAAGTCGATTTGAAATGAGAGACGCAATGGAAGAAGCAATGAAACTTCTTTATGAAGAGACTTACAAAATGGATGCAGAAGAACGTAGAAATTTGATCAAAAAGTTCATGAGAGGTCACATTGACTTTAGAGAAGCTTTGGATCTGGTAAATAGCGAACGAAAGGAAGAAAGAAGAGTTAGAAGTCCAGAACGGGAAAGGAGAATACAAGAAATCACAGAAAGTTTAAAAGATATGAATAGAAGGAAACGACATAGTGAATTATAGAATTTGTATAAAATAAAAGTACTGACCGAAAACTCAATATATTTCCTTTTCTTCCGGAAGTGGTAATCTGTTGATTCAGTCAGTGAAGTTTGGATTATTTCCAAGATTTAAAAGTTCAGTTTACATTTTTTAATATTTGATTTATTTCTTCCAGATTACCAGATCTACTGGTAGATAAATGCAATCACTAAAAATTATTTTAAAGTGGGTTTAGATCGCCTCAAAAAGATATTAATTTTACGTATGAATATAAGTTTGAACTCTGATTACTAAAAATCAAACATTTCTTTCAATTAAAATAACAAAATACAACTCTAAACCAACTTATTAATCTTATCAGACATTCAATAATTCTATTTTGTTTGTATTATTTCATCAGTGCGATAAAAACTTATAACTTTTTCTTTGAAGTGTTGTTTAATTTAGTTTTCAGTTGTCATTCATTTGAGTTTATTTTTTTATTTATTTGTATTAAAAATGAAAAAATTTCTCATATTTACGATCACAATTCTTCTTATTATTTTAATCACAGAGTCAACAGTTGATGAAGATGAACGTCGAAAATCTCGCGATCGCGAGCGAATAGAAATGAGAGAAATAACGGAAGAAGCTGCAAGATTTTTATTTGAAGAAAGTCACATGTTAGAACCGAATGAAAGAAGAAATATTATGAAAAACTTTATGATGGGAAAAATCGAGTTTGAAGAAGCAGCAAATCTGGCTGCTGGTTCACAATTAAAGGAGCGACTGAAGACAAATCCTGAACGAGAGAAAAAGATAAAGGAGATTAGGGAAAAATTTAACCGAGCAGACAAAATAAATCGACATAATGAGCTTTAAAATGTTTTATTAACTAATAAAATTAAAAAATATTGATGAATATTATTTTTTTAATAAAGTTTAAATCTAAACATTCAGTTTTTGATTAACTCGATTACTTAAAAGTTCGTAAAATCCAAATATGAATTGATTTAACTTCTAAATAGAATGAATAAAGTAATAATAATAATAAAAATATTATTAACATCTCTACTTACAACTTTGATTTGCAGCATACATCGTTAAGTAAAAATCAAATTAATTAAACTTTAAAATTGAAACTTGCAGTTACTTACCAATTGTACGTGTGCGTACACTTTTCAACTCACCATTATAAACACTTTAAGGTGTTAAACTTATTGAATATTATCTTGAGTTATTTTTTTAACCGCTATTTTAACAAGTTTCTTAATTATTATTATATGCCAGTTTATTTTGTCACTAGTCTTTAAGTTTTTCTGCCCAGAGGGCTAATAAAACTCAATCAATCAATCAATCAATCAATCAAAGAGTAACATAAAGAAAGCACTAATCGAATTTAGAAACTATCGTTCATTTTTTTTAAAATCAAAGTTTTGCACTTGTTCAGAATGGTTTAAAAATCTGAATAAAAATCTGATTTATTTTGAGTAAAGCCAATGAGTGCGGATGAGAACTAATTTTCGATTTCGAAGGATCTAATTTTCGAGCGCGGGAAAAAAAATTGAATTTGAAATTTCCGTTACAAATATTTGTTTACATTTTGCATTTAAATTACTTCTTGAAAAAAGAATCTTCATGGGAACTTTCAGTAGAAGTTCAATGTTTTTTAATGTGTCTAGAATTCATTCAAGCAGTCCTTTATGAAAGGACATTTGGGTAAGAACATAATTCTTTTTCAAGCTTAATCTTCCGATTAGTAGCTTGACAAAAAAAAATGGTCAGACACTTTTTTGTAATAATAAATTTTTTTTTATTTTTTGATAGGTCTTCATCAATTATGCAAAGCATAATAAAATTATAAAAGTTCAACCCAATTATTTTGGCGATATGCGTAATTACAGTCTTCTCCTTCTTGCTGTTGAAGCTGGAAACACACAATTTGTAAAAAAATTACTCAATTTGGAAATAAGTTCAACTTCATCAGACAATGCAATAAACGCACAAGAATTGGCTTGGAAAGGACAACATTTCGACACTCTTTTAGTATTTTTAGAATCGAATATGACTTATCCATCATCGTTTGATGCCACAAAATGCCCTGAAGAAATTAAAGAGTTCTACAAAATCAGTTTAGATTTTCACAAAGCAATTTATTCAAAAAACGAAGAAAAGATTATTGAAATAATTAATAAGAATCCAACTTTATGTCATTTCTATAATTATTCTAATGAATCTGCACCGAGAATTGCACTTAATTGTAAATACATAGACGTGTACAGGTTACTCCTATCTCATAAAATATTCCTAGGAAGACATGAAACTTTAGACGAAACATGGGAAAACTTTTCAAAATCTGAGAGGACGATTTTACGTGAAATTCACTTTAAGCACTCAATATATCTTCCTGAAAAATATCTCAATGATCTTACCACAAACTCTAGTGTTGCTCATGATGATCCAAATGTTAAAGCAAAACGTGACTTGATCAAATATGCATTTGATGTCCTAAATGCGAATCCATTCACACAAATTATTCTTATGATCGTTGCTGCATCTAAAAACTTTCAAATTCTGTTTGATTTTTGCAGAAATTCTGTTCATCTTTTGGTTCCGACAGCAAAATTTAAAATGAAAGGATTGTTTTATTCAAGTGGAAGAATTTATATAAGTGCATGGTTGTTGATGTTCCAATCAACTGAGAATCAAGCATTTGGCACTTTGGCACATGAACTATGTCACTTTGCAATGAAGTTAGTCTTTAAGAATAAAGCAAAGCCTTACTATCGAGCCGATCGTAAAGCAAAAGAAAGATTTGAAAATATTTCATCAATTTGCTTTAATAAAAGTGGCATGGAACCAATCATTGATTTAGTTTTTGGAGAATATCCGGAAAAACAAGAGCATGCTGAACTAATTGTAAGAGTTCCTCATTTACTTGCTTTGTATCATGATCAACCAGAAAAGTTGAATGATGTAAGGCTTAATTTCATAGAGCTTTTTGAGTTTTATGAGCAAACTGTTGTTCCAGAAATTCACAAACGTTTGCCAAGAATTGAAGCTAAAAATCAAATTAGAAAGAAAAATGAGAAAATTTTAAAGTATAAAGCTTTATTGATTGTTGGAGGACTTTTATCGATAATAATAATAATTTTTGTTTCTACGACAGTTCGTGAACGCCCCGTTGACTTTAAGGATCTAAACAAAGATGAAAAAATGCTTATCAAAAATGCAAAGATTTTGTACAAAAATGTTGATGTTAGATTTCAAGATTTATTCTCAGACAACTCTGAAGCTTACTACAAACTCAGCCTTGAAGATATTTTCCAAATGATTAATCGAAAAAGATTAAATTTTAGTAGTGAAAAATATTCAATTTTTAATGATTTAATAAATCACAACTTTACATGCTTAAATGAAAACTTGAAAAAAAAATCTTAAATTCAAACTTTCGCTTTCAAAATGAAATTTTGAATATCAAGAATTTGTATCAGAGAGATGGTGAAATATTTAAGCATCTATCTTCAAAGCAAATTAAAGATATTTTAGATGGAGTATTAATAGAAATTGATCCAAATAGTATATTTGAATCTGATCATTTCATAGAAAGAATTTTCATCGAAGAGACAAAAACACAATGCAATATTAATTGCAGTAAAGTCATCAATTCTCCAAATAATTCGAAAAAAATTTAAATTTTAGTGAGTTTGTCGAAATTTCTGATCGAATAAAAATTTTTATGATCTCTGCTGAAGCTGGCACAGGAAAATCTGTAACTTTGAAACATTTAAAAATAGAAATTAAGAAGAAATATCCATTTAGATGGATTTCTTATATTGATCTTAGAAAGTGTACAAAGTTTTTTCCAGAAGTTTCAAAAAACTTAAACTTGATAGCTAAAAGTTCTATCAAGCAGACAGAAATTAATCCATTTTTCAACCTTTTATATGATATTTTAAATTTAACTACAAAAAGTAAATTCGAACAAGAACTTTTTTTTGAATTATTTTCATCTGGACGTGACATTTTTATGGGACAATATTGATAAAGTTGACCCTCTGTATAATCTTATGACCTTAAACTTAATGACTTTTATACAAAACAATTCTAAAATCTCTCAAATAATTTGCACAAGGCCTTTTTATGCTGAAACTTTAGAAAATAAATTTTCAATCCAATCGTACAGATTAGCGTTTTTAGACAATAATCTCAAAATGTTTCTTACTCAAATCCTTCGTGAGTCATTTGGTAATTTAGAAGAACTGAATCAGACTGTTTTTAAAATAGAAAATTTAATTAAAAGCTTGGAGACACGAGCAAAATTTGAGAAAAATGACAGAAAATTAAATGTTCCATTAATGATTAATTTTATAGCGGAAACGTTTATTCAGAAAAATCATTTTAATTCGTCAAATATTTTCGAAATATATCAACTTATTTTTGAAAGAATTTATTAAAAATTATTTCAAATATAATCAACAATTAGGGATTAAATATTCTCTGAGAGAAATTTATCAAAGATATGCATTAATGTATTTTTTTAATGAGTTTTTAAGCTATACTACGAATACGAATGAGTCTTTAATTGCCCAAAATCTAACTGTGTCCAACTTTAAAAATCTTCTAATACTTCAAATGAAGTTTCCACGAGATACTTTACTAGCCGAGATTCCTCATATGGAAATTTTGTACGTTACCAGTGAATCTCATTTTAGATTTCTTCATAAAACTTTTGCAGAATTTTTTTTGCTCAATATTTAATTGAAAATATATTTTTTGCTGGTAAAAACTTAAGTTTATTAGAAACAAAACTGAGAGCTGAATTATTTTTAACTATTTTTCAAAGATACAACATCTACAATCTTAACATTATTGAATTTGTGAAAGATTTTCTTCAAAACTGCAATAATAATACGAATTACTGTGAAATTATTTCATCATTTTTAAAAACAAAAACTGAAAATAGTTTTAAATCTTTTTCAAAAATTTCAGATTTTTTGGATGAGAATTTTAATAGAAACTGTTGTGGTATTGTACAAATTTATTAGCAATTTAAAACCCAAGTATTTGCAGTCAAAAATCAAAACTTATGTCATCATCTTATAAAAACGAAGATTATAAAATTTTATAATCTTTGTATGGGAATATTTTAAGATTATAATCTGCGGGAGCCTTGATTGCGAGTTTCATCAAAAGCATATAAACTTAAATTTACTTAAAATGAATTATTTGTATTAATTTCAAAAATGTTAGTCTTTAATAAAAATGTTTTATTTTTAAAGATTTAATAAAACTAATAGTTTTACAATTGTAAAAAATTCAATGTTTCCTAATTGGTCATCACTGATTCTAAAAAAAGTTTTCAGATTGGTACCTTCAAAAAGGTGCCTCACCAGAGCACGGTAACTTTTGCCTTTGTCCAGGCATAGAAACATTTATGCATAGGAATGGCTATACAAAGGCAAAAAAGTGTGCCAAGTAAAAGACAATACTTAGCCAAAGGCACTGTCTAGAAACAGGTAATATTTTTTGCCTATGCCTAGACACTGTATCTCTTAAGCATGACTTTACCTATACAAAACCTATATTAGAGCCTATATTAAAAATAGGCACCTCTATGAATCTAATATATGTTTTACCTAGTCAAAGGCAAGTCTATGATAGGTAGTGCCTAGGTATAGGCAAAAATGTTACCTATTTCTAGGCAGTGCCTTTCGCTAGACTTTACAAAGGTAAATTTTAATGTCTTTTTAAAGGCAATGCATGGGATAGATTATTGCTATTGATAGGAAATTGATAGATGACAACTTTGATTTGAAGCAAAAAAAACATTAATTAATCCTTCTAATACCGCCAAGTAAGATGTTTAAATAAAAACCAAGTTGTGTAAAAAAAAAAGTCAATAAAATGTCATAAAAAATCTTTTTCAAAATACAAAAAAATCAGAAAAATTTCTCGCTTATCAATTTCACATCATAAGACCAAAACATTTTTTTATTTCTTCCTCTCAATTGAATTTCATGTCAACTTGAGTTGCTTTATTTCCCTCGTTCTAAACTGAATTTGCTTCACAGATGTTCATCATGTATATTCATATTGATGATGTCGTCATGTTTGTGCTGTACATGCCATATCGGTTGATATTATGTCAACATAAATATGAACTTCATGTGCACATTCCCATCTGATTTTTGCTTGACATGAGCAAAACTAAAAGTTTTTCCTTCTTTTTCAGCTCAAACTTTTCATTTGACTTTCTTGTCATCTTTTATTCTCTTCTACTTGATTTGATTTTTATGTTGGTTGTTTGGATGATGACACTCTGATGTTGCTCTGATGTGCTGCTGAATAACGAAGAATTTGGCGGGAAATTAAGGATGGGCAACGCGCACGAAACCTATTTAAACCAAAAATTTATTAAAACTAATTTTTGTTGTTAATTTATTTTTAAAAGATTTTCATTAAATACACAAAACTAGATTCCAGAGTTAAAAATTCTATCGTGTTATTAATATAAGTTAGCATCCCTTTGCAACATTCCCATGGTTCACCTCAAGCTATTTGAAAAGTAAGATTTTGAGAGAAACATTTAACGAAAGTAAAATAAATTGTGAAAAAGATAAAAATTAAAACTTTTTGAGCAAATGCGAGTAAGAAAAAGAATTGAAAATAAATGTTATAAAAGTTTTACAATTTTCCCAAAGGAACTTGAAAGTTAAATCAAATAGTAACAAAAGCCTCTACTATCTCTAGATGTCAGCTTATGTCACTCACCATCTAAAATATGCTCTATCAAAACCAAACACAAGTTGAGAGTTTGCAAAACTAGAAAAAAAATTCAGCACAAATTCAACAAACGAGGCATCGAAGAGTATGCGAAAAAAATGGGAAGAAAAATACAAAGCAAATTGAGCGGAAATTAAAGCGACAAGCGATTGACTGTTTGTTTATTTTCATCTTCATCTCGGTTTTTTCCTCTCATTTTTATCGATATCAAATACAAAAGCATGCACGAAAGCAGCAGACATAAATGCCACCATAAACACTTGTTCTGTTTCACGCTTATTGCTTTTATTGTTTATGTAGCAATTTTATTGATACTCTGTGGTACATTTGTGTTGTGATTTGTCTAAAATCAGAGTTTTGTTTGGCTAATGATAAGCATTAAGACAAGATTGTCAGTGAGGTTAGAGTTGTAGAAATATTATAGTTTTGGTAAATTAACGCAATCCATCATTAGCTAATTTACTTATAACTTAATCATTAAGTGCGCTTTAAAATTTTCAAATTTCTACTAAACCTTCCTGCATGGTAAGAAGCTTACTCAATTGCTCGCATTTATCCATAAATTTTCCTTTATTTTCTCAACAAAATTCGAACCATATGAAAATGAATTGATGTGAATTGAGTGAATGACAGGTTAAGTACATGTTTAACACATTGGGTAAATTGAGTGTATATTGAGTGCTATAAGGAAATAACAAGAAGGTTTTGTGCAATGAGACGATAATAAAAGTTTAGAAAATTGAAGATAAGAATTTTCATGTCAATTGTAAGATGGATTTTTATTTTGTTTTGCTGTATTTTGGTTTTTTTAAATATAAATCTTTTTTCACAATTGTTTTGTTGGATTTTTTATTTTAATTTTTTGCGGAGGTTTGTTATATTTTAGTTTCTATATATTTTAGATTAGATCAAAAATTGACAAACTTTTGATAATTTATTTATAAAAAGTCTGTTTTGTGAAGAAAAAAATTGAGCAAATATCGTCAACGAGGAGAATGAGGTTCAATTTAAAAGTAGCTATGCAACTTTTGTGTACCAAGAATTTTTTTTTTAAAAAAAACGTTATATTTTATTTCTGCATGTCACTAATTTACAACTTTAAGAGGTCTAGCACCATCGGCTATTATAACTTAATCATAGATTTTGAAATAATTCATTGATCATGATCGTTGCATTGATATCCAAAACTTATTCTGATTACTTTTGTCCTCAACGGACAATTGATTTTTGTCTTTTTACAGAAAGATTTTGTCCTCAACGGATGATTGTGTATTTGCAACTCAGCACAATTGCATTGACCCAGGGTTTATTATTGCAAAGTACCTAGACACTGTCTTCACGTCTCAAATCATACAAACCGAGTTGTCATGACTAGAATAGCGAAAAAAACACCCAAGACTAGACATTCCCTGATATCGAACCCAGGTCGTTAGGAATGGTTTGACAACACTCTAACCACTACGCCACTGCTGCTTTTTCGCTGCTTCTGTACCAATACAAATAGTTTGAGAACCTCTGAATTTCAAATTAATATTTCAGTCAAACATCTGTCAAGTGTTTCTGTTCTGTGTTCAATCGAAACGACATTTTCGTTCAATTGAATATTTTATTACAAAAGTTACTGTAATACGCAGGTTTATCAAGCATTTTAAAACAATTTGGATACTAAAATGAAGCTAGTGCTATTTTTGATTCATTTTATAATGTTTATTACTTTGATTTGTAAGTAAAATCACAGTTTTTAACAGAGTTGTGAGACAGGCGCCTGTTAACAGACAAAAGTGACAGATCCTTCTAAAGTCTCGCCAATATTTTTTGCCTGTCAAAGGCAGTGCCTGTTGAATGCCATATATTGCTGGTTGATACGCGTCAACTTGCTAATCACACAATGATCGCTGTGACAAAAATACGCTAAAGTCCCTCGATCAATTACTCGATAAATTGATCTCGATAGATTCTTGAGATTAAAATATGATCTTTTTTCATAATTCCATAATGATTACTGACTCTGCGTTCTTATTCTATGAATCACATTCACAAAGATTTTAAATTACTCCTTTGAAATACTTTAATAGCATTTCATCTCTATTTTAGCATGTTTTTCTGAGGAGTCATCAGAAAATTCCAAAATTCGACGATCTTTAGTTGAAGAAATAGCTGCTCAAGAATTGGAAAACGTAAAAAAAGTTCTGGAACAAAATTTACCATTTGAAGAAAGTTATTCATATTTGATGAAAAATTTTGCCGAATATCGTAAACAATATGAAGATGCTTTGAACGAAAAACTTCCAAGAATATCTGGATTTCCACCAATGCACTCAAATGCATAAAAATTTTTATCTTTACATTAAAATATTTGAAATAAAATTGTTGACATTTTTATTTTTAAACAAAATTGTTGATTAAAACACAAACAAACAAGTTGGAATTTAATTTTCAAACTTAATTTCTGGAACAAGATCTAAGAGCTGCTGCCATTCCTTCTTAGTAAGAGTGATGCCAGATTTTCCAGGACGGTATTGACCTGTAAAGATTGAATTAATTTATAAATCGACCAAGTTGTGTTTTGCATGCTAATGATAAGTTTCAATACATATAAAGTAAATTTCTTCGTACCTGTTCCTTTATCCATATAATATTCACGAATATTCAGATACTGCTTGCCTTTAAATGAACTCAAGCTTACACGACGGTTTCTGTCTAGTTCCCAGTATGAATTTCCCTGATCATCAGTTTTTGTAGAGTCGCTTCCTCCTTTTGAATCATTTCCACCTTTAACGTCATTTCCACTCTTTGACTTCTTGGCCGGTGGATTTCTCTGTAATGAAATAATCGTTTAATGAGGTCAAACATTTTATAAGTCTTACTTTATTGATATTTTTAATTAATTAATTTTAATTTCTTCTAATTTTATCAAACACATTTTAAACTCAAAGCTTTGATGCTGATCAATACTACTTACATCTTCTGGTCCTGAGTCTGAGTCTGAATCTTCAAGCTTCTTGTTTTTTGGCATTGTGAATTTCAAAACTGCTAAAATTTGTTGGTAAACAGAAGAAAAGTGTTTGTTTTGGCGCGGATTTTTGACTTTAATATTTTCTAAATTTAAATTTCTTGTCCGTTTTAAGGATTATTTCGAACTGTACTATTAAGTTGTACTGTTTAGTCTGCGATAGAAAAAGTTAATGACAATAAATATGATAGTTGAATCTAAAATCTTAAAAATTGTAATCTTTTTCCTGCAAATTACAAACTCGAGTGTTTTTAAGAAAGTTTTGACCGGTTTATCAATACATATATGAAGCTATAAAAATTGCTATAAAAAGCAGATTATTTGGTGAGAAACTTTAGTACCGGTTGTTTATGTTTATAACATAAATCAAGACTTAAAGTTTGTGCAGTTTTGTTTAGGCAATTTAGTTCAATATTCAAAGATCTACTTAGTATTAATTGGTATCAAGTTGGTAAACTACTTTTCAGTTACAATATTGCCTCTTTCAAGTGAGTACGCCCGAAAATTCGTACAAAACTAAAAAGAAAATCATTTATTTAAAAAAACTATCAAGTAAATCTTCTAGAATACTATAAGATATTTAAGTGATCCTCAAAAATGTCACACAACAGTGGAATTCCTGATAAAATGTGGCAGCCACCTCTTGTTACCTTTGACACAAAGTGAGCAAAAAATAGGAAATTTAAAACTTATTCAACATTAATTCATGATTTCTAATTAAAAAAAAACTTATTCAGTCTTGGTGAATTCTCAATTGAGCTGTACTGGAAACACGCGCCAAATACTTGCAGGAACTTTGCAGAACTAGCTCGTCGTGGATACTACAATGATGTCGTTTTTCATAGAATAATTCCAGATTTTATGATTCAAGGAGGAGATCCAACTGGAACTGGACGTGGTGGAAGTTCAATTTATGGACCAACTTTTGCAGATGAGCTTCATCCTGACTTGAGACATTCTGGAGCTGGAATATTGAGTATGGCCAATGCGGGACCAAATACAAATGGAAGGTAAACTTTTTACAGACAAAAAAAAACATTCGGATACTATAAAATATTTAAAAAAAAATAATTCTCATCAACAGTCAATTCTTCATCACATTAGCACCATGCCAGCATCTTGATGGTAAACATGCAATATTTGGACGTATTTATAGTGGAATGCAAGTTATTAAAAGAATGGGAAATGTTGAAACAAACAATAATGATCGACCGCTAGAAGATGTAAAGATAATCAGCGCTAAAATTGATAAATATTAATTAAAAAACATAATAAATATTTTTTTAAATACAAAAACTTTTTTATTATTTTCAGAAAATTCTTCGTATGAAAATGTAAAATTTCACTAAGGGCCGTTGACTTAATACGTCTGAAATCAACGGTCTTTTTTTTTAAAAGGATAAAAGATTTCCAGGGGTTTCAATTTTTTTTTTGTTTTAGAGCCCCCCCCCCCCCCACCCTCCGGACGTCATCAGTGCACGGACCCTTATTTAACTATGATTTTATAATAATTCTTTAGGAAATTCTTCTTCATCACTTCCTTTTTCCTTTTCTAACTCCTTACTTGTAATATGATCCCATTCGTGAATAATATGAGAATAATTCTTTGATTCCCTGAAAATTTCCACAGCCACTTTTCCATTGTATTCCATCCCATGAAGGCACTTAAGTACATATTCAGCGTGTCTTTCTGCTCCTTCCCTGTTGATCTCATAACTCGGATGAGCTTCAAGCATTTTCAAGTATTTTGTTAATTTTGGAAACTGTTCAGAATTTATTGGAATCAAATAATTCAAAGTACTCAAAGTTGTCCACATGCTGAAATCCGCGAGTGTCATGACTGGAGCTGCAATATATTCATTATCATCGACGAAGAAATTTTCGACACTTCTATATCCACGAATAACTCGGTCGATCTTGTCTTGCGAAATTGTTTTTTCACGACCATCACAGAGAGGATCCTGGTATATTTAAAAATTGTTTTGGTTTGGATATTTTTTTAACAAATGACAAAAATTTACTTACGCAAATCTCAAAAAGTCTCGCAAACAAGTAACTAGCCTCAAAAAAGAGCCTTTCGTTTACCAAAGTTCTCTTAACAAAATCACGAGGGTAAAGTTGACCATTTTTACAAAACTTTTCAGCCAAATAAATCATAATAGCATGGCTATCCCAAACAGTGGTACTTCCATCAACTAAAGATGGAACTGTACCAGAAGGGTTAATTTTTAGATACTCTGGGGTTAAGTTGTCTTCTCTGAATAGATTTATGTATCTAAATGGGAATTTATGTCACAAAAAATTATGCTTGTCATCCTAGCACCAAAATATTTTCACAAACATACTCACTTCAATTCAACATCAACATCAAGCTCACGTGCAACCAAATAAGCTGCGCGACAAGGTGGACTTGATGAGACATAATAAAGTACTAGCTTGTTTGACATTTTCAACTTTTTATTTTAAAAACTTTACGACCGATGAAATTGAATAATTTAAAAATAGAAAAAAAAACAAAAATTTTGCACGAAGCTTTGTTGTCGCGTTGAAATTTCGAATGCAACTGAAATTGAGAAACTGAAAAAGTTGAAAGTGAGAAGATGAAATTTTATTTTTGTGTGTCAGTGGGTTAAAAAGACGTAAGAAGACAAAGGAAGTTGCATTGTAAATAAACAATGTTGACTGATTGAAATTAAATTGTTGATGTGGAAGCTTTGAGCGGTTTTTTGAAAATTTTGCTGCATTTTTTTTTAAATTATTTTAGTTAAGAAGTTTTAAATTTTATAAAATGCATCATAGAACTAAGTAATATTCATGCTATAATTTTGAAATGCGCATGTCCATCCCTACCTCAATATATTCTTTATATTCATTTATTTCCCTCTCAAAACATTTTATTCCCAACACTTTTCCGATTCATCCCTACCATTTCCATATTTTGAAAATATCACAACTTCCTTTACACATTAATAACAATTTCGAAATTATTCTCAGTCTGAAATTTAATGCTGACATGAACATACTCATTCACTCATTTTCAGATTTCTTGTTTTTCTCATCATCACTTTCGCTTTCAGCATCAACACAATACATTATGTCAATATAAATGCATGAGCATGTTGTTGTCCAATAAGCATTGAACCAATGTCATACATGATGTGTCCTTCCGATAATTTTTTAAATTGAAGATTTGATGAATTGTTAATTTTTAATTAAATAATATACATGTTGAGTTTAGAAACTTAGCCTTAAAACGTTCATAAGATGAAGTACCGAAGAACTTGCATTTGAGTTAAGATTCAATTTATTTGGTCAAAACTAAGGAAATTAAAATTAATCTCAGCGAAATAATGACACAAGTTGGTTAATCAAATAGAAATCCGGTGCCTAGCCAGAATGACTCTGGCATGGTGCTGACTTCGATATAAATCTAGCATGCCAGAGTCACATTAGCTTGGTGCCGGATTTCTGATTGATTAATCGACTTGTGCCATTCGGGAAAATTGGTCAAAATAAACTTACAAAAACATGAGGAAAAGTTATTGTTGTTGACAGAAACGAGAGGTTTTTATAATCATCAAGGCATGGAAACTCAGGATTAATCCTAAAAAATTCCAACAATCCTGATGCATTAGATTAATAATTTCGGGATTTTACATTTTCATGTTTTTTGGCTCAGAGATTTTTTAGGATTATTGGGATTTTTCAAGACTAATCCTAAGTTTCCACGCCTTGATTTTAATAATTAACTCATAAAGAAAATTCAACTAATAAGTTTAAAGAAATCTCATATAACTTCCATAAGGAAATTGAATATACTCTTAAAGTACACTTAAACTCAAACATGTAAAGATAATAATAAAATGAAATGGAGACATATCCAATATATGTACATATCAAGCATAGCACACAGAAAAGCAGCAGTAGAGTGAGAAAATAAATATAAATACTACACATCAATATGCATACATTTAACACGAGATGATCAAAAAAATTATTCATTTAAGAAGGATGAAGAAAGGAATAAAATTGACCGTATGCCATAAAATTCACATTATAGGCCATCGTATCAATTGAATGGCAATTTTTGTGTCTTATCAAATCGGATTTTTATTGCCATTGACATTCTAGACTGTATTTTGAATTCGATTGACATTATTTCAATTATTTTTTGATTTCTTTTAAATTTTTATCTTTTTCCGACTGGATTGCAATCAATTGTGGAATATTGTTTGGATAATAATTGAGCGGATAGAATTTCTGGGAATAAAACTTATAAGGAAAATATTTTGCTTCAATTTTTTTAATCTTAAAGAACACAAAGCAATAAAAAAGCGCAGAGTTCGCATTGTAAAACTTTTTTCGGTGCCCATTAGAAAATTTTTCATGAATTTCAATAAAAACAAACCCAAAGAACTTGATTCTTCATCTTCAAGATTCTTTTTTTTTCAATTAAAATTCCAAAATCGTCGCTTTACAAGAAACAGCAAATAAATGGAGAAGAAAAATTCCAGTTTTTATTGCCCGCACCCCGTTCAATTTCAATTTTAATTCTTTCACTGAGGAGCAAAAAAAGGAGAAAATTTTTATTATTTGCTTATCGCCTTAGTAAAAAAAAATTTCCTGCTGCCTTTTTTATTGTTTTCAATTTTAACAACACAAATGCCACATTACAAATGGTTGGCAATAAAAATAACGAAAACAAAGAGTTTTGTACTCGACATTTTTGATGATTTTTATTCTTTCGAGTTTTCGTTAAGTTCCTTTCAAGTTATGATCTCCAACCTTGTTTATGTTGTCTTAATATTAGATTCATAGTTTTTAAAATAAATGTTAACGATTGTAGCCAGGCGAGTAGCTATTATCCTGCTGATTACACTTTGTTATGCATGCTTTATGTATTTTGTAATGATCTACCTCAATATAAATAAAAGTGGCTCCAAAATAAACAAATGTGCAAAAATAATACTAAAAACATTCTCAATTTAATAAACTAATTGCTTCGGTTTGTTTTGTCAAATTCAGCTTCATCAAAAAAATCAACAAAGTCTATTTTCAATTCATTAATAATCACACAAAACTCAAAACTTGAATAGTCTGCAAGAACACAAACAAATTTTTGGAATGAAAATTATTCCATCAACTGCAACAAAAACAGAAGCAAATAAAGTTGGTTTAAAGCCATTAATCTCATAATGGATTCTAAATGCATTTTCATAAATAAATTTTACTATTCTGCTTATAATTTCTCATTCAACTGACGCTTTATGAGATATTACGTATCGTTCCCAGCAGCACTATATAAATAGTTTTGATAAATAGATAGAAAAGAAGTTGAAGGCCAATCTGGTGTTAAATTTGAAAGTGCATTTGAATCTTAAATTTCAGTATAGTCTCTAACCAAGCGCGTAGTCAAGGGTGGGGGAGGGAGAATAAATTTCCCTATGTCAACATAAATTTCTTCATTTTGTTGGGGTTTTTAATAAAAAATGCTGAAACGCCCCCCTTCACTTAAATTCCTGGCTACGCCCTAGTTTCTAGCACTGGATATTGTAACTCTTAACATTAAAATTCATCTTTTGACCCTCAACTTTAAAGATCATATTTTGATGCTGAAAAGCCGACATGTGAAGCTAAAGTATAAGACAAACTGATCCATAAACAACCGAATCGACACAAATGATATGCTGCATCAGAATAATCACTAAATAACAATTTTTTATGCGCAGCTGAAATTTGTTAATTAAATGAGAGCAACTGAAAATGCAAAATGAGTTGCTCCGTCTGTTTTATTCCCATTTATCTCCGTTCACTCATATTGTTCAGCTTCAATGAATATAAACACCATTAAATTATTACGTGTGCTTTTAATAGAATTAACAATTTGTACAAACTGGAATGATTGTTGGATGAAATTTTTGCATCGTTTTTTGGTTCCTTGTGTTAAATTATAAGGAATTTTAGATATATTTTTAAAATTTTGCCACACGAACTTTCGTTAGGTCTAATCGGATTGATTTTATCATTATTATTTGCTTGTCGAGGTTACCGTCCGGAAGAATTCGTATTTATACATCTTCACTTTTTACATTGATTAGTGATACATTTCATATCACTATAGGTGATGTATAATCAAGCTTCCAATCTTCAAATCTAGGTTTCAAATAAACTAAGGCTCTCGTTTCAATCTTCTGTGGGTTAGACGTGATATATTTCAGATCCGTTCTGACAATATTCTATTATATGGTAATCTTGTAGCTCTCGTTCGTATTTCTCCTGCTACACTTCAATTTTTTGACCCGTTCCTTAATCCAACGTTGCCCAAATGTCCAATTTTGGCTTGATCTCGTACATTAAGCAGTCAAAGTATCTAAACTTCTGAAAAAGAACAAATTTAGAAATGGCTGGATTCGAACCGACGACCTTCGAGTTACTATACCAAATTTGAGTCAAGCGCCTTACCTATTCGAACAGTATGGCACTTAACTGCTTATATATAGAGACAATTGACAACTTGACTTCAAAATGGACTTTTTTTTATAGATTTTTAATTTTGAATAATAAATTTAAATTATTTTACAAAATACAATCTTCAAACTGCTCAAAATCATTATAAAGGACATTCTGACAATTCTTTCATGTCGAGTAATAAATGAGATTATTATTAAACATTGTGTACATTATGATGTTTTTGTTCAGCTTTCATTACGATATTATGGATGCATGATGATATTTTTGATGATGATTTGTTTGCACTTGAATATTGGTGCGAATTAGCTTTAGATATGCAACTTGTTGATGTGAGAAATTTTTAATTTAAAGATTTAAATATTTATGTTATATTAAAGAATCTTAATTGCCAGCACATCCTTCACAATTTTAATCCAACTAAAAGACCGAAAATTATAAATTAAAAATATTTGAATTAAAAATACTATTTTATGATAATTGCAACATCATGAAAATTAACATAATTTCTAATGTTGAAACCGACAGCTTGTGGTCTTTGAAAATGATTAGAAAAGGGAACAAGTTGTGAAATGGAAATTATTTTATGGAGCAATTTGAAAATGTGACGAAAATAAATTAAAAAATGAGAAAGTTTTTGTTGTTGACAAATTGCAGCTTATGTGAAACTTTTTAAGCATTTGTTTTATAAAAAAAACTCAACTTAAGATTTACATTTAAAAAAATAAACAATTGTACGACAAAACACAGCAAAAAAACATGTTTTAGTTATCAGCAAAGCCACAGGATTTCCATCAACATTTTTCTAATTAAAAATTAATTAAATGACAAACTCGACATGAAAAACAAATCCAAACTCTTTTTCAAAATGTTCAAGTCGAGGAAAAAATTTACAATAAATAATTAAATTTAATTACGAAATGAGCTACAAATGCAAACAAAACAGAAATAAAATGACAAAAGGTATCATATTGAAGTAAATTGAAAAAAAATTCAGAAAAAGTTTGTTCATCAAACCTCAGATATGAAAAAGCAACAACAAGGAATGGGGAAAAATGGAAACAAGGAAAAATAAAATTTTAATGAAATGTAAACAATCAAAAATATCTTTTATTGCTTATTTTGAGGATAAGAAGCTTGTTTATGTTTTTATCTATTTTATGTAAATTAATCTCTGATGTCTATACCTATAGTACTTCGGTACCTAATTATTGCAATACCGATGCAGCGTTCATGGGTTCGAGACTGAGCATGAGAAATGTTTCACTTATCCTTTTTTGAATCATATGTAATTGAAACTAGGCTCACAACTTTTCTTTGTAGGCTACAGACAGAAATGTCATCAAAGGAGTGGATCGGATCCCACTATAAATTGAAAGTCTAGGTTTGAGTGCAGTGGTTTGGCGCATCCTAGTATCGTTTGGTTAATTATATATTTTGACTACATTTTAAATACTTTCAATTTCAAGATCGAATGAACCAGCTTCGCACTCTGTTTCCATCAAAAAATCTCCTTTATTTTAATCTACAGCTTATTTTAAACATGACAATATACAACCAGACGCTGAAAAAGTTGTTGTTGATATCGTTGCTACTGTAAAAATATTCAGGCAGAAAAGTTGCGAATAACTCAATTGAACAGAAAAATGTGAATCGACACCACACATAATTAAAATAAAAATGGAATTTCAATCCAAAATAAGTTAAAAGTTTATTAAGTTTGAATTTTTGGAACGTATATTTTGACTCATTATTCTACAATAAATCATCCATATACTACTTTAAGCTAAAATATTTATTTTTGAACCTAGTTCTTTTCACTATATCCTTTTGTTATCTTCCAGATTAAATTTTGATTCTAAACAACGTTAATGCCTCATAAAAAGGATTTCTCGATGTTGTGACCAAGACATACATATATGACCAAGACCATAGCAGAACCTATTTCAAACTTGAATGGACAAAGTATTAGTTAAAAGCTTGCCATTGAATTGCTTATTCATGGCAAGTAAGTATCCTTTTCAACTAGACATAAGGACGACTAATGACATATTTTGCACGTTCCATTTAACTAGACATACGTATTGCACATGTATCCAGTTAATGTCTTGTAACATAAAATCTTAAAAAATCTGGCATGGCTCTGGCCTGGCATCGATTTAAATCCAGCTCCATGCCAGAGTCACACTGATTTCTGATCGATTAACCGACTTGTGCCATTAAGTAAATGTCTGTTCATTTGTGGACTTTAACTAGTTTTTGTCTTCACGGGGAAAGATCTTTTATTTTAAAGTTAGAATAATAGTACATTTTAAAATTTTTAAAAATTAAGATCATAGACAGACAAACGAAAAAGCACCAAAAAATTTTATCCTAAAAATGCTCACGCACAATGCGTGCGAAATAAGCAAGAGCTTCAGAAAATTGTTAATTAAAACATAATTATCACATCGTTATCAAATGCGAAATGTTTTTATATGAACGACATGATATTTGTGTTTATCTGTACTCGTGTATATGCTGCTCTAGCTATGAGGGGAAAATAAATTAAATTAAATTGGTGAATATTTGTTTAAAATTTTTGGAAAATAAACAAATCAAGTTTGGAGGTAGTTTTAGCAGAGATCGAAGCCGATTTTTTCGGCTTAACACAATTTTTGATTTTTTTTGATAGAAAAAAGCCATTCACGTCCCATTTCAAGTATTTAAATTGAACTTTACATGCTTTACTATGATTCTATGTAATATTTTGTCAGCAAGTAGCTATAGTGAGCTCAGAATTTCAAATTAGCTGATGTTAAGCTGAAATTTAAGCCGATCGGCTTAAAATCGGCTAAATTGAAATTTAGAGCTTACTATAGCTACATGCTGAAAAAATATTTCACAGAATCATAGTAAAGCATGTTAAATACTTAAAATGGGACGTGAATGGCTTTTTTCTATCAAAAAAATCAAAAATTGTGTTAAGCCGAAAAAATCGGCTTCGATCTCTGAGTTTTAGGAAATTTAAGATTTTGAATCTGATTTTATAATATTTTATTCTCTGTCTTAAAACTATTTTTCAGGATAGAAAGCACTAAACCTTACAAAAATACAAAATAATATTAAAATAAAATCTAATAGACACACAAGAAAAAGAACAAACATCGATTTTCCATTTTTCAAACATTTGATTGAGAATTTTTTGTTTTCAGGATAAATAGATAAACTTTTTCCACTTCTTTTGACTATAAATCTTCAGGAAAAGAAAACTTTTTCATTTCTTCTTCACCATTTGCATCACGTTTTTGCACTCTTAAAGGCAGCAAACATAAAAATATTTTTTTTGGCAACAGCCGCAGCAGTTTTGTAATTTTCCCGGGTGGACACAGCCAGTTAAAGTCCATTATTGGACAATCATTTAACAGTCTTTTAACTTGTCAAAATATATACGACGTAGAGAACTATACGTTAACTAGACTTTAACTGGACATTAATGCTAATCAATCAAGTGTTCGAAACTCAAAAATAATTTTCCTTACTTTTTTGACCATATACTTCACAAGCGTATACAGAAATCACTTATATAAGGTCCACCAAAATTTGTATGAAACTTTTAAGTAAATATAATTGTTTCACGCGCAAGTGTTCGAGACTCAATTTTTACTAGAGATTTTTCATAAGTGATAGTGTACTTTAGTTAATTAATTACACTAATACAATAATAAAATTTTACAAAAGAAAAAAAATAGAGAAAAAGACACGTGTTATTTATTTTATTTCGATTTTTTTGTAACTGGACATTAACTAGACATATGTGCGATTCCTATGTCCAGTTAAATGGAAAGCGCAAAATATGTCATTAGTCGTCCCTAAGTCTAGTTGCAAAGGCACGTCAATGGATACTTACTCGCCGTAAAAAGGCAAGTCAATGGCAAGCTTTTAACTAGTACTTTGTCCACCCGGGTTTATGGTTTTATATTTTTTTTTCTTACTTATTGATTGAATTTTATGAGAGAAAAACTTATGAAAATTTTCATTTGTGTGGGTGAAAATAGGAAAAAGTTTTCCAATCATTTATTTGATGTAGATTGACATGAAGATTTATTTAAGAAATATTGAAATGTTAAACAAAACCAAGTGGAAATTGAAAGTGATTCGGAAGATGAATTGAAGTTGTTGTTGGGTTGGTCCAATCACCGTACTCGAGGCAAACCTAAATCTTAATCATCCATTAGAAAGTTTGATCTTGAAAATTGAAAGCTTTTCATAAAGAAATTAAAAAAAAATTCGTGACAACGTAATCGGCAAAGCATACTTTAAAATCTTAAACAATTAGGTTTAAAATCGTATATAGCTGTTCCATGTTATACAGATCATCATCACACTCAGAGATTATTCACGATCCATTACATCTTCACCCTCAATCAATTAAAATGGCAAGTAACTTACAGTAAATTAAATTACAAAATCCATCATAATCATAATAGCATCATAATCCATCTATAAGTCTGTGTCTCATGTACTAAACATAGCACAGCACTAGCAGCAGCAATTCTCATTAATTATATAAGAAAAATTCTCACATTCCGAGTGTATCAAGATGTGCATGTAAATTGATGCATTAACAATTTATTAAGAAAATTTCACCTCACTTCATTTAAACTATGTGTTGTGTGCTGCATGCAATGCACTCATACATGAATTATAAAGAATTTTCTGTCTCTTGTGTCATAATTTTTTGTTTCATATAAGTTGAGAGATTTGGTAGAAACGGGTCATAATTTGGTGATTTGGAGTAATTGAGACTAAATTTGGAATAAAAATTGGATTAAAACTCAAGGATCTAGATTTGCTAATTTTCTTTAACAGCTATGAAACTACCTTAAATTTTTTTTTATTTTTACTTTCATTATTTCAATGTTTTTCACAATAAATGTTTAAGAATTCAAGCAGCAGCTTTTCAATCTTAAATGTTGATTTTTAGCGCATTTTTGAAACTTGTTTCGAAAAGGAAGCTTAATAATACACTTTGTTCGTTCGTCTCCAGAAAAACTTTTTAACCAGCCATCGTAGTGAGCTCGCCAAATTTTATTTTACCACTATAGTTACAACATTACCTCTATAATTTTAAATTTTTTCTACCCGTTGTAAAATTTGAACTTCAAAAGACCGTTAAATAATAAAGTCTTTCTAATGATCTGTAAATGAACGCAAAATAATTAGATAATCAAACTCTCATTGCTTACACAAAAATGCGCCTAAGTCCCTCGATCAATAACACGAAGACTTATGTAATTTTTTAAATGCATTAGCATCCAAAATATATGATTAATTTTTGTCTATACATAGTGAATGTTTTACAAAGCGATGATTAACTGCAATGTACTTATAGAAACAATTTGCGCGTCGCTAATCACACAAACCGAGTTGCTATAGCTAGAACAGCAAAAAAAAAAAACATCCAAAATCTGACAACAATCGACCGATTAGCTAAATTTATTTAAATTCTAAATCTAGAAATCAAGAAATAATCTTCAAAAATTAAAAAATTTTAACTAATATTTCACTCTCTAAAACTTTACGCTCAAAACTTTTCATACTTTCATATGTCAACAAGATAATCACAACAGCAAACATGTCTTCCTTTAAAAAAGCAAATGCTGCATTATTTCTCACATATCTCTCATACTAATTAATATTTCACATCTCAGCGACCCGAAAAATTACTTTGTCTTTAAAAAGTTGTCTGCTGCTCGTCACACAATATGTTGTATTTATGATGGTTGTAAGCTTCTCTATCTGATGCTGTTATTACTCATCATGATAATCCAATTTTTATTTCATGTAGCTCAATGTGTGCCGACAAGTGTAAGCTGCCGATGAGCTTTTTTGCTACACTTGATGGTATGATTTGATGTGAATTTAAGTTATTATATTAATTTAAATTTTGGTATTTGTGATTTCTGTTCCTGAAGCTTCTGAATCATCGACTTTATGTTTCGAATCAGTTCTAAATTTCACAATCAATTCTGGTTTCAGAATTCTATTAATTTGGTTGCAGTGTTTAGAATCAGGATGAACTTTTGCAAAATTAATTTTTTTGGTTTTTCTTGTTTTTCTAATAAACTTGCATAAAATTTCACCAAGAAATGTAAAAATCGTAACCAAGCAGAATACTAGCCAAATGTTGAATCCAAACGAAAGATCATCCACTGATAAAACTTGTGGAAGGTCTTTAACTATTGCAAAGTTCCATTTTTTCGTATAAAAATTTTCAATTAACTGCTTCATAATTCCAGTTGCTACCAAATTATTTATTAGGTTATCCAATATTCTTGCATAACAAGCAGCACCGTGAAATATAAAAACATCATAGGTTCTAAACAGAACAACATTTTTAAGTTTTTTCCATTCGTAACTCTTATTCTTAACTTGAGACTCAATGTGATTCAAAAAATAGTCATCAACAGCAAGTGCCATTTTAGCTGATGCATTTTGTGATTGTTTAAGAAGAGCGTCAAGGAAGAAATGAGCATCTAGTTCTATGATGTCCGGCCTGTCAAAAATTGCACAAAACTTATTAAAACTGAATTTGAAATGGCACCTGAGAAGCCATTTATTGATGACATTCATTATTTATGCAGAGTGTGGCAATGCCAAAATCGTCACACGTTACTTTTAGTATGATTTTGAAGATTTCGATTTTGACATTGCTACACTGTTTTTATATTGAGACATTCCATAAATGGTTTCCAACATTTAGTTGAAAGAGGATCAGAAGTATATTTACTACAAAGCTTTGTAAATGAGTCTAATTCAACACATTCACTTACCATCTTTCTACTCGATTGATATCGCTAGCTGCATCCCTGGTTGCCCGCATTGAATAGACTCTGTAATTTCTGTCGATTAAATCTCCAATTGACTTTGGTGATGGCTTTCTTGGTTCACTTGTCATGTACTCAAAAAATTTACTTTGAAAGCATGTTCGAAAGATTAGGCAAAAGTAAACAAAAATTATGAAAAGGAACATTGAAAATTTTTTATCCGGCAGTTTTGTTTGTGAAATTCCAAAAAATATTCTGATAACATTAATTGTCGGCGTAGTAACGTTGTATCCATACACTAGATATTTAACTGATTTTGGCATTTGATTTATAAACAATATTGTTAAAAATGTGATTAGGAAGAAGACAACCAGCAAAGTCCACGTCAGCATATCAAACGGAAGAAATAACTTTTCATATGGTGTGTACTTTTCACCTGGTGTTACGTACATTAAGATATCCAAATTGGTTACAACTTTTGAGATTTGTAAACGATTGTGAAAAACAATTAAAGGTGAAATTTCAAAATATATATCGGGCTCTTTAATAGTTTCATTTATCATGACTAGCTCAGGTGGGATGGTTTCAATAAGTTTTATCCAATCTGGTCGTATATTTGCTGGTTGATACGTAGCTGTGAAATTATGAAGTGGTGACATAATCTCAAAAATCACTGTTGATATTCCATGAATCTCAAAATTCGTGTGCTGTTGATTAGGTAAAGCAAATCCGGACACATAGTAAAGTGTTCCGTCATCAAGTGGAGTTGGCAACATCATGACTAACTCACAATTGTGAAAATTCCTAAATTTTTCGTAATCTTTAAGTTTTTTATTCCAACTCCTTGATTTTTTATTATAAAAGTTTATTTTATGCAGATGTGGACGATTGCAACCATAAGAACTGAACCACTCAACAGTTGACAATGTCACTGTTTTTATTTCATTTGTGATAAAGTATGTGTACATAAATACGGCATTTCTGTGCAATGGTATCCTATCATATGACTCAAATATACTTGAATATTGAAGTTCTTTAAATGACAAATTTGGAATAAACACAAAATGTTTAATTTGTTGATTTCGGAGATGAATGACGTCAATAACTTGCTCAATGTACTCAAATTTGTTCAAAGAATCGAAAAATAAAAAACTTGGATTTGTTAAAATGTAAAGATTATTAATATCGTTTACTTTAAATGACCTCAGATTATAAGCAAAGTTTTCATTTGCATTGGCCATGAATTCTGTCGTTACGTCTTTTAAAAGTTTAGATTTGGTTTTAAATGCTAAAATGTTTAGCTCGTTGCTTTTTCTTAGCAAAAATTCCTTAGCAATTTCATGAAGAACTTTCGAAATTATTTCAACTTTTGGATTATTTGTGACATTTAGTGATTTTAAGCAAAAACACGTGCTAATTGGTGATAGAAAAACTATTGCGATTAACATAAATTTCATATTTGAAACAACTTCAATTATTCTAGACTGTCCAATAAAAACTGAAACTTAATAAAAATAATTCTAGGCTACTGCATAGATATTCTACATTACTTGTTAGGATATCAAACATGAAATCATTTTTATTACGATCAAATATAAAAACATTTCAGAACAATCAAAACTAAACTTATCAGAAATCGATTTTAAGGTCGAATTAAGGGCGTTGCCTAAAGTGGAAGTTTAAGAAAAATAAGCTAAAATTTTCCATTCTTCAACTGCGGTGAAGCTGATAGTTACTGGGGGTCCTCGATTTGAGTAGTTGTTTTGTTCCAAAAAATTTATACTCAAATCGAATCTATTCAAATCGAGGAAAAGAATCCATACAAAATGACATGTTTTGTTCCTGAGTCCAAAAAATGTATCAAAACAATGAAAATTTTGATCATTTTTTGCACATTTTACCTCGTTGCTTAACTTTTCCTAAGTGTTTTAGACAAATTAATTTATTTCAACGCATATTCATATTGCTTTTAAACGGAAATTCACAAAAAATATGTTTTTGAAACAAAACAAAAATGTGAGAACCTTGCAAATGTTATTTCACTGAACAATTTGTAAGGTTTTTGAATTTGAACTTTTTAAAATCGTTGATTTTATATCGATTTTTTAAAATTTTACTTTAATTTTGTAACTTTAGTATTGATTTTTCTATCAATATGATAAGTTTTTGCTTATCGCAGTAAAATTTATGTTTTAAAATTATTTTCTGAAATGTTTTTATCAAAAATATTTGTTTTGTAAACAATTCAAATCGAAGAAAACAGGAAGAAATCTACTCAAATCGAATATTTTGGTGGGTAATAAATTTTCTGTTCAAATCGAATCTACTCAAATAGAATCTACTCAAATCGAGGACCCCCAGTATAATTTATCACGATAATACGACAATTTTTAATATAAATTTCAAATGATCAGAAAAAAATGCAAGTAAAACAAAAGCTTTAATTAGCTCAATTCCGTTGAAATTCTATTTCAGACAAGTCAATAGAATTAAACATAGTAAGTTGATTCTTGATTCTAAAGATTCTTGTCATTTCTGGCTTGAAATCGTAACAATTGTCATATCTGAATGCGTATGAATCAGGATGAATTTTTGCATGCTTTACTTTCCTTGGTCTATTATTAAAACTTATGAATAGTTCAGCGATGAAGGTAACAAATGAAAGGACACAAAAACCTAGCCAAATGTTAAATCCAAAAGTAAGATCATTCACATTTAAAACTCTCGGATCATTTTCGGTTTTGTGGAACTTCCATTTTTTTGTATAATAATTCTCAATTAAATAATTCATAATTCCAGTTGGTATGAAATTGTCAATAATTTTAAATAACATACGGAAGTAATAAGCATTTGCATGAAATAGGAACACATCTTGTGTTGTATAAAACACGAAATTGTCAATCTTGTTCCACTCGTAATTTCTTTCTCTCGATAATGAATCGTGATAATTTAAGAAATAATCATCAACTGAAAGTGCTATTTTTGCTGATGAATTCTGCGATTGAGTTAAAAATGCAGTAGAGAAAAATTGTACATTCGCTTCTTGGATGTTTAATCTGTATTAAAAAGTAAAAAATGTTTAATAAAGTTTGGCGGATTCAATGATAAAGCAATACATACTGTATTTTTTTATGTTCTTTTGTTTGCGAGAGATACAAAGTTGCTTTCAAAGCATATACAGTATAGTTTCTATCAATCAAATCTTCAATAGATTTTGGTGGTGGTTGTCTTGGCTCACTCGTCATGAATTCAAAAAATTTACTTTGAAAACATGTTCGAAAAATTAAACAGAAATAAACGAAAATTGTTAAAATGAAACGAGAAAAATTTTTGCTTGGCAATTTAGTCTGTGAAATTCCAAAGAAGATACTAATCACATTCCAAATTGGTGTCTCGATATTTTGCCCGTAGATGAGATTCTGAACAGATTTTGACAGCTGATTAATAATGAATATTGAAACGAATGTCATTAGAAATGTTATGAGCAACAAAACCCATGTTGGTAAGTCAAATGGTAGGAAAAACTTCTCATATGGTGAATACTTTTCGGCAGGAGTCACAAACATCCAAACATTTAAATTTGTCACTACATTTGATATCCTCAAACCTGTATTGACTGAATTTACTGGAGCAATTTCAAAATACACATCTATTTCTTTAGCAGAACCATTAATACCAATTATTTTAGGTATATGTCGTTGTCTATTCAACATCCAGTTGTCTTCTATCAAAACAGGCTGATATTCAGCATTAAAATTATGATATTGTGCCGCAATTTCAAATATTTTTGGCGTTATTCCACGAATTTCAAAATTTGTGAGAGCTTGGTTGGGAATTGAATATCCAGATACATGATAAACAGATCCATCTCCAAAAGGAATCGGAAGCATCATGACGAGCTCACAATTGTGATAGTTCAAAAACTTTTCATAATTTTTAAGTTTTGAGTTCCATTTTTGTGACTTTTTATCAAACACGTTCAATTTGTGAAGATATGGATGATTACATCCATGTGGACTGAACCACTCGACTGTTGATAATGTCACTGTATCTACTTCATTAGTAATGAAGTAAGCATGAGGAAATATTGCATTAGCAAATATTGGAATTCGCCCATAAATTTCGAAAATATTTGAGGAATTAAGTTTGTCAAATGTTAAGTTTGGAATAAAAGCAAAGTACTTAATTGGCTGATTATAGTTCCGAACAACTTGGTAAAGTTTTTCAATTTCTCCATAATTTTCCAGTGACTCAAAAAATAGAAATACTGAAGTTTTTAACAAATATCTATAATTTTTTTCAATAATGAAATGATATCTTAGCCTGTAGATAAATTTTTCTTTTGCTCTGGACATAAAGTTGTTTAAAATGTCATGCAAAATTAGTGACTTTGACTCAAATCTTATGATTTGAAATTTAATATTTTCTTTCACCAAAAACTCTTCAGCTATATTATAAAGAACTTTAGCGATGGTCGGAACATCTTGATCTATTTCTTTAGGCAATAATGTGCTTTCACAAAGTATCAAGTAGATAAAGTGAACAAATATAAAATAAATCCAATGAATTTGAACTAATTTCTTCATTTTATTTACTAATTGTATTCTTTTACAACCAATTGAAGAAAAAGCTTTAACTATACTATTTTTTTTATAAATATATTCTTAAGTACGAACTGAACTAAAATTTTCTTATTATCACTAAAAACATATCAATATGTATTTTCTGATAACATAACACTGATATACTTAATGAATAAATGGAAATATTTTTGTATCAGCTTTCTATAGTTTAAAAATTATTTAAAATTAAAGCAATCAATTTTGATAAAATACTATGTGTTTGATAATTCTTTCCTAAAGTAGACCATCGTTTCCTCCTTTTAGAATATCCAAATGTTTTCTGACAACAAAAGACTATGAAATTAACTGAATATAAAAATATTTTTGAAAAATATTACTTTAAAATAACAAAAGAAATCATTTTGAAATAACATTTTTCTTAAATTCAAACTTTGCCAAACAAAATTACAAAAAAATAAAATTTAATTATTAATTGTTCAATTCTGTTTCATTTACAATACTTAATATGCTTTTAGTTTTCAGTTTAGGCTCAAGTTCCTCAAACTCAAGAATCAGATCCTCAATGTTATCATCTTCAAATTTGTTATTTTCATTTGTTTTTTGATTTTCTTCAAAAACTTCCTTTTCCGTTTGTTGATATTTCTTAGTTTTGAAATTCTTAATCAAATCTGGACTAATTGTCGTAAAAACTTCTATTTCTTTATCTTCGAAGCTTGGATGAATTTTTGCATATTTCATTTTTTTTGGCTTTTTCAAAAGTTTTGTCAAAATTTCTAAAACAAATCCAATGAAAGAAATCACACAGAATCCGAGCCAAATATTAAAACCAAATAAAAGATCATTAACATTGAGAATTCTTGGTATTTTTTGAACTTTTTGAAATTTAAACTTTTTTGTAAAATGTTCTTGTATTAAATGATGCATAATTCCAGTTGGTATTAAGCTATCAATGATTTTAAACAACATTCTAAAGTAAAAAGCAGTTCCATGAAAGATAAAGACATCATATGATGACCACAAGGTAGTGTATTCCAGTTTTTTCCAGTCATGAATTCTCTTTTTCTTCTGTAAATCAAAAAAGTTCATGTAAAACTCATCAGTAGCTAGTGCCATTCTAGCTGAAGCATTTTGTGATTGAGTTAAATATGCATAATTGAAGTATTTTTCAGTTACTTCTGTTATATTTGGCCTGCAAATTAAGAAAAAAATGTTTAAAAAAACTGGTAAAAAATTCAATTGTCTTCAGAGTATTTTCAACCCAAAGATCAGTCAAACTAAATTTTAATTTAAAATCTCATCTGATCCGTAATAGTCCATACTATATTTAAAACTAAGATCCAGTAAGAAATCTAATATGTCATTAAAATACTTTACATTAACCTGAAATTCTTATCATAGCATCAACAAATACATTTAATGAAACTTACCACTTTTCAATCCTGAAAATGCCCCCAGCTGCTGCTATATTGCTTGATGTTGCATAAACTGAAAAGTTTTTATCAATAAGATCTGTAATAGTCCTAGGTGGTGGTTGTCTTGGCTCACTTGTCATAAATTCAAAAAATTTGCTTTGAAAACATGTACGAAAAATTAAGCAAAAGTAAACAAATATTACTAAAATTAATCTTGAAAAATTTTCGTTTGGCAATCTCATTTGAGCCATTCCAAAGAATATTCTAACCACATTAAGAGTTGGTGTTTTTACATTGTTTCCATAAACGATTTGTTGAACATGTAAAGTTAAATAATTCACTATAAATATAACCACAAAAGTTACCAAAAATGTTATTGCTAAAAAAATCCAAGTTGTGGCGTCAAATGGTAGTAAAAACTTTTCATATGGTGTAAATCTCTCACCAGGAGTAACAAGCATATATCCATTTAGATTCGCAACTACTTTTGATATCCTTAATTCTGTGTTGACCACATCAATTGGTGCAATTTCAAAATAAATATTTGAATATTTAAAGGATTTATTTATCAGTACTGGATTAATAGGTTCTGGATGAAATGACCTTAGCCATTTTGGTCTCATAAACACTGGTTGATAACCAGATGTAAAATTATGAAATTTTGATGCGATCTCAACAATAACAGGAGAAACTCCATGAATCTCAAAACCTGTTTGTTCATTATTCACAAAAGCATATCCAGACACATGATGAAGTGATCCTTCACGTTGTGGAACTGGCAGCATCATGACTAATTCACATTTGTAATAATTCATGAATTTTTCAGAATATTTAAGTTTTGAATTCCATTTCTTTGTTTTCTTGTCAAATGAATTCAACTTAGTTAAGTGAGCACGATTGCATCTATAAGGACTGAACCATTCAACTGTTGATAATGTCACTGTGTCTACATCATTTGTAATAAAATATGTATAGAGAAATATTGCACTCTTCATCATTGGTATTCTCATGTAGAATTTATAAATATTCGAAGTTTTAAGTTCGTCATAAGTTAAATCAGAAATGAAAGCAAAATATTTAATTGGTAGATTTTGTTTACGTTCAATCTCATAAAAATGCTCAATGTCTCTTAATGTACTTGTACGCTCCATAAATAAAAATGATGAACTTGCCAACGTTGAGTTACTGTTTAATAAAAAACTTTTATGATGGATTGTTTGAAATGAAAACTTTTCTTTGGCTTTTCCAACAAAATTCCTGGAAACTTCCATTAAAAGTTGTGATTTGGTTTCAATTGTAACAATGTTAAGTTGATTGTCTTCTTTCAATAAATATTCGTCAGCCACTTCATGTAGAACATTAGTAATTATATGAACATCTTTATTTTTGTCAAAATGATTTAAAATACTTTCACAAAAAATCCAGCAATAAGCAGAAATAAGAAAAATCCTTAATTTCATAACAAAGATTTATTTCTTCTCTTAATTTTCATAAAATGAAATACAAAGTCTAAATTATATTTCCTATTGAGTTCGATCAAAAATTCAATGATTTGTAATGAAACAACTTTTTTTGTATTTTCTATTGTTTTATGATCAAAACTAAGATTCTAAATGTTTTTCATGTCTGTTTTATCACATAATTAATATCAGTACAATTTCCGTGACAAAAATAAACATTTAAACTATTAATAGCTTATTGACGTCAAACAAAAGTTGATGAGCTTATTGATGGTTTTGTGCATTAAAACCCCATCAAAATGTTAGCAAATTTAAAACTTTAATTTTTAAATTAAAAGCTTCATGCTTTAAATAGTTAAAATAACTCTAAGTAAGAGCGAAGCCAGGGAGGCCCCTTGAAAAAACCTGGTTACGTTCCTGACTCTAAGAATTGAAGCTTATATTAAAGCATAGTTAAATTATCTTTCAATTCTTTGTTTAGGAATTTTTTCACCAAATCGCAAAATATTACATTATAAATTTTATTTAAGATGACAAGTCAGTTGCCATTTCTACTTGTGTCTCTATCTTTACTCCAAACAACATATTAGTTTTAATATCAATATCTTCATTTGTTTGTGGTAAAGTTTTATATTCAATTTCTTCACTTAAATTTTCGTTGACTAAATTATTTGTAATCCAAGCTTTAGCTTTAAATTTACGAACTAATTCTAGATCTAACCTGTCATAACGATCAGAATAAGATTCCTCATTAACAGGATATACTTTTGCGTATTTAACTTTTACTGGTTTCCTTATAAATTTTATGATGAATTCAATAATGAATCCTACAATAGATATGCAGCATGATCCGAGCCATATATTAAAACCAAATGCAAGATCATCAACTGTTAAAATTTTTGGACCCTTTTCATCTTTTGCAAACTTCCATTTTCGTGTATAATATTCCTCGATTAAAAATTTCATGACTCCAGTTGGAATCAAATTATCGATAATTTTCAATAACATTCTTGTAGTGTAAGCAGCCCCATAAAAATAGAAAACGTCTTGACTAGTAACCAGAACTGTTTCAAGTTTGTTCCATTCATGATTTCGTTTTATGAGCTTTGAATTAATGTAATTCACAAATGCATCGTCAACTGTAAGTGCCATTTTCGCTGAAGAATTTTGTGATTGTGTTATGTATGCATCCAGAAAACCAAATGGATCTGCTGACTTAACATTCAACCTTTAAAACAAATTGGAGAATTAAATAATGGAAAACTTAAAGATTTTACAGCTATACTGTTTGTTTCTTAACATGCTTTCTTTTCTGACTGTTAATCTGTCAAGGGCCAATCTTACGATCGATTCTACTGCTCTACTACTTCTACTGCTCAACATTTTTTTTTCACACGTATTCCCTGTGACAATACAATATTTTAATACATTGGAACCAAAAAAATCAGAAACACAATAATAATATAATCCTTTTATTAAGTTAAATAAAATCAAGGCGGAACATATTGAAAGTAGATTGATATTAACCTAGTCGGTTTTAAATCAAATTGTACAAAGATAAAAATTTTGGATTACAGCATGAAATAATTAGTTAAGTTAAAGCAAATGAGTTATGGTTGAAAAAATTTTTAAAAAAAACCAATAGTATATATATAAAAAAAATTAAGAAAGATAGAAAAATAAAAAAATTACAAAGAAAAGTTATTTAATAGGTTTCGGTAATTTATGTTTTACTCGAAAACTCAATGAGTCATAATTATATTGACCTAGTGATGAGAACAAATCGTTCGTATGGTGCTCAACTTTAGAGTAGAAGTTGTCCGTTAGACGAGATATGAAGCTTGAGATAAATGGCATTTTGGAAAGATTGTGCAAATCACTGACGGATTTAAAGTCATACCAGCGAAAGTCGAGGATCATTCGCAAAAGTTTATTTTGGAAAAGTTGTAGCTTATTCAAGTGACAAGCTGCAATATTGGCAAAAACGGGACAACCATATGTTAACGACGGCCTAATGTACGATTTATAGATCCTTAACTTAGAATCAACAGATGCATGAGAACTTCTCGCTAGCAGGCAGTAGAGACTTGAAAAAGAAGACGCACTGGCTTTGTTTATGCACGAGTCGATGTGTTGTTTAAAGCAAAGCTTTTGATCCAGAACAATACCGAGATACTTAACAGAATCATTCCAATTAAAAGTATGACTATTTAGACAAATTGAGTCACTTTTAAGTTTCTTAATCATCTTGTTGGACTTAGAAAAAACAATAAATTCAGTCTTTGTCTCATTTAACTTAATTTTCCAATCTTGGAAATAACTCTGAAGGCTGTTGACTGTTTTAATGAGCTGCGATTTAATTGATTTTAAATTTTTCCAAGGAAATTCTACAAAGTAAGCAGTATCGTCAGCATAAAGGGAAAGATGTCCTCTACGAGGGATTGGAATGTCATTGAGAAACAAGTTAAAAAGATGAGGAGCAATAAGAGAACCCTGCGGAACGCCTGAAGTTACATCAAATAAAAGTGAACTGACTGATTGGCATGAAACAAAGGCTAAACGATCACTAAGATAAGATTTTATGATTTTGATGAGATAAGGAGGATACTTGTGCTGAATGAGCTTATGAATTAAACCATCGTGCCAGACACTGTCAAAAGCTTTGCGTAGGTCTAATAAAACCATTCCAGTACTTTTGTTTTTGTTGAAACCAACAGAGATAGATTCTGTGATTCTCAAAATCTGATGAACTGTGGAATGATTTGATCGAAAACCACATTGCTGTTTTATGAAGATTTTATTGTCCAACTCAAAATCATTGAGCTTTGATAGGATAATCTTTTCAAAGCATTTACCTAAACACGATAGAAGTGATATAGGACGGAAGTCATCAGGGGATCTAGTCTGCTTACCTTTGGAAATTGGGATGATCTTGGCAACTTTCCAATCTTTTGGAAAGTATGACAGGACTAAACATGAATTAAATAGCTTTGTGCACAGAGAAATAAAATTAGGTGACTTACTTAAGGCGACTAAAGCACAATTTGGGATGTTATCGGAACCAGACGCTTTATGAGGATTCAGAGACTTCATGAAATATTGAACATCTTCAATTGAAATAGGATCAAATAAGGGCTGTGAAACGTCGTCAAGAGACTCAACAGATCTTTCAACTAGACCATCAAATTTAGAGGAGGAATTAAGTACAGAAGAGAATGAATTTTGAAACGAACGAGCAAAGGCATCAGCTTTATTCTTATCTGAATAATGAGTGCCTAAGGTATCACAGAGAGGAGGAATCGAACGCTTCTTTCTTTTAAGTGACTTTGCAAAACGATATAGAGAATTATCCTTAAATGATAATGATGCAAGTTTGTTTTCAAATGCGGACTTCTTTTCCAGCATGACATGCTGTCGAATCAACCTATTGAGCTGATTCATAGATGACTTAAACGCTGGATCTAAGGAACGTTTATAAAGGTTACGAAAGTGATTTCGATTTTTAACAAGAGAACTGACAGTTTGTGAATATTTATAGCGAAGAACAAATTCCCTTTTCTTAGGTGCACAAGAATTAAGGGAAGACGTGATTGCTGATGAAATTGAGGCTACGGCAGAATCAATTAAATTCTTAGAATTGAGTTGACTAGTACAAATTGAATGGGATTTAGATTCGATAAGACGACAGAATTTTTTCCAATTAGTTTTTGATAGATTCAAGGGAACATCAGGATCTGAAAAATTAGTGGAACCGCTAATCGAGAACATTAAAGGCAGATGATCAGATGACAGATCATTTAAAACGTCGATTTTACTGACATTACTAAACCTTTTTGCAACAACAAAGTCAACAGTAGATGGATTTCCAATGTATGGGTACAAAGTGGGCTCGTTAGGTTTTACGATTCTGTAATTAGTGTCATCAAGAACAGTCAATAGATCGGTTCCCTTACGATCATTTGAAACATTATTCCATTCAGCATGTTTACAGTTGAAATCACCTGCAACAATATGCGGTCCAGTTTGAGATAAGATTTTCTCAAAGAAAGCATTAGATTGACTACGTGATGCTGACGGAGAACAATAGATTGACGAAATTTTTACCGCAATATTGTCAAGGTAAATCGAGATGGTACACGACTCAGCATAATCGAATTGGGTCTTATTGAAGCCAAAATGGGGAATGGATGATCGAATAAAAATACATACTCCACCACGATATCTATCCGCTCGATATGAGTTAAAACCAGGTATATCGAAAATTGCATCCTCAGTTAGCCATGATTCATTAATTAAAACTATATCGATAGAAAGTCTATCAATAAGAATTGACAATTCTGAGAATTTGTTTCGCAATGAGTGTGCGTTCCAACTAATGATTTTAAGAATCATTATTGGAAAAATTAACGGAGGTGCAGAACTTGAGGAGTATAGCAAGATGACCCTTTTGGTCCTTGCATGCGCTAAGCTCGTCAACCATACGAACGAAAACATCAATTGTTTCGTTGATGTTTGGTATTGCATTTAGCTTGGCTTGAGCCTGAGTGAGTTTAGTAAAGGCATCATTACTTTGACTGACATTAGTGTCTCTGAGTGTTCGAGCAAAACTTAAACCACCAACCTGAATGTTGCTGACTGTTGGAACTGCATGACCGCCAAGACGTGGAAATTGCGAATCACAATTCATGTTAACTGGACTGCGATGTACTGGGGTCGTTGATTGCCTTTTAGAGCGAGCTTTAAGCTTCTCCAAATGTTGCTTATATGCTGGACATCCTCGATGATTTGAAGAGTGAGCACCGCCACAGTTACAGCAAGTTGGATCTCCTTCTCGAGATGTTCTTGGACATGAGCCTTTATCATGTGAAGCAGAACATTTGACACAGCGAGGTGGAAGTCCGCAATTAACCGATGCATGACCCCAAGTTTGACATCGAAAGCATTGAGTTGCTTTCTTGTTGGCCTTCTTTAAGACTTCCCACTTGACGATAACTCCATCGACATGCTTATGTGAATGATTAAGCATATGCAAATTGACTGATTTGTCGAAATGGACGAGGTAGATGACAAAACTGTCATTACGAATAAAGTCTGTAACTTTAATGGCTGGAACAGCCGAAGATTTAAGTGCAGTCAGCGTGTCGTTGCATGAAGCATCATAAAATCCCTTCATTAGGAAATACGTTGGCTTGTCAGTGGAATCGGTGAATGTGTGAAAACCGATTTGCAGCGATTGGAGTTTGTCGATAAGTTTCTTCTTATCTTCAGCGTTGGAGCACAGAACCTGTGTGGAATTACTTCCTCTTACCTTAAAAAGAGGTTTTGATGAGAAAGAAACTGACAGCAAGGCATTCTTGACAACTTGGAAACCTTTGTTTACGAAGACTGGCTTGACGTGTTTTCCACTGACTGGGACATGAGATGATGCATTCACAGGAGCCTGTGATGACGTTGATGATGATGGAGAGTTAAGTTGCTGAGCACCAGGAAGGATGTTGTCATTTTTCTTCTTCTTGACATTCGAATTTCCAGTCGGAACTGGAGATTTGGATTTTTTCCTCTTATTTTTACCCCGCGTCGACATCCCTCAATTAAGGACAGCAGCACCAAAAATAACTCACAGTATAAACCTCGCAAATAACGATTTAAATGATTGAAATCACTATAATTAATTAAATTGTTTCAGAACAAAATTTTTTGATTGTTTACGTTTTAGAGGGCAAACAACTTTTTCTCAGAAACACAAGTTTGCTACACCGCCCTTAGATAGAATCCGCAAGGGAAAAGCTCGAAAAGCTACTTAGCGCAGAAAAGTTATTTAAGAATGTCAGCTTGATGTGTGGGCAGATATAGTTTAATTAATATTACTAATTATTAATTTTATTATAAATTTGATTATCTAAAGATATTCTGGTAGGACAAAAAGGTTGATAAAGTGTATTTACACCGGACCATCAAAAATCTTGTCTTTATACCAAGTTTATGCTTATTATATTTAAATATTTTCCATCACAAGTTTAATTTTATAAAAATAACAGACAATTTTGGACTTTAAAAATTCATAAGAAAAGAAGGTTTTTTTGCTTTTTCTCAAGCAATGACTGTTCCTAAATTGCCCAAAAACAATACAGCTTTTTTATAAAGCAGTGCGAAACAAATGCAAATGTAAATTACTGCAGCCAAAATTATTGTAAAGATTGGTCCTGCTAAGCCTAAATAGATATTGAAACATATATTTTAAATGAAAGAAAACTTACAATTTTAAAGATTCGTCTTCGATTTCGAATAAATGTTTTGTAGATTGTGTTGAGTAAATGGTGTAATTTCTATCAATTAGATTTTCGATAGTTTTTGGTGGTGGATGTCTTGGTTCACTTGTCATGAACTCAAAAAATTTACTTTGAAAACATGTTCGAAAAATCAAGCAGAAATAAATAAAAATCATTAAAATAAACCGCGAAAATTTTTTATTTGGCAATTTAGTTTGAGAAATGCCAAAAAATATTCGAATTACATTCCAAATTGGTGTTTCAACTTTATCACCGTAAACAATGTTCTGCGTGGATTTTGATAGCCGATTAATAATTAATATAGTCAAAAATGTAGTCGCAAATGTCATAAACAGCAAAATCCATGTATTCACATCAAAAGGTAAAGTAAATTTTTCGTACGGTGTATACTTATCACCAGGAGTTACAAAAATATTAGTTTTTAAATTTGTTACAACTTTTGACACTTGTAAACAGCGATCCATTCCTGTCATAGCAGAAATTTCAAAATAAACATTAATTTCTTTGATTTTTCCATTAATTTCCTCTAAATCAATTGCTTCTTCATCTATTATTTGCATCCAATAAGGACCTATATAAGCAGGTTGATAAGAAGGTCTGTAATTGTGAAGTTTTGCAGCCATTTCAAATATTACTGGTGAAATACCAAAAATCTTAAAATTCGTATTATCATCATTTATAATCGCAAATCCTGAAATGTGGTAAATTAATCCATCATCAAGAGGAACTGGCAACATCATTACTAATTCGCAATTGTGGTAGTTCAAAAATTTTTCATAATCTTTTAGCTTTGAACTCCATTTTTGTGATTTTTTATCAAACACGTTCAATTTGTGAAGATTTGGACGATTACATCCATGTGGACTGAACCACTCAACTGTTGACAAAGTCACTGTATCTGCCTCATTTGTTATAAAATATGCATGGATAAAAACATTAGTAGCTCTTAGTGGTAATTTTTTATAATAATTGTAAATCCGTGATGATTTTAACTGACCAAAAGATAAGTTAGGAATGAATACAAAATGCTTAATTGGCTGATCTTGGAGATGAATGACTTTTAAAATTATTTCAATATATTCAAACATATTCAATGAGTCAAAAAATAGAAAACTTGGACAGTTTAACAATAAATTAAAGTCTATTGGCAGAGCATTAAAAGTCCTTAGCCAATAAACAAACTTCTCGTTTGATTTTGCCATGAAATGACTGGCGACTTCCTGAACAAGCCTGAATTTTGATTTAAACATGAAAATGTCAAATTGCATATTTCTTGAAAGCAAAAACTCATCGGTGATATCTTGAAGAACTTTTGAAATTATAATCGAATCTTGATTTTCTGTTGAATTCAGAAAACACTCACAAAATATTAAACGAAAAATGACAACAAAAATAATAATTTTCAAGGATTTTCTCATCTTAATTTCCACTCAAATGGTTATTTCATTCGTTAAATAATTATTACTGAAAAAATCTGTTCCTAAAATTACGCCCAACTTCTATGAAAATTGATAAAATTCTCAGAGGCCTATTCTACTATTTCAAATATTTACATTTTATTGACGTTTACCAAAAGTTGTTATTTTTCTTGATAAGATCAGAAATTTCAACATTTAAATGTTGTGTTTTTGACAAGCATCTCAACATACCAGGTGATTTTTAATTAGACAACATATCCAACAAGTCTCCCCTATTTTTTAACTCTGTATGACATGCAGATGTTAATATAAGAACACATTCTTACTAAAGCAACTAAGAAATTTTTTGATAGCTTGATGATAGTTGGATTTAAACCCTGTTAATTTCAAATAAATTTATTGACTCAAAAATGTATCTTCTTTTGCCTTTTTTAAGTTTACTTATTGATTTGTTATGTTAGGTGAATTGAATAGAATGTAATGTAGGGATTTTTTTATAGCAAAAGCGGTACTGCGATCGATGATCTATTGTATCATCCCTAGTTTTTTATGATAGAATTCCTTTATCCTTGAGAAAGCCAATAATGACCTAATAATGTTGCTTATTTATATCCTGCAGTTTATATATGCATTTATATATGCAGTTAAGTGCCTTGCTGGTCGAATAGGTAAGGCGCTTGGCTCAAATTTGGTATGGTAACTCGAAGGTCGTCGGTTCGAATCCAGCCATTTCCAAATTTGTTCTTTTTCAGAAGTTAAGATACTTTGACTGCTTAAGCCATAATTGGGCATTTTGGGCAACGTTGGATTAAGGAACGGATCAGGAACTTGAAGTGTAGCGGGAGAAATAGGAACGAGTGCTACAAGATTACCTTATAATGGAATATTGTCAGAACGGACCTGAAATGTATCACGTCACGCCCACAGAAGATTGAAACGAGAGCCTGAATTTAATCGAAACCTAGATTTGAAGATTAGAAGTTTGATTCTACGTCACCCATAGTGATATGAAATGTATCACTAATCAATGTAAAAAGTAAAGATGTATAAATACAAATTCTTCGGGACGGTAACGTCGACAAATAAATAATAATAATCCTCATCATTCAAAAAGTCCTTATTAAAATGCGGTTTTACTATTTAGAACATTTGGAAATTGGTCAAATTGTCATAGCCTTAAAAAATAGAAGACCCTAGTCGACACATTATTCAATTTTTAAAGAGCCTCTGAGAGCGATTTTGGTGACAATTTAGTCTCGTTTGTCTAGAATTTTTGAAGATATTGGAAATGCTAATTGTACAAAAATGATGAAAGTAATTTATATTTAAATTTTCCGATGCAAAGAATCTTAATTTTACGTGGTACAAATTGTAAATCATAAACGACAAAATCTCCAAAAAACTGCTTCACTCTCACTTCACAAAAATTAAAATAAATCGTCGGTGCGTTGATGACATTTTCCAATTTTTTCTTCTTCTTACACGAGACGTGGAAAGCAGCACCGCAAAAGATTATGCACGCACAGCAACGTGTTTTAATTTTGCTCCTTCATCGTGCCAAAAATTTTCTAGGTTAATTATTGCTCACTATGGACATAGACAGACATGAACATAAAGGATCATAACATGATTGCTTTTATAATACATTTAAGCTTTGCTGAATCAAATTGTTGACTTGATTTATGGAAAAGTGATTTTGAATTTTATTTGACTGTCTTAGGGATATTTTTAAAAAACATTGTGTTGCTAGGAAACAAGGGATAGATAGAATTAGATGTAGGGTTCGTTATACACGAAAAGGCACTGCGATCATAGATCTGTTGTACCATCCCTTTAGGTTCAGCTATAGAATTCCAATGTCCTTAATAAATCCCACTAAGTCCAAATAGCGATGCTTCCTTATGCCACCTATATTGACAACATCCTCCTTTAAGTGTTTATGGCGAAAAGCACATAGTGACTTACAATCACATAGAATGTGTACCATGGTCTCCTCCGTTGTACTACAAAACCTACAAAATTTAGAGTTACTCAAATAGAGCTTAACAAGAAAACTATTGATACTCATGTGTCCAGTCAAAACACCAATTAAGATGCTAAGATCCCTTCTTATCAGTTTCAATGCATAATTTACGCTGTTCTTGTTGGTAGGGCCCAGCAGATTTTTAGCTGTTATTATTATTATTATTATTATTTATTGATTACTTCTTTTCATTACAAAGGAAAAGCCACTTCAAATAGAACAACAATCAGTCCAAATTTGAAATGGCATAAAAAACTTTGTGAATCAGATTAAATAAGGGATCCTTTCTCTGAGGACAAGGGATAGTCCTTGGTGTTTCTGTTATAAAGATTGTGTATGGATTATATAAAGGCCGATAACCAATGACGTCATTAAATCAAACTAAACAATGCGTAAAATTTAAGCAACAGTAGGCAAATTGAATGCTCGAAACCTTAAAATAATAAAAGCAACAAAATGTATCAAAACTTCGTGCATACCTTAGTTTAAATGTAAATAAGTAAAAAGTTTAATTAAAATTGTAAATGCGCTTCTATTCAATTTTAATATCCAGCATCTTACTTTACCTTTCCTATGTGTCTTCAAGTAATATCTTTAAATTACTTCTAACGATCTGACTGGATTATGTCAAAATGAAGTGGGTGATTTATTGATGCAAACGAGAAAGACAAAAAATAAGTAAAATCGATGAGGTTTCTGTACGAAAGAATATGGAAAATTATTATGTCAATAAAAAAAATTCAAATTTTTCTTTAGAATTTTCAAAATATTAAACTTAAACAAGATTAAAAACCAAAGCTTTACATATTGGAAATCATAATATTTATTCAAAACGACATTGTATTTATAAAAAGGTCATATAAGTGATAATCAAATTACACTTATAAATTTCGATATCCCTCAGAGGAAAGGAAAAACAACTTTTGTCACCAATTCTCTCATGTTTTTCACACATTTTCGTTTAATCTTCTCATTTACATAAAAAGTAAACACAGATCTGGATGAAAAATATGTTAAACATCAGAATATAAATTTTTTTTTCTGTCCCTTTTAAAAGGGACAAAAAATGTTTTTGATACCTTTTTATATTATATTTGAATTCCGTTATTTGTTAATAAAAGATGTATAAATTACTTCATATCAATTTAGAACGTGAATTATTTATGAGCCTGCAAAAGATTGCGCAAATTATTTTTGAAAAATAAGTTAAAAGCTTGCCATTGACTGGCCTAAATGACGACTGTAAACTTCTTATTTTTGAGAATGAAATTTTCAAATAAAATTAAAACGTTCCAAAAATGGTTTTTTTCTTTAAAGAATCAAAAAAATATCTTCTATAAGGCTCTTCCCTATCTTCTCTATGTTTTCCGGATTCCCAGATTCCCAGATTCTCAATTTCAAGAGTTTTGGGAACGTTCTTTATGTTACGTTTTTAAATTTTGACAAAGTTGTTAAAATGTTTGTCTATTAATGAAATAACTAGCTTTGATCACCAGGAAAAATAAAAGTAAAGTAATATCCTTAAAAATCCACCAAAAATTTATTCCATTTTTAAATATATCCCTTTTTATCATTTCATAATTTAAATATAAATGCTCTCGAAATAAATCAACGTTCAAAGGAAAAGAAGATAGTAAGAAAACGAAGAACAATTTCAAAGAATCAATGAATGAGAAACAAGAAAAAGTCATTTATCATTGCGAATGAATTGAATGATGAATTCATAAACCATAGAATTAAGGTAAATTGACATTTATTTTCGTCCGAAATGCAATAAAAAAAACTTGAAATGAAGCCGCACACCGGAAATCGTCGAACATAAAGTCCTTGTAGAATCGAATTTAGGACCAGTTTAGGATTAATTAAAAGACCATCGATTGTTTTGATGAGAAAGTGCTTGACTTAGGGTTCTCAAATGACCATAATACTTTAAAATGAACATCTATTCTTTCAATGTTACTATATCGACTTAATTTCATCTGCTTTTACGCCTTTTTACTTCATGCATTGATCCATTAAAGTTTTCCGTGTTGTTTCTCTTCTGATTTTGCTTTAAGCATGAATACATCTGATTTTCAGAGTCAAGATGAGAGTCAATTTTTCACCTATCCAAATACATCTTGAGCTTATCCTTAAAATCAAACCAAAAAAAAAAAAACTTTTGAATGATTTGAATTTTAATTTCTTTTTAAAATCATGAAATGATTTTTTTAATAAATCATGAGAATGGCAAAGATATAACGAGTTGGGATAGAGAAAACCCGTAAAATGAGTTCTTCTGTATTATCGACATTACATTTGCAGTCAAAAATGTAAAGTTGTGATCTTAAATAAACTTTTTCAATCAACCTTCTTAAAATTCATTGCTGATGCTGTGAGAAGATGATAAATTATTGAACTATGGAAAAAGTTGATCAATATGAATTTTATCAAAGTGGGATACTCAAAATGGACTTAATAAATATGAAATAAATTTTTATTAATTCATCTGAATTATTCAATTTCAATTAATGGTGAAAATTCAATTTCGACAGTTTTTTCAAAATTTAAGGGTATTAAAATATGCACATTCGAAAATTTCAAAAACTGTTGACATTTTTTTCTTGGTTTACAAAGAATTTTCGAATTCATTACTAAGCATTTAGCTTTGTTATGATCAGGGTTGCGAAACAAGCACCTATGCACAGATGAGATCCGTACAATCTCTTGATATGTTTAAGAATTTTTCTTCATCTCAAAAATTAAATAAAATAAAAAAAGTCGAAAAAATGTTCTACGATTTTTTGTGTGTAAATATTCTTGTTTCATTATTAAATTGTTGTAAATCGCTTGGAATCGATACTTAACGACAAGAATAAGCAACATTGAAGAAATAATAATAAGAAGGATTTTTTTATTTTTTTTTTATCTTATTTTTGCTGTCTTCCTTCCTTCTTTTTATTCTTCTATCTGTGAACAAAAAAAAAACTTTCATTGTATTTTTCACATTTTCGTCTTCAGTATGAAAACTCAGTGGATAAAGCAGGAGTTGGAACTGGTTTAGAACAAATCAGCAGTTCTAATAAGTCTCAAACAAATTCAACAAAGCACAATCAGGTCTAATGAAGCCCAAACATAGTACATTAGGCTTAATAAGAACATATGCAAAGTTAAAAAAATGTGTATAAAAAAAATTACCAACGACTCAGGCGCGTATCGAGGTGGAGATTAGGGTCATAAATACCAACCCTCCTGAACCACTCTTCAATTTGCTAGGGTTTTAAGAAATAAAATCTGAAAATTTTCAAAATTTCTGGCTACGCCCCTGTTCCCCACTCTCTTATTTGCCATCTATCACATCCGCTATCAATGTTAAAGTACTAAAAAATAAAGGAAGAAGCAGAAAAAAAAATCGGATAACGATGAGAGCTGCGAAATGAATCGAAGCATGAAGTGTAATGAGGAAATGAAATGAGTGCTGTTTGTGCTTGTAAGACAAATCTAATAAAATTTTCATTGAAAAAAAAAAGGAAAAGTAGCAGAGAAATGTTGTGGCAATGGTATTATTATGCTTGGGGGCCATTCACTTATTACGTAACGCTTTTAGGGGGAGGGGGGGGTCTAAGATTTTGTTACGGTTCAAACAAGGAAATTTTTTTTTCATACAAATTTTGTTACGATGGGGGGGGGGGGGTCTAAGAAGTCATTTTTTCACGTTACGTAATAAGTGAACAGCCCCTTGGTCGTTTAGTGCACGATATTTTGTGCTGCAATGAAATTAAATTGAAATGAAATTTGATGAAAAAAATTGAGCATTTAAAGAAACTATCGGAAGTCGTGAAAAAGATTAAAAATTCATGAATGTTTAATTTGATTTGAAAACAGAATCGAGAGTATTTATGTGGAAGAATTTGTTTTAAATTTTTAGAAAATTGATTTTTGTTCCTTGCTGCTCCCATGAACGGATGGCAATGCAATAAATGCAGATCGTTTTTACTCAAATTCAAATCATATAAATAATTCTGAAAAAAAAAACACGATTTACGTAAAATGCTACGGACTTCCATGCTTAGTAAACGATATGTTACAGAATTGAAAAATTACAAGTCAAAGTTTCAGGAAAACAGTTTTTAGTTGAAATCAGGATCATAGTCAATAGTCTTTTAATTTTAAGATTAAATTTTGCAAGTTAAAAATATTTAAGACCTTCTTAAAAAATTAAACTAATTGAATGCTCGTCTGCTGAAGTCATATTCCATGAATCTGAACTATAAAGCACTACTGGACGTATGAGCGCCTTATACATCGCTAGTTTGGCATGTCTTGTTATTTAACTTTATGTTAATTGATTCCTACTAGCAAAATACGCAATTGAGTGGCCAAAATCCTCTGCTTAATCTCCAGTGTCAAATTTGTTGCTTATCATGGATCCTAAGTAGACAAAATCGTTGACTACTTCGAATCTCTTATCACCTACGACTAAATGTGAGCCGACAAGATTACGTGTCTTTTCTGATGTAACAACCATGAGTAATTTTGTCTTATTATCATTTAGACGAAGCCCGACCATATAAGCCTAGGTCTTTTTGGATAGGAAATTGATAGATGAGAATTCCACTAGAGATTGAGTTTTATTATGCTCCTCAACCGAGAGCATTGAGTGTGATTTTACAAGGAATATTCTTCTATATTAATGTTGCTTAAGTTACAACGGTCGATATAATTTTGTTTATTTGTATCGGTTTTTACAGATTTTGTCATTTGAACCGATTTAGTCCATGTTTGGTTATCTTTCTTTTACCACTGGACTTCATCGTGATCGGACGTGTTTCACGAAGTAGGTTTTATATTCAATTTAATTATATTTTTCTTACAATATGTTCAATTGTAGAAAAATTGAAACGTTTTCAACGTATTCACCGTTTTCAACGAACCCACCGTTGTCACACAAATAAATAGAGTTTACCGACGATATCAATTGTTTGTGTTTGCTTTCCCGATCCGAAACATTAATAATGTATCATTTGATTGATGAGTTTTTAGAAATTATTTTGAATCTTAAATTTGAAAAAAAAAATATTAAAAGAGTCAAACCTAATCAAACATTTAAAAACATAATTTAATTAATTAAATTGTTATTCAATTTTTCTTAAAATTCAAACAATCATAAGTTCTATATTTCACGAATGAAGCTGATCCTTCTAATCCATTTTAATTCCACCCAAACATTTATCAAATCACCACATGCAGTTCATTAAGAAACACAAGATAACTTTTTATCATTTCCTAAAACCAAAACTTTTTTTTTCCCAAAAAACTCAATGAGACTAAAAAAGTTTTAACTTCACATTCAAGGAGATGCTTAATAATCTTCAACTTAATAAATGTAATGCCTGTCTGCTTTGCCATTTTCCCTACTTAACCCTTTCTCTATATTCTTCTACTTAGCATCATCATCATCATATTCGTCTCTATATCATCCACAAACTTTTCTCATATAATAAGTTTTTCTTATCTTCTTATATCCATATATTTATATGTACATCCATGTTTAGATGATGTAATATTTGCGGCATGTTTCCATGAGTTTAACGGGAAAAAGGTTTGCGTTTCCAATGGCAAGACTAGGGCGTTCAACTCCGGTATCTAAAGACCAATATCGTAATATCGTTAATATTGATTTTTTGAATTAAATTAAACATTTATTTAAAATTTCATTTCAGTTCACGAAAACTACAAGAATCTTGTTGTTTCCCACTTTTTACCGCGTTTTTTTATTAAAAACCTTAATCAAAATCGATACTGAAATTTCCCTGGAATCTTGGGTCTTAATCTCAGATTCTGTCTGCAGAAATAATTCAAAAATCATCAAAAAAATTTTAAAAAAGCCCGACTTAATAAAATCGACATAAATCTCCAAACCAAACCCCACAATCAAATTCATATACATTCACATAAGAGATCTGTTCTAGGCAGCAATAAAAAACATTAAATTTCAATCAACTTTCATGTCGATGTAAATTATTTGTCGACAGATGCAAAAAATGAGTCACGTAGTTTATATAATTTTTAATATCTTTTCTATGCTGCTTGCCCTTTTTTTTCTATCTCGATTTAGTTGAGTATTTTTTTTCTATGATAGCAGTTTGAGATGAATGGGAGAAAAAAAGGATGCGAAAAGAGGGTCGATGTGGTGGATTCGTCTTTGTTTATGAAGAATCATGGGAAAAAATATGGAAGCATGAGATGAGATTTATGTGAAGAATGATTAACTCGAGGAGCTCCTATCGAAGAACTTTTAACCCTTGAGTCAAACTTTGTGCTTAGGACATGTGTTTTCAAACTGGAAACAAAAAATTGCAATAAAACAAAAAATTGCATTAAAAAAATATAAATTTAAGAATATTTTAATTTTAACTTTCCTAAAATCTTTTGCATTTAAAAATTTAACTTTCGTTGTCTAATCAAAATTATGAAATTTCACACAATAAAAACTTTACTTAAAAAAACTTTTTAAAATAAGAAATTTTCTTCAAATTTTTTTCGTTAACATGAATTCTTTCTTAAATACCACAAAAGAATTCCTTCACGGCCATTAAACGACAAAATATTCTTTTATTTTCAATTTGCTCTCGTTAAGCTTCATGAAATGGACTTTTCTGCTTCGGTTGAGGAGCAAAAAGAAAAAAGTTTTTCAAAAGAGCTCATTGTCACCACGAATTTGAGAGGAAATGAAAATGGAATTTTCATGATTTTTCTTAATTTTTTTTATTAAAGTCAATTTTTAGCGCATTTTTGAAAAGTTGTTTTCTTAATGGTAGCTCAATAATTCACTTTGTTCGTTCGTTCGGGACGAGAAAATCTTTTTATTTTTGAGGTTATACTGCATCACGCGAGGTATGGCGCTATTTTCGTTCATTCTTATTTGTAATGGTGACTTCTTTACAAACAAAAACTTTTTTAAGTCAAATTTCGTTAAATTCACAGTTTAAGTACTTAAAAAATCATTCTGAAATATTTTATAGTTTTTTAATGACTCTAGTTCTTAATAAATTGTACAAGTATTCAGGTTTTTGGTCAGTTTTTGTTTTCCAGTCAAAGAAGCTACTTTTAGATTTAATAAAAATTAAATGGAGGCTTTTAAGTTTACAATTTACTGCTGCATCATTCTCCAAGCATTTGCAGGAGGTCCCATGTACATTCCATCATCAGAAATTCCTGATTCATTTTCGATGTTATCATCATCGAGACCAGCTTGTGAATTTTGTAACAGCGTATATCTTTATGCAATCACTCCATCAAATGCAGGATGTGATCCTGGTTCAAGTTTAGCATACGGTGTGTCAATGATCATTGGAAGTAATGTATTCTCAGGAGTTTGTGCTGGTTTTGACCAAGTTGATTTTGATAATGCTGTGACCAATGCATCAATTAATTCTACAATTGATAATATTGCATTTTCACACGATGGAGAGACCTCGTCGTATAGCAAACCTTAAAGTGTATAATTGTGATTATTAAAAACTTAATAAATTATTGTGTTATCTATAAATAGTTCAAACAGTGTTCAAATTGTTAACCTTGTTTCAAATATTAATTGTAAAATAATGTCGAACTAGCCTCATTACCCTAAAATTCTGAATACAAGCTATAAAACTTTTAAGTCACGACTCTTCGGCCGTCGTGATTGCTCAGAGATTTCCAAATTTAAATTTTGTACCGAAAAACATTCATACAAGCATTAAATAGGTAAGGGCCTGTTTACTTATAACGTTACCAAAAAAAGATTTTTTGAATCCCCTTTGTTAAAAATTTTGTTTTTCCTTTCTTTTAGCCATTTCATTATCCTAGAATCTCTTTCCCCTAAAACGAAAAAGTTATAAATGAACAGCAATTAAGGCCTTCCATCAGAAAACGAGATTTTTCTCAATCAACTTTATCAAAATTTGTATCAAAAATTTCACTAGCTTAAACCGTCACTATAATTCAGCTCCCCATCATTCAGTGTTTGACGTCATTTATAAACAGCAAATGCCCCCAAAAAAATTAAAAATCTAAAAAGTGACAATTGAAAAAAAAAACCCTTTAAAAAGCGTGCGACAATGAAAAGGGAAAGTTTTGAACAATATTAAAAAGCGAAAAAATTCCAACAATCTTTTAAGCCACACTCAATTGAGCAAACAAGTGTATCGAGGGATGTGGCCTGACTTCAAATTTACTTTCGATTTGTTCAAAAAACAACCCAAAAAATAATTTTTTTGCCGCAACAAAAATTTTCTATTATTTTTCGCCCCATCAAATTTAATGATTTTAATTAAAATCAGCTTGTGGCAATTGTTCCATAGAGAGCCGGCAGTGAGGGAGAAACAAAAATATATCAAGACCCGAACAATTAAAAATTAACAACCGCAACCGCAACGGGTGCAAGAGAAACAGCATGGATCAGTTTGTTTATGGAAAATGATGTGTTGAGATTTTTTGGATAAGCTAAACTATTAATTTGTTTGGATGATCTGGTTTTTTTACAAGCATTAGCTGCTTGGTTAAAAAATACAATAAAAAATTACCAGAACTGGATTTGAACCAGTGACCTTTAGATATGAGTATGAGAAACGAGTTATTGAATTAAATCTTTAGTGCCAAAATGAAAATTGTTGAATCTTAATAACCACTTACTAATTGTTTGATAAAGTAAGAATTAATAGCTGCTTAATTTAAAAAAATATAAAAATTTTGTTTTTCGTTTATTAAGCGTCTTATTTCTAAAGTTCATTGAAACATTTTACTAAACCAGCAAGAGCAGTATAAAAAAATAACCATTAAATCTCATAAAGCCGCGTGAACATTAATCAACTTTCGAGCAATAAAAGGAGAAGAGAAAAGAATATAATTTTTATGAACTTATATTCGCACGTCATAGTCGGATGTCAGCAAGTTAATATTTTTTCCCTTTTGTTATTATTTAATTTTTTTGGTCATATTAAAAAGATACATTTGATGACTATCGAGTGCTTACAATGAAATTTGAAGTATGTTGACTAAAAAGTTTTCATTCTAAGTTTAGTCCACGTATTTTTCATTTTGATACATTTTATTTCATAGTTAATTTTGTTTATTAAAAATAGTTTCAAAAATTTTGCAGCTAGTCATTTGAAACTTTTTAATTTACCTAAAATTTATTTTAAAAAATTGTATATAAAGTGATTTATTATCATATTGTTCTTATAATAATTAAAACAATTCTAAACCAAACATTTAAAAAATATTAAAATTTCAAAAAATAAGTGAAATGAGTCATCTATTAAGTGCAGAAAAAGTGAATCTAAACATAAATTGGTTACCAGAAGAAATACTTCTGCATATATTCAAGTATTTTGGCCTTAACGATATTTACAACATTGCATTGACATCGAAAAGATTTAGTAGGATTGTGGACGAGAATTTCAACATTTTAGCACCAAAGATGCATAGAATTTCATTAAATTGTTGGAATGAGTACAGCGAATGGGTTGGAGTCAGAAAATATTCAAATTTCATCATTGACTCAACTGCAATAATCAGATTTAAGGATATTATATCGACAAGATCTGATCAAATCACAAAATTGTCTCTGCATTTTCACAACGATCCATTTATTGAAATTGAAGTTGTTCGAGAAATTTTGATTGGTTTAAAAAACTTGAAGGAATTGAGAGTAAATTTGATAAATGTCATAGCTAATAATCAGAACTCTTTGGCAAGTTTACCAAACTTAAAAAATCTTGAAAGTCTTGACTTTTATGGAAGTTCAAAGTTTTTCAACATTTTTACAAATTTTCAATTCAAAATTCTGAAATTAAGATTGTATGATCCAAAAGAGAACTCTGAAATTTTTAAAAATTTTCTCAAAAAACAAAAAAAGTTGGAGGATTTAAAATTTTATGGATATATTTTACCATCTGTAACCCCACGACCACTATTTGATGATACTGATTTAGATAAAGTCAACTTTAGACTTAAAAACTTCAAAATTTCGCGAAATCCGTCATTTTTTATTCAAACCGAGAGCTTTAATAAGTTTTTATCTTATCATCAAGAAAGTTTGACTTACCTCAGCATATCCCAATCGGAAGTTAACTTAGACATAGTCAAAAATTTCAAAAACTTGAAGAAACTTAAGATTAATAGGTCATACATCATGATGGATCATGTCAATTCACATGTTGAAAATGTCATAATTAAAAGATCTTCAAATAGATTCTTAAGAAATTTAATTAACCTTAAAATGCTGATAACAATCGAGTCTGCTTCTTATTTAAATGAATTAAATTTTGAAGATTTAAAAAATCTGGAATCACTAGACATTTATGCTAGCCACATTCCTCGATTAGTCATTCCAAGTGTCAAGAACTTAAAAATTTCCAATGCAACGTCATTTGATGTCGATGCATTTCCATTATTTCAAAGTAATATCCAAAATTTATCACTTCGAAATTGTGTAAATATTCGATCACTTTTGGACTATTTAAATCAACCAGACACAAGATTGAAAAGTTTAAAAATTGAAGATTCACAAATTGAATCAAAATATTTAAGTGGAATTAAAAGGAATCGTTTAAAAATTGAAGTTTTGGAGATTATAAGATGTCAAAGAATTGCAGACTTTCCATTGTGGAGCTATTGTGTATGTGAAGGTTATTTAAATCAATTTGAAATGGAACCATATTGAGGAGAGATTTCAATTTTAATAATATCAGCACTTTTTGAATTATTTTTTCAAATAATTTTGGTTCACATCATTTGCAAAAATTTGATAAATTAAGTGTAGGTTAAATGTTAAAAAATAACTTTTTTAAAAGAAATTCTTGCAAAAAAATCCTTTTTATTATTATTTGTAAAAATAGTCAGAACCCCAAATAATTGAAATCATTGTTTTTGAGAACTTATTAATGTTAAACTTAATGTACTTTATTTTTAATCTTTATAAATTTTAAAAATTTAAATAAATTGAAAATTTTCTACCGATTTAAACCAGTTATTCTTTTATTCTCACTCGCTTGTTGATCACCATTTCCAGATATTTAGCTTTTGTTTCCCATTTGATGTCTTCATTGAGAAATTTGATGTTGTTTCCTGGAAGTTGCCTGGAGTACCTGTTTGTGATAAATAAGGCTTTAGTCTTCCGTTTGTTGAGGTTGATCTTCCATTTGTTCATGTATTGTTGAACTTTTTTTCCTGTGTGCTGTAGATGTGTCACAATATCGGCCGAGTTCTCTGCAGAATGATCATACGTGAAGACGTTGAAGAGAGTTGGTGAAAGCACTGCTTCTTGTGGCACTTTGAATTTGATTACCTTGATTTCTGAAAACTGACCTTTAATAAAAACTGCGAAAGTTCTTTCATTTTGCACAAGAATCCGTTTTACAGACTCTGTCAAAAGCTTTTTCTACAACCAGGAAGATCATGCTTCGTGAGCTTCACGAAAACACTTCGTGAGTACGCTGGCTTTTTCTTTGTTGGAGATAAACGTTTTACCCAAATTTGTTAATGAATGTATCGATTTTTTGCATTTAAGTGCATATTTGAAACTTGTACTAAAAGGTAGTTCAATAACGCACTTTGTTCGTTATTGTGATGGTTTATTGTACCTTCTATCATATTTTAACTCAAGGGTAATTCAGGAGTCTATAATTAAGCCGTAAATTGAATTCAATTGGGAAATTTGTAAAAAATGAAATATTCCTATGGAATCACCTTAATTCCATTTATTATTAAAAATAAGCTAACATTTATTCTCTTCTGTTAGTTTTTATCCTAAAATTTTCAATCAGTTCAGACTTTAAATTACATTTCATTTCTATTTCAATAGGATCATATTCAGGATGAATTTTTTGCTTTTTGTTAACTCTAATAATTATAAATCGAACTATAAACTCAGCAATAAATGTGAAAAATGAAAGTAAACAACATAAAAGCCAAATATTAAATCCAACATTAAGATCATTAATACTTAAAACTTTTGGTTTGTTTTCATTTGTTTTTACCACTGGACTCTTTATGTAGTGGTTATTTATCAAATAATTCAAAAGCCCAGTTGGAATTAAGTTGTTGATGATTTTATTGATCATTCGAAAGTAAAATGAGTTGCAGTGGAAGAGAAAAGCATCAAAAGATGTAAATAGAACCTCATCGAGCTCATTCCAAACAAAATTGTCTTTGTTTTCATAAAAATCGTATCGACTTTTGAGAATTTCATCTATTACAAGCGCAATTTTTGCAGTAGAATTGTCTGATTGAGTTAGATATGCATCTGTAAATTGCTCTGAATTTATTACATTGAACTTTGGCCTGAAAAAAATTGTAATTTTTATTAAGTACACAACTGATGATTAAAAAGTTAAATGTCACCAATTAATTTTTTTAGAATTGACAGATTTTGTGGTTTTTAGGGTTAATACCGTGTAGTTCCTGTCAATAAGATCCATCATAATTTTTGGTGGTAACTGTCTTGGCTCACTCGTCATAAATTCAAAAAATTTACTTTGAAAACACGTCCGAAAGATTAGACAGAAATAAATGAAAATCATTAAAATAAATCTTGAAAAATTTTTACTTGGCAATCGAGTTTGTGAGATACCAAAAAATATGCTGATTACATTCCAAATCGGAGTATCAATTTTATGTCCATAAACGAGATTTTGAGTTGTCTTTGATAATTGATTGACGATGACGATACAAAGAAAGGTCAGGAAGAATGTCAAAAGGATTAAAATCCACGTTAAGAAGTCAAATGGCAAAAAAATCTTTTCATACGGTGTGTATTTTTCTGCTGGAGTTACAAGCATCAAAAAATGGAAATTTTTTGCGACATTTGATGAACATAAATCTTTAAAAGAACTAATCAAAATAGATAATTCAAAGAAAACTTGTGCATCTTTATGAGTTCCATTAATGTCAACATATTTTGGTGAAAAATCTTGATCTCCTTTTGAAAAATAGTTTAAATCCATCCTTCCTGGTTGAAAAGCAACTGTAAAATTATTAACTTGTGCTGCAATTTTGAAAATTTCAGGAGTTATGCCATAAATTATAAAATTAGTCAAGTTGTTAATAGGAATGCTAAATCCTGACGTGTGTGCAATTAAACCATCTGGAAGTGGAACTGGAAGGAACATGACTAGCTCACATTTGTGATAATTTAAGAATTTTTCATAATTTTCAAGTTTTGTCTTCCATTTTTGTGACTTTTTAACAAATCTATTCAATTTAAGAAGATATTGTCGGTTACATCCATAAGGACTAAACCACTCAACTGTTGACAATGTTACTGTTTCTGCTTCATTTGTGATAAAATATGAATATTGAAAAATTGAACCTTCGAAATAAGGAATGACTCGATAGAAATTATAAACATTAGAATTTTTCAATTGTTTGAAAGTTGAATCCAAAATGAATACAAAGTATTTGACTGGTTGATGGTTCATTCGTTTTACTATAGAGAGTTTTTCAAGCACACTAAAGTCTTCCAATGATTCAAGAAAAATAAAACTTGATGCTAAATAATTGATCCAGCCATGTTGGAGAGATTTGATTCTGTATTTAAATCTTTCATTTGTTTCTGCCAAAAATTCACTTATTATATCGAGAATTAATTCTGATTTGATTTTGACATTAAAAATGTTGAACTGAATATTCTCTTTGAGAATAAACTCGTCGACAATGTCATGAAAAACTCTTGACAGAATTTTAATGTCAGAATCGTATTGAAAATGAAGTGGACCTTCACAAAATATTAAGTTTGAACACAAAATGTTAACAATAAAAATTTGACTAATTTTGAATTTTAAAACATTAAGCTTCATATTTTAATGCACACTTTCAACAAACTGAACCAATTAAATAAAAAAATTCTGTATTTATAGACAACGTGTGTTTGTAAGTGTTAAATATTAATGAAGATGAAATGTGTTTTAGTTGTAGCAGGATAGTAGTCAGTAGACTTTTTAAAGATTAAACTTTGCAAGTTAAAAAAATTAAAAATCAATGACTTAAATCATCTAAAATAATTAAATAAAAAAATTAAATCTTGATTACATTAATTTTTTTTAATCAATTCAGTCAAAAAGTGTTAAGGTTTTATGGTAAGTGTAATTAAAGACTATTAACGGTTAGATTAAAAAAGACAGATTTCGAAAACAGACTTAATATTTATATAGAAGAGTTAACAACCTTAAAAGAGAAGATTAACAAATTGAAGTTGCAAATACAATTTTAAATATTAAACAATAGTTGATCAATTCTCAACAAAGAGTTTTGTATTTAACCTAAGAACGTAGCTAAATTGAGAAAAGTAACCATATGAAACCATATGACCATATGACCATATGAACCACTGAAATCACTCAAAAATGCGATAAAACGTTATATTTAGAGTTTTTTGAGTGATTTTAGTTCATTTAAAAAATTATATATTGACCCACCCTAAAGTGTAGATTTACCCCAAATTTCAACAACAAAGCGGAAACATGAGATTGCTTATCATGAAAGCAAGTTTTCAAAAACGCTTTAAAAAGTTCTCTATGTAAAGCATATTAAATATTGTAAACTGTACGAAGACATTTAATTATAATGTCTAACATTCAGATTGAAGTATTGTTTAGATTTCTCAATTAATAATGGTTGGTTAATTTGGTACTCAACGAGTCGAAAACTATTGAGTTCGTCGATTAGAATAATCAGTTTTAAGCAAATGTTTGCGAAATTCCAAAGAATTTTGATATATTTAAGAATATATCATCCAAATATCAGCACGTCTGTATTCATTCTGAGCTTAATTACCATTCTTTATTATTACCACTAATCCTCTTTCTGATAGAACGATATTCTCACATATTACAGTGATAATCTACAAATAAAATCCCTAACAATAAAGGCAATAATCCTCGTATTATTTACTTTCAACTTGACTGCAATTTTGCCTATCAGGAAATTTCTTGATTCATTTCTGGGATAATAAATCTTTGAGTTTATTCTCTCACTGTTCTATGAATGTTAATCTTTTTCCTTTATAACATAAAATCCATTAAAATGAGTAATAAAATTTGACAATAATCGCTATCATGATAACAATAAAGAACGTTTGGTTTGTGAATTATAAACAACATTAATTTGGATTCTTAGATTTTGATAACAAAAGTGAGACTGATTGTGAGGAAGGCTGATCATCCAAAAAATAAGTTTTGCAAGAATAACCGTCAAAAAAACACAAAATATTTGAATTAATTTATTCTCTTGATTGTATTGTTTTTGATATAAACTTAATTTCTAAATCCAAAGATTTAAGACAATTGCAACAAATGCTATGTAAATGGAACTGTTGGATAAATATGTTAGACCATTGTTCATCAGTGGGCTTCCAAAAATCAATGTTTCTGCCTCGTTTTGTTTATTTTGAATCATTTTGAGGACACTTTTGCATTGTCCAAAAGCCTTCTCATAATCTATTTCACAGTTTGTATGGATATCTTCAATCAAGGCAATTACTTCATTTCGGTTATTTTTGGCCTCACCAGATTTACACAAATTGTTTCTAAATGATAAATATTGTAGATTTGAGAGAAATTCAAATGCATCGTTAACAATTTCAATTCTATTTCCTGTCAGCAACAATACTTCAAGATTTGGATTGTAAACAAAAAGATCAAAATTGATTGTTTTTAGTTCATTGTTTGTTAAACTTAAGAATTTTAAATCTGGAAAAGGTTCCAAATCTTTTTTATGAATTTCCTGCAATCTCGTTGCATAAACGTCGAGAACGATCAAGTTTGTGAAGAATTTTTCCACATTATTAGGCATAAAATGCATGACTCGATTACCAATACTAAAACTTTTCACATTTTCATTTGTCATATTTTGATCATGAATACCAGAAACATTCGACACTTCACGTTCATGCTTATTTATTATTTTAATATCGGTGACCATACATTCGTAAATAAACTGTTTATGCTGAGCTGAGAAATTAGATCTGAAAATGTAAAACATAAAATAAATTTGTAAATTTATTCGTTTTCCCGCAAGGCTTCCCGATTACTTAAAGATTAAAATCTGCGAGAGCCTTGGTTCGTAGCCGATTTTTTCAGCTTAAATCAATTTTTGATTTTTTGGTAGAAAAGGTAATTTTTAACACATTCTAGGTTTAGGAACCGAGATCTAAATGCTTCACTAAGATTCTGTGGAATATTTTATGAGCATGTAAGCATAAGAATTTTACAATTTCAGGCTAGCCGATGCAGCCGATCGGCTGACACGCTTAATCAGCACAAAGCATTTGAAGCTCAGTTCTTACACTTAAAACAGCGTTTTAAATGGCTTTTTTGCCAAAAAAAAAATCCAAAATTGATTTAAGACGAAAATGTTCGATCATTTATCACTTTTTCTCTCTTTGATATATTAAATCTCATTAGATTTTTGGCTTCAAAGTATTAAAGAAATGAAAAAAGAAATTACTGAACGTTTAGCATCCATTTGTTGTAATAATCATATTTGCAGGCTATTTTAATATTTGTAGTAAAGGTTGTAAGTATTAAAAGAATAAAAATAGTTGAAAATCTGAAATAAATGAACAAAATAAAATTAAAATTGTATATATTTGCAATAAAGTAATAATTCTCAAACTATTTAATATGAATTAGCTCCGCAATCGTAGCACAAAATTTGATTTGAGAAATATTTTCTAAGAATTTCACTTTCTTTTGTAACAAACTCTTTAACGTCTCATAACTCATACCAAAATAAAAACATGAATCAAAATGTTTTTAAAAGTTAATTTTGTGGGCGTAAATCTTCAGTTTATCACTTACAGATTCATTTTGGTCCAGAACAACATCACAGATTGAAACCCAAAAAATAACTGAGCCTTTTCAATTTATATTTTGTTTCAATTAATGTGATAACAGCTCATTTAATAAAAAAAAAAACAATAATAGAGAATAGTATATCACTAGAAATATAATAGATAGAATTGGCAAAGATAAATCATAAATTAATAAACGTCAATTAATTAAACATTTCATAGCTGAAAAAATATTCCTCAATCAAATTCAATTTGAAAGCTTCTCACAAAATAAAATTTCAATGTCAATTTGAAATAATTTTCTCACAGACCTTTTTCCCGTCTCATTGATCAAATTGATTTATTGATTAACGTTGGATGATTCAACAGCTTGTCATTAATCAATCTTAAATTTCTTCTTGTTGATTCCGACCGTTTACAAATCTCATTGTGACACAGTTTTTACGCGCCATTTAGATTGAGATTTCAAGCTAAAAATAAAATATTTAATTTTTTTTCATTAATCTTGTAGAAACAAAAAGGATTTTTTTGAATGAAACAAAGCGGAATAACAAAAAGGAACAATTCATTAAAGACGAACTTGCTAATTAAGATTGTCAACAATAGCAAAACAGTAACAAAGATGTGCAAAAGAAATCTTCAAACTGAATGTTTTGAATGTTTATAGTGGAAATGAAAGTAAATTATGCAGGTTGAAGAAGTAGTTTGCATTAAAATTGTTTTCTTTAATTGAAAAGTGAAGAAACTCGAAGAAATTAGTGTAAAAAGGTATATTCAGTTTCCAGCAACAAAAAGCTAAAAAATCGATTTCATGGACTTGAATTCTGGACCGTTGCATCAAAAGTCTAATGCTCTACCAACTGAGCTAACCGGGCATGAGTGTTAAGCTTAGCAGATACTCATCGGTGTATTTGAAATGATTACAAAATTTTATTTTCATTTAAAAAGTAAACCAACTCCAATATTTAAACAAGTGTAAGTATTGTGTGTAAACAAGTGTAATGTTAACATGATAATAAGCACTCGTTAAATAATTTATAAATTTCTTCATGTTAATCAAAAATTGTTTTGGCACAAAAAATTAAAAGTAAATCTTTAAAATTTGACTTCATTTTTGGCTTAAAAATCTCAATAAGTCCTTTGTTTTTTTTTCTTGTTGACTTTGTTGCGCTCAGGGAATGAAAATTTGTTATTACTTTAATGGTGTAAGCAAAAGTTTTACGGAAGATGGTTTTGAAGATCTTATGAGAGCATTCTTTGATTCTCAAAGACCTTTGTAATCAAAAGAAACGTTTTAATAGTCCTACAACTCTTCATTAATTCAGATGAGTTTAGAGGTTTTTAATGACTGTGATAGTATATTTTGATAGTAACCTTCAAGCTACTCCGTTCCAATTCATTACATTATAAATAGCATGTCTACATGTTGTTTGTCATTATTCAATCAAACAAGTTTATTTTAATTTCCTCAAGGACTGTTATTAATTTAAAATTGGGTAAGATTCAACATCTTCTATGCTTTTTTAATATTCTAATCGTTAGTCAAATGTGGAAGTTCATGGCATTCTACAATAGTCGTGTTTTAAAAAACTTTTCTTAATGATACTAATTGACTTATATAATTGTAAATAACGAGTTTGAAGTAATCAAGAAACAACAAGTAAATCTGTAGGATGGGATGATTATTATATCAGGCGCCTATCCAGGGGGGATTTAGTTGTCAAATTCACCTACGTCAACAGAAATTTTTTCATTTTGTGAGAGATTTTTATCAAAAAATCTTAAAAATCCCCGTACCCTTAATTTTTTCGATACAAAATCCTCCCGTTCTCCCTTTGAATTCCTGGCTTCACCCCTGTATGATATTAAGATGAGAACGAATAGGAACTGGAGAAGAGGAAGTGTAAACATCCAAATGATGAGAGTTTCGCAAAGAACTTTTTTTATTTGTTTTTATTTTTTTTCTTTTATCTTTAAAATTTATCTTTATTATTTATGCTTAATTACTGCTTAATGTCGTAATTAACATCTTCACTCACGCTCGATTCTGCTGATATTAATGCCGCCCTAGTCTTTTCCTTTCTTACTTTCCGTCTTCAATTAGTTTTTTTTTCTTTGAGAAAATATTTTTAAATTAACAGTTCAAAAGCTTCCTTCTTGTGAAGTTTGTGTAGATTCCCTTGCTGAATTTTCATTTCTTTTCCTTAATAAAGCTATTAAAAATGATTTTTTTTTTAATATATATAAAGTTACTATAACATTTCTTAGAGATATTAGTAATATTGAGGATATATTAAAACTATAATATTATTTTAATATGCAGGAACCAAAAAAACCCAATGATTCATGGAAACTGTTCATAAAATTTTCTTAAAAATTTTCATTCTGCAAACATTTTTTTTCTTTATCAATCACTCATTGTTATATTTTTATTTGCTGATAAAAAGGCAATAAAACTGCTCTAATGTTAAATTCGCCATGAGTAGCATACATAACAGCACAAAGGAGAACATACAAGAAAAAGCAGAAAAAAGGTTCATTTCAGGGGAGAGCAAATAAAAATAAATAAAAACATTTTTTTCGTCTTTTCTTCTCTTTTATGCTCATCCCGTTTTGAGGTGTGAGAAAAAGAAAAGAAAAGGAACGAATTTGTGCGTGTGAAGTTAAAAATTGGAGTGGTTGGGGGTGTTTTAGAAATAAAATTTTGTGAGTGTCGGAGAGGAAAAGAATGTGAAAGGACAAAGATTTATTCTGATCATGAATTAAGTTTGAATGTGCTTATGACGCATCTTTTATATCTACATAGCTCACTTTAATGTGCTCAAAATGTTTTCTAGCACATGAAGACATTTTTTTTTTCAACTTACCTTGAATTCCCGTTCAAGACACTAGCAAAAAATTTTGATGCAAAATCAATAATTTAGATGGATTTTAATAAAAAGTTGAAGACCCAAAAAAAAATAGAATCGCCCGAGCAGGGACTTGAACCCTGGACCGTTGGATTAAAAGTCCAACGCTCTACCAACTGAGCTACCCGGGCTTGTAGGTTAAGCTTGGCATGTACTTGATCATTAGTGTTAAATTAATATTTAAAAAAAAAAGTTTATTCTTTCATTTTTAACAATTTATATAGGTTAAAAATTTAAACCAGATGCTTTTTGAAAAATGTCTTAAACAATTGTCCAACACCAATGACTTAGCATCAGTGCTTTGGCTCCTGTGTCTCTGAAAAATGGCGAAAAATCTCATACAAATGAGACGGTATGTTGTATGTTGCTGAATTCATATTACGATCAATTATTTCTAATCTTTGATAATTGATTTAAAGACTTTAAATTTGTTTTTTAAATAGCTAAACCCAAAATGATCTTAAAATAGCAACTAATACAAAAACTCATCAAAGCTCGCACAAAAAAAAATCAAAAGCAAATAAAAAAGCGAAAAGAATTACGATTATAAAATTAAAATAAATTGGCGTGTGATAGGCTCCACAAATATAAATATCGTGAACGGTTCTCTTTTTGTACATTCATTGCCTCAACGATATTGAGAACGCATATTGAATGGGTCAATAAAATAAAATCAAATGAAATGAATTGAAAGTTGCTGTAAGAAAAAAATGCCTTTTTTCATTGAATGATGTTGTCAGAAAATTTATTGGCAGGAACGTGAAGGAATTTTTAAGAAATAAAGTGAAAGAAGGAATAAAAAATCAAGTTGGAGATTAGTTTATGTTTACAGCGCATTTTATTTAAATATATATAAAATCATTTAATATTGATATGGGATCATCCAGGTGCGTAGCCAGGAATTTGAAGAGGGGGGAAAAAATTTATATGGAAAATTCAGAGGGAATTAGGGATTTTTATGATTTTTCCATAAAACTTCTAGCAAAATTATATTAATCGGGAGCCTTGTCCCCCAAATCCCCCCCCCCCCCCCCCTCAGGCTACGCACCTGGGATCATTGAACTTCATACATATTGATATTTATCGGCCAATAAATCTATAGTACCGAAGCTAATAGAACAAATCCGAGGTCGCTTCGATGTTTAATTAAAAAGTTTTTCTCGGAACGAACGAACGCCTCAACGAACAAAGTGAATTATTGAGCTTCCTGTTCGAAACAACTTTCAAAAATGCGCTAAAAAGAGGCAGCAAAACATTGCACGAAAATATAACTTAGCATAGAAATTAAATTGAGTGGAAAAATAAGAAGATTATATTCAATAATCATTAAAGTTTTTCCTTCATTTTAACTGTGTTTGTTTGCAGAAAAGGGTTCCAATCGGGTATTGATGTAAATGAATTTAGACATTTCAAGAAAACAAATCGAGTTGCGATTTTCCGTTGTATCTGTTTTGATTGTTTTTCACGCTCTTGATATTGCTGCAATTAATTAAGTGATTGAATTTTTTTTAAGATGAAGTAAATTAAAAATAAACTTGAGTTAAGCTGGCGAGGAGCTATGAGCTGTTTGTATGTATCAGTTCATCAGTATAACATATAATTAACCCGAACATACAAAGAGCATGCTCAGAAAAGTGAGCATATAAGTGAGTCTACTCAAAAATTATACTCATGCAAGCTCATTCAACTGAGCATGCTCAGGAGTTCATTACGAATGTACTCATTTTATTTTTTTACAAAAACTTTATAAGCTCACGTGAGTGCATTCAATAAGTATACTCTTGAGAATATTAAGAACATACTCATGTGAATTCACTCATATGAGTTCACTTACTGAATATACTCATGAGCATATAATGAGCAAACTCACTTCTGTGTCACACAATTTTTTTTGTATTCTCATATGAGTGCACTTACTGAATGTACTCATGAGCATATAATGAGCAAACTCACTTCTGTGTCACACAATTTTTTTTATATTCTCATATGAGTGCACTTACTGATTGTACTCATGAGCATATAATGAGCAAGCTCACTTCTGTGTCACACAATTTTTTTTATATTCTCATATGAGTGCACTTACTGAATGTACTCATGAGCATATAATGAGCAAGCTCACTTCTGTGTCA